AATGGAGTCCATGAATGCCTTTAGTGATCTTTGTGTGTTCTCTACCTGGTCTCTCAATTCCTGTATTACTCTTTGATTAGCTTCCTCCCGTTCCTGGGATTCCTGCAGATCTCTTTGAGTGTTCTCAGCCTGCTCACGCCATTCCTCCCTTTCTCTTTGAGTATTCTCAAGTTGTTCACGCAACTCCTGTATCAGTTTTTGAGTAGCTTCCTCACGCTTATGATATTCCTGTATAAACTTCTGGGATGCCTCCTCTCTCTCCCTATCACGCTCATACAGAGTCCTTTGTACGTTGTCAAACTTCTCATTTATCATGTTTGCCAGCAGTGTTTGTAGAGCTATTTGGGAACTCTCCTCTGGATTATTCATTATCTGTTCTAACCCCTGATTATCAAGATTGGGAATTGAGATACCCGAATTTGCCATTTTTCTTGTGTTTTTCCGGCTTACTCTGCCCATTTGAGATGAAGATAGCACCAGTTTTGTGCTAGAACACTATCTTAAGGCAATCATCAACCAAAGTTTGCATTTGTACAGTCAATAGTCTACAGATACAATCTATTTCAACAGATACATCTATTCGACATCAAACAACTATATGTTAAAGGACTTCGAACCGCAGAGAAGAATTTGGAAAACCAGAAATTATTAGGGTTAAGGAGAGATGTGGGTAAAAAATAGGAATAGATTGGTGTGGGGAGGCACAGGGAGAGTTAACTATGTCCTAATCACAATGCAGGAAATAGGTTGGGTAGGATGCAAGTAGAGAGAGAGAGAAAAAGAAGAAAGGGAAAGGGGAATGAAAAGAGACCAGAAAAAAAATGGAAACGTAAAAATTAATGTTATTATAGAGATTAAAAGACCATCTATTTAGAGAGGAATGTGAATATGTTGAGAAAAAGGGAGGGACATAGAGGAGATGTGAAAAACTTTTAAAAAAATGCTTAAAATATTATATAGGTATAAAGAGGTAGTACTGCTATTAATGAATTTAAGTCTCAGAGGTTTTGAATTGAGTAATAAGTTTGTGGATTAAGTGTGTACACAATGGGGGATAGGGTCTACTAGTTAACTACGGTTTATCTGAGGATGTGCAGGACAAGAGTTAAGTCACATAAAGAAGAACAAAAGAGGAAAAGGTGGAAAGGATAGGAAAGTGAGAAGAAAAGATCAGAAGTTCAGTAGAGCTAGACAAAAAACAAAACGATAATTAAGAATGAAAGAAAAAGAGAAAGAAGACAAGAAAAGAAAGGAAAACACACATTCACGTTATTCCTAAGATAAAAATTATGAGGGAAAAAAAAGTTACTGGAAAACAATTATTTTTTCAGAAGAGGCAAAAATTAAAGATTAATAAAAGTTTTAGAAAAAGAAAAAAAAATTTTTTATATATATAAGGTAACAAAAAACGAGAAAAAAAAACAAAAGAAAAAAAGAAAAGAAGAAAAAAAAAAAAGTTCTTTGATTTTTTGGGGGGGGGGGAGGGGTGGGAAGAGTCCTGTATCTCCCTTTTGTCTGTAACCAGAGTCTGGTTGGAGTCTCTGGTCAGCTTGAGGTCCTGTGGCTTGATTGGTTTCTTAAGTCAGTTTGTTGGAACAGGCAGAAAAATGCTCTGCTTTACCCAAGATTTTGAGATCCCCCTCCCAGGTTAGTTTACTGGGAGGGTGATCTGCTTTGAGAATCACACAAGAGGGGGATGCAGTGATGGGGCTAGGTTCTGGGTAGAGTTGAGGCCTTTCAACAAACAGTAGCTTTTCCCTGGGGCTATTTTGTGAAAAAAACTCACAGCACCCAGCCTGAAGCCATACTCAGGGTTTCTGTTTTCCAATTGATTGTGGTGGCTGCTAGAGGGAGGGGCAGCCTCTGGCTCTGGTTACCCGGTGAGGAGAGCCACTCCAATGGCTGGCGCCTGAGCTGGGTGACTTTTCCCTGGATGGAACTGAGTCTGTGAGGTCACTTCGCCGTTAAGTTCTTGTGACCTGCTAAATGACTCGTTTTATTCCAAGGCCTGAGCTGGAGCTAGCCGCTCCTCTGAGCTTTGTCGGTATCCAAGATGGAGATCACCGGTGCTGGGGGGGAGGGGTGGCCTTCCCTCCTCTGCTCCCCGAGAAGGAGTGAGGAAGTAGGGCTTCTACTCACGCCGAGTCTTGTATCCTGGGTCGTCTCTGGTCTGCAAAGTGCAGGATGAAGTTGTCCGCTCCTTGTCGGTTCTTGCTGGTGTTGAGTAGAATCCGCTCGTCCGCTGCATCTGGCTCCTTCGTCCCGGACTGTGTCTCAGGTATGCCCCCGCGGCGGTGGTCGCTGCCGCGACCCTGCCGCCGCAGCGGCAGCTGCTCAGATGTGTCTGCTTGGCTTCCCCTCTCTTGACTAACTCTCTGTCCTGTGATGGCACACTTGGTGTGATTCTCTGGCTTGGGACTGTTCACTGGAACTCTGAAACTGTTTTCTATGCAAGAGCTTGTTCAGATTCCAGCTTCTCCTCCGCCATCTTCCTGGAACTCCTCATGTATTTTCTTTTGGATAAAGATACTCCAAGGTAAATTGGCTGGCTTTAAGACGAGCATATTTACAAGGAATAGTGCCTCGGACCGGCTCTGTCGGGACGACGGAGGACACCTAGTGGAGGTAACTGGAATAGGTGGGGAGATGGCAAACAGACAACTCACACACAAGAGGAGTGGATGCCTAGTGGGATTTATTGCAGAGGATAACAAGCTTTTATAGCAAAAGTCTCCATGAGAAAGGGAAAAAGGTTACACAATCTTGCTGCAAGGCTTCGTTCTTGGGTGGTCACCAGCTGGTCGCCTGATCTTGTTTTTTGGATGATGAGCTATGACGGTAGGCAGTTGTTTTTGGCTTTACCTCTATTTTTAAGAAATACAATTGGTTTCAATGTTTATCACCTATTAACCATTAACCAGAGCATCTGGGCAAGGTGCTGAACAGAAAGGCATGAACTCTAGTACTTCATAGTTACTTTTGTTTAGTTTTGTACTTTATACGTTTCAAATCTTTTCTAAGCAATTGTGCTTCTTTGCCATTCTTTAGAGGGTCCCCAATTTGTGGCCAAAAATCATGATATTCAGTATACTTTGTTAAATTCGGCCATATATCAAATTTAAGCTCATAGTGTCTTTTCTGTAACCCTTTCACATAATCATTTACTCTTCTCCATAGAGGCCTTAACTGTCTCATAAGATCTTTCTTGTTCCTTCTTTGATAGTAAGCACCAAGGAGGCCTAGATCTAGCAAGTCTCTCAGTAAATGAAAGAGAGTAATAGGAAGTTCTTTCTCCTAAGTAGTTTACCCAACGGTTGCCATTGAAACCAATTGTATTTCTTAAAAATAGAGGTAAAGCCAAAAACAAGTGCCTATCGTCATAGCTCGTCATCCAAAAAACAAGATCAGGCGACCAGCTGGTGGCCACCCAAGAACGAAGCCTTGCAGCAAGATTGTGTAACCTTTTGCCCTTTCTCATGGAGACTTTTGCTATAAAAGCTTGTTATCCTCTGCAATAAATCCCACTAGGCATCCACTCCTCTTGTGTGTGAGTTGTCTGTTTGCCATCTCCCCACCTGTTCCAGTTACCTCCACTAGGTGTCCTCTGTCATCCCGACAGAGCCGCGGACCTAACAGATTTCCCAATAGTACTGTAACACACTAAACAAGCTCTGGACAGTATGGTAACAGGTACCCAAACAGGTACTCTATGAATCGTGCATGTACCCTGAATGTACCCTAACAAACTCCAACCTACATGTACCCTAAATGTAAAACATTTCTTAATAAATACTCTAATGACTAATACATTGTCTAAACCACACAGGTAATCTTATGTGTACCCCAAATGTATAACCTGCACATGCCCTAGTACTGGCCCTAGTCCTAACATGTATCTTAACCCTAACATATACCCGATTATACACCCTAACTCTGGCCCATACTCACACCCTAACATATACCTTGACTGAAATCTATACACCAACTTGTACCTTAACTCTAACACCTTATGTACCTTAAAATGTACCTTAAGCCAGGTGCCGGTGGCTCACGCTTGTAATCCTAGCTACTCAGGAGGCTGAGATCTGAGGATTGCAGTTCAAAGCCAGCCTGGGCAGGAAACTCTGTGAGATGCTTATCTCCAATAAACCACCAGAAAACTGGAAGTGACACTGTGGCTCAAGTGGTAGGGCATTAGCCTTGAGCTGAAGAGCTGAGGGACAGCGCCCAAGCTCAGAGTTCAAGCCCCATGACCGACAAAAAAAATGTACCTTAACCCTAAAATTTATGGTAAACATCAACATATATCCTAACAAGTACCCTAAACACGTACTCTAAGTGATCCTTACATGCACTCTAACATGTACCCAAAATGTACCCTTAACACATACTCTAATATGTACCCTAACACATATCCTAACCCTAACAATCCCAAACACATACCATAACCATACCATGTACTCTAATGTATACCCTAACCACTAATATGTATAGAATCAAGTACCCTAACTCGTATTTTAAACAACATGCCCTAACATGTACCCTAATGTACCTTAAACCCAAACACTATCTTAACATGTTCCCTAACAGGTACCCCACCATACACCCTAACTGTGACCCATAGTCCCATCTTAACATATGCCTTAGCCCACACTCATACCCTCATACCCTAAGCCACTCAGCAATATTATGCCTCACCCTAAACCATCTGCGAACCCAAATCCATAACTGCATAACTAACACTTTCTATAATCCTAACGCCCACCCCAAACCTACATTAACCCTTTAGTATCAAGCTCCCTAATCCTCATTTCTGCGCTCTTGGCCCTCCATTTGTGTGCTTTGCCCCCCCCCCCCCAATCCCGCTCCCTGGATTACTTCCCCACTCTGGTCCCACCACTCTCCTCCTTTGTCCCTCCCTTCCTTGCTCTTGCACCACCCCTCCACAAGTCCCACGGCAGGCCCCCTCACTTTCGGGTTCTTGCCCCTCCCTTCTCTAGCCCCACCTCCAACAAGGCCTGCCACTGGATCACTCACTTCTATACCCTTGTCCACCCTTCTCATCCTTTATCCTCCCACAAGCCCCACCCCACATCTTCCATCTTCCCATAAGCCCCGCCCCTGGACACTCAATTCCTTGCTCTTGCCAGCCCCTCCTGTGCTCTGCTCTTCCACAAGCCCCGCCCCTGGGCCACTCACTTCCGTGCTCTGCTCCTCCTCACCCAGAGGGCGCAGTGAGCACTGACTCCCACCAGAGGACGCTCTAGGCTTGCACATTGTCCTCCTTTCCTCAGGACCTGGGGTGCAGTGAGGGCTAATTCCCACCAGAGAGTGTGCTATGCAGGTGGGAACCTTGTCACAGACCAGTGGGACCTGATGTGTCTGACAGGGAAAGAAAAGGCTAGGTTATGCCTTCTGCTTCCCTCCAAAGATCCTTATTAGAATGTGGACCTAACTCCAAGCTATAGGAACTGATTGGCTTCTGAGGCATAAAATGGAGTGCTTAGTGTGGAGGTGCTGCTCTAGCCTGAACATAATACCACTGGAATTCACCAAAGCAAACTGAAATACTTTGGAATGCCTGGTAAAATGTCTGTGAGGTGTATATAATGAAAACATTGACATGTGTCCTCTCACCCCCTAACCACCATGCCCTATGAAGGACATAGCTGACAGCACAGTAAAGACTTGGTGCCATTGATACAGGCCTGGGAGATGGCCAAATTTGTTCTGACAGGTACCAAGTTACCCAGCAGGAATGCATAAGCTGCTCTTCCTTACAGTGTTCATGCCCCTCTCCAGTCTCTGGAATGAACATGACTGAAAGTACAGGTTAAAAACTTGGTACAGCTGGACACTGGTGGCTCACTCCTGTAATCCTAGATATTCAGGAGCCTGAGATCTGAGGATCACAGTTCAAAGCCAGTCCAGGCAGGAAAGTCTGTGAGACTCATCTCCAATGAACCACCAGAAAACCGGAAGTGGTGCTGTGGCTCAAGTGGTAGAGCACTCGCCATGAACTGAAGAGCTCAGGGACAGCGCCCAGACCCAGAGTTCAAGCCCCACAACCAACTGAAAAATTAATAAAAACTTGGTACAGACTTTCAGATGAAGCTGGAGAGTAAGTTGGACCTGAGTCCATGAAAGCACTTTCTGGGGAGGGGGTGTCAGTCAAGCCACTTCTACATTGGGCCATACACCCAGATACTCTACTCACAATTCCTAGTGTATGGACTCTACACGTTTTCTTCTGATACCCTGCATATTTTGCCCTAAAGTGCTTACAGTCAGAGGAAATCAACACACAACAAAGGGCAGGCATGCTGGAACTGCTCCACAGGTAAGTGGGATTCTGTATAGCTGACAGGGAAAGTACAAAATAGAAACAGTCACATAGAAGCTCCTTTCTAGAAAATGACACATACCAGTCTAAAGGAACTGATTGGGTTATGAGACATAAAGGGGTGTGGCTCAGTACTGAGGTGCTTGCCTAGGTGTAGGAGACCCTGAAAACACAATAAAATTTAACTGCTGAGCACCAGTGGCTCACCCCTATAATCCTAGCTACTTAGGAGGCTGAGATCTGAGGATCATGGTTCAAAGTCAGCCCCAGGCAGGAAAGTCTGTGAGACTCTTATCTCCAATGAACCACCAGAAAACCAGAAGTGGTGCTGTGGCTCAAGTGGTAGAGCACCAGCCTTGAACTGAAGAGCTCAAGGACAGCGCTCAGGCCCAGGGTTCGAGCCCCATGACCGACAACAAACAAAAATGAAACATACATGCTCCTGGATTGCGACTCGCTGGAAAAAAATCGTTGACATAAAATAAGCACCATAGCTTCAATAAACTTCAGTAGCAGAAAAATTACCAACAGCAGATATATTTTTCCCTGGTTTTGACTATTTCTGTAGGATAATACCTAGAAGTAATGCTAGGATACCTGGAAATAATACTCAGAAAAAGATTCTGGCCACCATTTCTTTGTTTAGGGTGGACCTCTAGCATGCTAGGTGAGTGTTCTGGCCCCAAACTCCACCCACAGCCCTGTAGGGCTGACACCTAATGCAAGTAAGAGCATTCATTCAGTCAGTGGCTAAGGCATGCTGCCCATGCAGCCTGGACACACAAGTGTGGCCAGTATGGTCACTGCCTCCTAGGGGAGGCAGTCTACACATCCAGAATCACCTATGAGAGTCAGTGCTAAGGCATGCTACCTATGCAGCCTCCACACACAAGTGTGGCCAGCGCGGTCAGTGTCTCCTAGTGGAGCCGGTCTATACATCCATCATCACCTGTGAGAGCAGCCAGCCTTACAAAGCGGGAACTTCCAATAATCACAAACTATAACATGTAACAGTCTTTATTTTTTTCAAATTCTTTGTTGTAATTATGTGGTTACATAATTTCCCAAAATTCACAGTATTGTGGGATAGTGATGCTTAGTTAAAGTCACAACCACATTCTAACTTTCATAGGGCAAATTGTCTATCATGTTCTATAACATTTATGAGTTCTGTGAGCTTTGCAATAGAGTTATTTCTTCCACATTGGGTGATATGTACCTTTTTTTTGTTTTGCATAGCATCAGCTGTTCCCTATTTCTCCCTTGTTCCCTCCTTCCCATCACTGCCATTGAGTTGCTTAGTTCATTTTGATTAATGCCCAGCGCAGCTGATGGTTCTTGCTGTTGTATTTTTTTCCCTGATTTCCTCTACTTCTGTGTCGTCCTCCTGGTTTCCCTCCGCTGTGCACATATATACCATACATGTGATCAGCAGCATGGGGTTATTTAGTAGTGATTTGACCAGATGAGTAGAAGTCCTCTGGTTTTTTTTTGGGGGGGGGGAGGGTCCGGTCGTGGGGGCTGCACTCTGGGCCTGGGCTCTGTCCCTCAGCTCTTCAGTTCAAGGCTAGGGCTCTACCTCTTGAGCCACAGCGCCACTTCTGGCTTTTTTCATTTTGCTTATGTGGTGCTGAGGAATTGAACCCAGGGCCTCATGCATGCAAGGCAAGTGTTGTACCACTGAGCCACCTTCCCAGCCCCTCTTTGTTTCTTAAGTCTTGTTAATTTTGCATATCACCTTACATTTTGGATTTAACATCCACTTATCAGGGAGACCATGTGCCATTTGTCTCTTTGCACTTGGCTTACCTCGCTCAACATGATTCCTTCTAGCTCCATCCATTTCCCTGCAAATGCCATTATTTTGTCATTTCTAATGGCTGCATAATATTCCATTGTGTATAGATACCACAATTTTTGGATCCATTCATCTGTGGTGGGGCATCTGGGTTGTTTCCATATCCTAGCTATTCCGAACAGTGCTGCAATAAACATGGAGGTGCACGTGTCCTTGCATATTGGTTTCTGTTGTTCAGGGTAGATGCCTAGAAGTGGTATGACTGGGTCATAAGGGAGGTCAATATTTAGCCTTCTGAGGACCCTCCAGACTGCTTTCCAAAGTGGTTGTACAAGTGTACATTCCCACCAGCAGTGCAGTAGGGTTCCTCTTTCTCCACATCCCCTCCAGCATCTGTTGGCTGATTTGTGGATGTGGGACATTGTGACTGGGGTAAGGTGGTATCTCAGGGTTGTCTTTATTTGCATTTCCTTCACCACCAGGGATGATGAACATTTCCTCATGTGTTTCTTTGCCATTTTTATCTCTTCTTCTTAGAAGTCCCTCTTTAGTTCCTTTGTCCATTGAGTAACTGGTTTGTTAGGTTAGGGAGGGATTCGTTTCTTGAGTTCCCTGTATATACTGGATATTAACCCCTTGTCTGATATATTGCTGGTAAATATTCTTTTCCCAGTCAGGGGACTGGTGTCATAGCTTTCTCTCAACCAACAGCTAATAAAATGACAAGCAGCAGATAAAAGCTAGTCGTGGGGGCCGTTGTATAAACCATAACCCTGAGAACCAAGCCTTCTCCCCGGGTTTCCTCGGCAGCCCGTCCCCCGTGCCCCGCAGCTCGGTGGTGCGGGGCTGCAGCGGAGCGCCCAGGCCGGGATGTGAGGTCAGCATGAGGGAGTCGCCGTCCTGGGGATGTCCTGAGGGGGACCGAGGCAGGGCCTCGTGCGGAGGGCGGGGCCTAGGAACCGAGCGGCGCCCGCGGCCCTCAGCCCAGGACACCCGGGAGCGGAGTGGGCACCGGGGTGCCAGGAAGCGAGCAGTCCTCACCTGCGGACAAAAGGGCGCGGGGAGCCGGGCCCTCACCTGCCGACGACTCAGGGAGCGCTCAGCCTCAGAGAGCGAGCGAGGGCGGGTCTGAGAGCAGAGAGGACCACTGGGGGAGGGCAGTGCGTGAGGGGCGGGACTAAGAGCAGAGAGGACCACTGGGAGAGGGCAGTGCGTGAGGGGCGGGGCTAGGAGCAGAGAGGACCACTGGGAGAGGGCAGTGCGTGAGGGGCGGGGCTAGGAGCAGAGAGGACCACTGGGGGAGGGCAGTGCGTGAGGGGCGGGACTAAGAGCAGAGAGGACCACTGGGGGAGGGCAGTGCGTGAGGGGCGGGGCTAAGAGCAGAGAGGACCACTGGGGGAGGGCAGTGCGTGAGGGGCGGGGCTAAGAGCAGAGAGGACCACTGGGAGAGGGCAGTGCGTGAGGGGCGGGGCTAGGAGCAGAGAGGACCACTGGGAGAGGGCAGTGCGTGAGGGGCGGGGCTAGGAGGGAGGAGCACCGGGGAGAGAGCAGTGCGTGAGGGGCGGGGCTAGGAGGAGGGAGAAACGGGGCGAGGGTGGTGCTGAGGAGCGACGAGGGCGGTGCACGAGAGGGGCGGGGCTAGGAGGAAGGAACAAGTAACGGCTAGGGAGGTATGTGAAAGGGTGGGGCTAGGAGGAAGGAGCACTAGGTGGAGGGCGGTGTGTGCAAGGGGCGGGGATAAGAGGAGCTGTACAGGGCTCGTGGGGCCAGGGCGGTGCGTGCGAGGGGTTGGGCTAGGGGGAGGGAGAAGCACTAGGGCAAGGGCGGGGCATGCGAGGGGCGGGGCGCGGAGGGAGGAGCCTGTAAGGCTAGGGAGGTACGCGAGAGGGCGGGGCTAGGAGGAGGAAGGAGCAGTAGGGCGAGGGCGGTGCACGTGAGGGGCGGGGCTCGGAGGGAGGAGCCTGTAAGGCTAGGGAGGTATGCGAGAGGGCGGGGCTAGGAGAAGGAAGGAGCAGTAGGGCGAGGGCGGTGCGTGCAAGGGGTGGAGCTATGAGGGAGGAACACCTGGAGAGAGGGAGGTGCGTGCGAGGGGCGGGGCTAGGAGGAGGGGCAGGGCTCGTGGCGGGTGAGGTTAGGGTTAGGACAGGGCACTGACAGAATTCCAGCCCCACTGAGACGCCAGCCGGCTGCAGGCCCTGCAGCACGCCCCGGACCCCAAGCTCCAGGACTGTTCACTTCCCGTTCTTGCTCCTCCCCTCTCGCACTCTGCCCCCCCCATCTGTGTTCGGGATGCATGGTGCACGGGGTTATATCTCTGAGTTCAGGGTGCATGGTGCACGGGGTTATATCTCTGAGTTCAGGGTGCATGGTGCACGGGGTTATATCTCAGTTCAGAGTGCATGGTGCACAGGGTTATATCTCTGTGTTCGGGTGTATGTGTGTATATGTGTGGCATATATATGTGGTGTGTACGTGTGTGTGATGTGTGTGTGTGTGTGGTGCTGGCGCTGGCACTCTGGGCTTTGCACATTCGGCTGTGTTCTTCAAGGCTGTGTGTCCATGGCGGTCTTCCTTCATGTTCTGCGGTCCGCGTGGACTGTCCCCCGTGGCGCCCCGTAGCGTTCCCTCAGGAGCGCCCTCGCTGGCCGTGCAGGCGCACTGGGTCCAGGGCTCACCTGCCGCCGTCAACACCGCGTCCCCCGCGGTCTCGCTTCGCGTTCCGCGTTCCGCGTGGACTGTCCCCCGTGGCGCCCCGTAGCGCCCCCCTCCGGAGTGCCCTCGCCGGCCGCGCAGGCGCACTGGGTCCACGGCTCACCTGCCGCGGTGGCCGCCGCGTCCCCCGCGGTCTCGCTTCGCGTTCCGGGTTCCGCGCGGGCTGTCCCCTGCGGCGCCCCGTAGCGTCGCCTCCGGAGCGGCCCCGCCGGCCGCGCAGGCGCAGCGGGCCCGGGCTCACCTGCCGTTGTCGCCGCCGCGGCCGGGCCGGACTGGATGGGGGGCCGCCGAGGCCGGGCAGCGGCACCCGGAAGTGAGAGACGCGGCGGCCCCGCCGGTCCCCGCCGCGCGGCGCGAGAGCGAGCGGCCGGAGGCGGCGCCCCGGCCCGGCGCCCGCGGGCCCACGCGTAGCGAGGCATCCGACCCGCCCGGCCCCGCTCGCGGCCGGCGCCGCCGGCGCCATGTTCAAGAAACTGAGGCAGAAGATCAGCGAGGAGCAGCAGCTCCAGCCGACGCTCGCCCCCGCGCAGGTACCGGCGCCCTGGGGAAACCGAGGCCGCCGCTCCGGGTGGGGGGGGGGGGAAGGAGAGCGCGGGCGACCTCTGCCCTCCGTCCGGGTCCCCGGCGACCTCTGACCCCCGAGGTCCCGGCGTCTGGCGAGGGCCGCGGTCGCGCGCGCGTGACGCGTTTCTCCCGCTCGGCCCGGGGCGGGCGCCGCAGCCGCGTGACCTTGGCCGGAGTCGGGGATCCCGCGGCCCCCTGGTCCCCATGCCTCAGCTCCAGTCACAACCCGCCCCGGCCTGGCCCCACTCCCCACTCGGGACGGCCCCAGGCCCTGCTCCTTGGCGGTGGCCCCGGGACTCCCGCCTGCTTGGCTTCCGACCCCAACTCCTCCGTCCTCAGCGCTGTTGAGAGAGTAATTCATCTCATTCTTTAATTGGATTTTTTTTTTTTAATTTTGAATCTCCTATTGTTAAATTCCCCAGGACTGTTCCTTACTAACTTCTGATCTTTCATAGCATTCTTATTGCTGTATAAAGTTCCTATTTTTTTTTTATTTCTTTAAATAGGGCTTCTTTCCCTTTGTTTTCATGCTTTCTTTCATCTGTATTGGCTTTATTAGTTCTAGATCTGTTTTATATTGTTGAGCCTGTTTTTTTTATATTGGAATTTTTTGTTTTCCTTTACACATCAAATTCTCTGGACTATAAAATCCAATTTTCAAGGCTCTCAACATCTGGTGTTGTGTGCAAGTGTGTCATAGAGACACATTAGGATTCATTCTACTTACGGGCTAGAAACCGGTTATGAGGAGAAACAGGCACACATTAGTTATCGTAAGTCTCTTTAAAAAGTTAACTCGGTTTTTTCTAGAGAGGCGTGCTGTTTGGGGAAGGAGTCATATGTTCTATTCCTAAATTTCTCAAACCAAAGCAGGGCTGAAGATGTGGGCTCGAAGGTTTTTACTGTACACTATGTCAAGTATCACTTACACCCTCTAAATTTAGCCTCACTCCTTGCCTTTCACCCTTCTTTCTCCGTGTTAGAATCACTCAGTCTGAAGCCTCATTGCTTCAGAAAATGAACCCATGGTTCTTCGGTGGCTACAAGGTTAAGTGGACATGATATTTGTAGTTGATCTGTTTTTAGTCCTGCCTCTGAACTTTTGCATCTTGCTTATCCCTTTTGCTTTAAATCCTAAGACTTGCTTTGATTAGTGTAGTAGGCACTTAATATGGAATTTCCTAGTAATAAGAAAACCTCAATTTGGTGGTTTTGTTATCTTTAAGTGTGTTATGCAACATGAGATTAATTCCTTTCTAATCCCTATTTTGAGGGTAAAGTTGTTGAAACTCTTTGAGTTATTCTGGATTTAAGAGTAACTGTGTTTATCAACTTTGTTCTTACAAAGATTTGTAACAGTATGATGAAACCACTTCAAGTAAGTTGTGAATCAGGGACTGGGAGAAACCTGTTGATTGACAATATAGGTCAGAAAGTATCTCAAGAGCTGTTTGGTAGGAGTCAGGAACCAAGGTTGTAGTGCAGTGGTAGAGTATTGGCTAGCATGGGTGAGTCTTTAGCTTCAGCACTAATTTTGAGTATGAGTAGGGCACCAAAAGCCTCCACAAAGTTTCTGTAAAAATCCTAGCAACTTAGGAGGCTGAGGTCTAGTTTAAATCCAGCCTGGGCAGAAAAGTCTGTGTAACTCTCCAGTTAACCATCAAAAAGCTGGAAGTGGAGTAGTGGCTCAACTGCTAGAGCACCAGACTTGGATTAAAAGGCTAAAGGACTGTGCCCAGGCACTGAGTTCAAGCCCCAGTACCAGCACACACAAACACACACACACACACACAACCTATTTTAGTGGTGTCTCCATGTGAATTTTATTACTGATTTGGGGGCTTTTTTTGTTTTTGTTTTTTACTGTGAGTCCAAGATAAATCTGAGCAAGAGTCACATAAAAAATACTGCAGAAAGCCAGGTATGGGTGGCTCACACCTGGTAATCCTAGCTACTCAGGAGGCTGAGATCTGAGGATTAAGGTTCAAAGCCAGCCCCGGCAGGAAACTCCAAGAGACTCTTATCTCCAATGAACTACCAGAAAACCAGAAGTGTTGCTGTGGCTCCAGTGGTGGAACGCTGGCCTTGAGCTGAAGAGCTGAGGGATAGTGTCCAGGCTCAAGAGTTTAAGCCCCAGGACCCACAAAAAAAAAAAAAGGAAAAGAAAAGAAAAGCTGTGGAAATGAATAAGGGAATTAGAAGACCTTTGTACTAACCTAGATCTTAGAATACGTAACCGGAGCAGGCTTCAGATTAGATTATAAACCTTCCCTAAGTATCCCAAGATTCTCATGTTCACATAAGGAAATTGGGGATGACACCTCTCTCCTGCTTACCTTTCAGGAGGGTTATAAGGATGAAAAGTAATGAAAGTCAGAAATTATTTGTAATGGTTGAACATTTATTTATTCAGCAGTTGCTGTAAGAGAGAGTCATGCTGGGTGCTCTATTTGTCTTTCTTGCGATAAGTAACTCTGCGTGGTTGAAAGACAATACTTCCGGCTTGATGAGGACATGCCAGGATTTGTGGTGCGCGTGGGAAAACGTTTCTGGAGACATTAGGGCAGCACCTAAGGAATCTTCATAGGCAACAAAAGCAATGGTGTTAGTCAGGCGCCTGTCAGCCCAGCTACTCAGGAGGCTGATCTGAGGATCACAGTTCAGTGCCACCCTTGACAGGAAAGTTCATGAGACTCTTATCTCTAATATAAAAAAGCTAGAAGTGGTTTGTGGCTCAAGTAATAGAATACCAACCTCGAGTGAGAAAGCCAAAGGACAGCACCTTAGGCCCTGAGTTCAAGCCTCAGGTTTGAACATACATACATACATACACACACACACATACATACATACAAAAATGGCACCCATAAAAAGTACAATGGTATTGAGATGATAGGGCTTCAAGATAGTCCTAAAAGTGACTGCGTTCATTTTCTGACGTGGATAAGAAATTACAACGATTTGAATTCTTAATAGCCTGGTTCACAGTCAGAAGGCTGGAAGGACAAAAGTAGGTTCTCTGCTCATGGTCGTTTTGGCTAAAGTCAGGTATTGACCCGCTTCTGTTTTTTGTTCACTCTTGCCAGTGTTGCCTACAGTGATCTCTGTTCTCCTCTGCCCCTAGTTTGGAATCTGGATGACTGAGTGTTGGAATGCAAGACTAAGGGACTATGAGGAAATTCAAGAAGTTTTCTTTTTTTTTTTTCTTTTTTTTTTTTGGGGGGGGGGTCGGGTCATGGGGCCTGAACTCTGGGCCTGGGCGCTGTCCCTCAGCTCTTCAGCTCAAGGCTAGCACTCTACCACTTGAGCCACAGGGCCACTTCCGGCTTTTTTCGTTTTGCTTATGTGGTGCTGAGGAATTGAACCCAGGGCCTCAGGCATGCAAGGCAAGCGCTCTACCACTGAGCTACCTTCCCAGCCTGGAAATTCAAGAACTTTTCTACGTGTTCATGAGAGTAACTTAGGTTAGCTGGGCACCTTGTGGCTACCTCTGTTCAGAAGACTGAAACCTAAGGATCAAAGTTCAGAGCCCGCTTGGGCATAACAGTCTTGGAGACTTTTATCTCTAATAAGATAATAAAAACCAAGGTCCTCTTCCACGAGAACAGTTATGAAAGAATTCGGTCCACTCTTGGTTGGAGTACTGAGGTCCTTATTTCTTACAGAGCATCAAGGAGAGGGTCACTTTTAGCTCCTACAGGCTAACAGTTTCTTAGCACTGTGTCTTTGCAGACATTTTGCTTTCTTCAAGTGCAGTAAGAGTGCATCCCTGTCCTCTCAGGTCTGACTCTCTAGATCCATATTTGGAGGGCATAGGTGATGAGGTTAGGTTTACCCAACTAATCTTTGGTTGCTGCAGAGTGACTGATGAGTAATGTAATGTAGTCACCACAACAGGCACAATTTTCGCTGCTCTGGTATGCAATCAGCTGGCAAACAGTCACATTCATTTTGAACCTGGGCATATGATTCCTGGTTTCCCTAGCAAATGGCTTGGAAATCTGACTTCTCTCGACTGAGTTTTGTTAGAAGGAATGTAAATCTCTGTAGTATCTTTTTTTTCTCCCTTGAGGTGCTGGGGTTGAATCCAGGGCTGTGCACATGCTAAGCAAGCATTTGTCCTCTTAATCCCTGTTTTATGAGGCAGGGGTGTGTATGTGTGTGTTGGAATTCTTAGGTGCAGCAGAATTTATTATTCTAACTTGGTGAGCAGAAAAAGAATTGATTGAAACACGTTGAGGTGAGGCACCAGTGCTCACGCCACTGTAATCCTAGCTACTCAGGGGACGGAGATCTGAGAATCACGGTTTGAAGCCAGCCTGGCAGGAAAGTCTGCACAGCTCTTATCTCCACACAGAAGTTGTAAGTGGAGCTGTGGCTCAGCTGGCAGAGCCACTGTCTTTGAGGGCAAAAGCTAACAGGCAGCATAAAGGGCCTTCCTTCAAGCCCCGGTACCAGCCACACATATAACAATAATACATTTGATAGCTGACCATTTTCTTGAGGTTTTTATAAGCTGGCAGATCATTACATCTGGCCTCAGCAGGGAGATTACTGTAACAGAAGACCTTGTAACCATTGTAACTTGGACCCAGTATCCCTTCCTCTACCATGCAGCTCATGTGCACACGACTGCCAGAGGCTCTGTTCCTAGGCTGGCCAGATGAGGAGCGTCCATAGTTTGTGTCTCTTTTTTTATTTTTTTTGGGGGGGGTCCGGTCCTGGGGCCTGAACTCTGGGCCTGGGCACTGTCCCTCAGCTCTTCAGCTCAAGGCTAGTGCTCTACCACTTGAGCCACAACGCCACTTCCAGCTTTTTTCTTTTTGCTTATATGGTGCTGAGGAATCGAACCCAGGGCCTCTTGCATGCAAGGCAAGCGCTCTACCACTGAGCCACCTTCCCAGCCCCATAGTTTGTGTCTCTTAAGTCTCATGTGGGTGTGTCTGATTGGCTGACTTCAGGTTTCCTCCTCCAGACCGGAAAGACTGGGTTATTAAGCTTTCTGAGTTCTAATGTACAGACTTGCAAGACGTGTCTATAGAAAAATAAATTACTAGACTTGTGTTGTGTAGATGGTTTCCCTCTTCCTCTAAGGTAAACTGTTCTTTTGTTGGTGGTGTCATTGTTGTTTTTGTGCCTGTGTCAGGACTTGAACTCGTTTGTGTTCTCGTGTGGCTTTCTTTCTCATGGTGGGCACTCTTGCACTTGAGCCATGTCTCTGGTCCAACCTCTTGCTGGGTAATTGAGGAGGGTGTGTCTCAAACTGTCTGTGAACTGAGATGCCTCAGGTCTCAGACTCCTGAGTAGCAAGGGTTATAGGCACTAATCCTTCGTATCCAGTTTAAACTGTTCCTTTGACATAAAGAACTTTCCCATTCATAGACTACAGAAAAACAGTTGTATTTCCTATATGCTTCCATTACAAACTTCCAGTCCTCAATGTAGCTTCAAGTATGAAGTAAGGATGTGTTTGATGTCTCCCCTCACCCCAGCAGGTGGCCAGTTAGCCCACATCTGTGCTGATGTAAGAGATGCGTTACACTTCTCCAGAACTTAACTATTGAGTGCGTGTGTGTATCACTGCAGTATTGCTTTTAATTCCAGAGAAGTGACAGATCAGAGTCCTGCTCGTTCATTCATCTATTCATTTATTCAGTGCCCTCTGTATACACTACAAAAGGCATACACTACTCATTTCTGTGGACAGAGGAGCTCAGATCTGTGCTGCCACAGCTTTAAAGGAGGTTGGTCTTGCAGGTTTGGGCTCACCTTTGAGTAGACCTCAGACATCTCCTTTACTTTTCTGTGGTGAGTTTATAGTGAGGTTTGTGGTGTCTGGGCTTATCTCAGTATATGCATCTGGAGTGGATCCAAGTAGGTCTAGAAATGGGCAAGTGATATTATACCATGCATTTCATATAGTACTGGATACTTAAGAAACCTTAAACATGAAAAACCAAAAACCTTTTTTTAAAGAAATGAACTTTCATCACTGAACTCAAAGTTAGAACTCACTTTGTTTCATAGAAAATTTGCAAAGATCATCATGCTCATTTGCTTCTCAGTTGACTTTAGCTTCCTCAAATATTGTTATTTTAAAGTCCCATCATAGCCTTTTATATTAAAAGAGACACTGTGCAAAACAAGTTTATTTTGAGAAGAGTATGGTTGCACATGTCTGTAATCCCAGCACTGTGAGGAGGCTGAGACAGGAGGTTTCCAAGTTTGAGGTCAGCCTCAATAAGAGAGTGAATTGAAGGTTCCCTGGGCTGTGTGGTAATAGACCAACACGGTGTAATATTGTAGTTATAGATGGTAACAGAGTCTGCCTCATGGGCAGCCTGAGTCTTACAGTTGGTTCTGTTTTATTCTTTACTTTTTAAAACTGTGTTTGTGACGGGCACCGGTGGCTCACGCCTGTAATCCTAGCTACTCAGGAGGCTGAGATCTGAGGATTGTAGTTCAAAGCCAGCCCAGGCAGGAAACTCTGTGAGACTCTTATCTCCAATAAAAACCACCAGAAGACTGGAAGTGGTGCTGTGGCTCAAGTGGTAAAGCACTAGCCTTGAGCTGAAGAGCTATGGGACATCGCCTAGGCCCAGAGTTCAAGCCCCATGACTGACAAAACAAAAAACAAAAAAACAAAATTGTGTTTGTTTCCTTTCAGTGATTCATAGGCATGGGTAGAATAAAGAACTGACAGTGATCAGTAGTGATCAATATAGTCTTTCTAATTTGTATAATGATTTTGAAATACAGGGACCCTCCACCTCTTCAACACCAACCAGAGCTAGAAGCAGAGCCTCTTCATTTACAGAGCAACTTGATGACGCTGCTATCCCCAACAGAGAGGTAAGATCACATCTTCTAATATTACTCTTCACAAGAAGTCACTCTAAAATGTCATGCCACTGATGATAACAAAGTGAGAAAGGGTTTTGACAGGCCAGCAATTTAATTCCTGGGTATGGATAACACCGTCTTTTGTTTGGAAATAGAACTGATGCTTTTGTTTTTCCTTTGTGTGCCTGTATCAGGACTTAAACCCAGGGCCTTGCACTGGCTTAGTTTTTCCACTCAAGGCTAACACTGTACTACTTGAACCACATCTTCACTTCCAGCTACTTGCTGGTTACCTGGAGATCTGAAGAGAAGAGTGTCTCGGATTTGTCTGTCTGGGCTGGCTTTGAACTAGGATCCCGCAACTTACGCTTTTCTACAGTGTTTGTCTGAGAACTTTACTTTCAGAGGATGACATGCTTTTGGAATAATCTGGTAGAAGTTGTTTCAACATGGTGTAAGGAAATTTCCTGTTCCAACTGGTTAATGAAAGCTGAAAAGTAACTTAACTGGGTTCATATAAATGGTGGGACTTGTTTGGGCCAGTACTGGGGCTTGAACTCAGGGCCTGGGCACTGCCCCTTAACTTTTTCACTCAAGGCTAGCACACATATATTTGAACTACAGGTCCAACTCTGGCTTTTTTCCTGGTTACTTGGAAATTAGTGTCACATGGACTTATCTATCCAAGCTGACTTCAGACCTCAGTCCTCAAACTTCTGAGCACCCACCTCCAGACTTCTTTTTTCCTAAGATTTTCTATTACTTTTTATGTTCTGTCGCACAAATACAGAAAAGAGATGACTTGCATTCCAGCTGTAGAGTAACTTAATAAAAAGTGAATCTCCATGTTACCACCATTGCTTTAGTGCTTTCTCCCTTTCCCTAAGAGATTACCATGCTGATTGTGTGTGTGTGTGTGTGTGTGTGTGTGTGTCCATGCATGCGTATGTATACACTCATGTGCACATTCTAGAACTGTGGCTTAGACTCTGGGAGTGAAGACTGTCCCTTAGCATTTTTGCAAAGGACTGGCACTCTACAATTTGAGCCTCAGTTCCATGTCTAGATTTTTAGTGTTTAAATGAGAGTCTCACATAGACTTTCCTGCCTGGGCTGACTTGGAACCTTGATGCTCAGATCTCAGCCTCCTGAGTAGCTAGGATTACAAGCATGAGACACCAGTGCCCACCCACATAAACTTTGAATAAGATACTTAAATTCCACGCAAAAAAGGAAAACAACAAAGTAAAGCACAACCAGGATCGCAAAACAAACCTAAGAATTTTGGTTGGACTGGGCACTGGTAGCGCATGCCTCTAATCCTAGCTACTTAGAAGGGTGAGATCTGAAGATGGTGGTTCAAAGCCATCCAGGGCAGGAAAGTTGTGAGAGACTTACCTCCAGCGAACCACCTGAAAACCAGAAGTGGCACTGTGGCTTAAAGTGGTAGAGCACTGGCCTTGAACAAAAGAGCTCAGGGACAGCGCCTTACAACTGACAAAAAATCTTTTTTGGTTGGGGTAGCATTGAATCTGTGGATTAGTTTGAAGGAAGTCTCAATATTGTGAATCAAAATTGGTGATTTTTTTATAAAAATAGTATCATAGTGAGGCTTATACTCAGACATTTATAATGCTATTTATCGGATATGTTTCTTGGAGTGGAGTTAGATTATGTGCAAATTTAAAATGTTGAAGCTATTTCTAGTGGTGCTACCCTTGGGCTGGACAGTGACTATGAGTGCCGTGTTCGCTCTTCCCCACGTGTGGGCCAGCCCCTAACATAACTGCAGACGCATGGGAAGGATGGAGCATTTGGCAGGAGTGAATCCAGGGGCAGCCCTTGGCACGCTCTGGGACACCCACAGAGCCCATTCAGATGCCACCAGCTTCATTCATCATAACCCCGTGTGTTTTTGTGTTATTTCTATGCAACTTTAACACAGGTACAGATTTGTGGAATTTCTACCATCAAAAAAAATCACTCTAAATATGATTTACTAAGCATTCACGATTATCAGTGTTTTGGTGTGTAGCATAGAAGTATAAAAGAATATACCAAATAGATCAAAAGAAGTAGTGCGATAGAATTTATCTTTAAGACATGCTTTTCTTTTTCCAAGGTTTTGGCTGCACACAGTGGCTCACACCTGTAATCCTAGCTACCTTGGAGGCTGGTGGAGATCTAGGTTCAAAGCCTGCTTGGGCTGGAACTGGAGGCATACCTCAAGTGGTACAGCACCAGCCATGAGTGGAAAAACCAGAGGAAAGTGCTAGGCCCTAAGTACAAGTCCAGTACTGGTGTGCACACACATATACACAGTTTCTTCTCGGCATACTCAAAAAATAATAGGTTTGCACATATTGTACAGATATTTGTGTGTGTTTAAGTATATATGTGTATTTGGTCTTCTAAACACTACGTTGCAGCCTGTTTGAGTACATAAAAGATGAATGAACTGGTACTGTGGGTATGCATGACTCAAGCAGTAGAATGGTTGGCCCTGAGTTCAGTCCTCAGTACTGCCAAAAAAAAAGGGAGGGGCCCATATTTATGAATGTTATTCCAAAGTTTGTATTCTTTACATTTTTATGATCATTTTACTCAGGTATGATCAACATCTAAAAAACTATATGTATATCTCTTGTATGCAACTAAATAAATTTGGGAATTAAATATATACTGGTGGAGCTATCACCTCCCAAACTTTCCTTTTGTGTCCATTATTGTCATGACAATTGTTAGGGCTAAGGAGAGTTCACACTAGTTGTCCCTTTATAAAACATTTAAGTACACAGTAAAATATTGACAGCTGTCAGCATTATACTTTATTAAAGAGTCATAGAACTTACCTTGCATAACTGAAGCCTTCTATTTTGTGTTATTTATAGTGGTATGAAATTTTACTTCAGATTCCAAACATGATTTACACTATAGTCCTGTTTGCATATATTGTTTGTCTTCCAGTTAGCAACTTGTTTATAAGTTGGGTATTCAAATCCAAACTAATCAGTTCATCTCTTATGGCTGACCATTTCTAGCAACTGGGTATCCCTATGGGGGAGGTGGTGTGGTGGTGTTGGTGGTGGTGGTGGTGGTGATGATGATGATGATGATGATGATGATGGTGGTCACACAGTGGGAACACATTTCAACATGCCAGTATGACTTGTATTTCATCATGCGTTTTATTTTTGTACCTCTGCTGATTACACTGAATGAGACAGCTACTAGCTGGGATGATAGCAGAGCCTGCTTTTCTCTCTGAATATACTATCTTTGCTTTGGATTCCTCCAAACAGCCTAAAACACAGAATGACAGTGTGGTGAGTCCTTCCATGGCTTTTCTGCATTCCCTCTGTAGGACAGCAGCAATAACGTGGCAATTGCACAACTAGATTTTCATCTTGCTCTAGTCACTGACTCTTTCTCTAAAGCATCTTTCTAGTGGCCTCTTGCTAACCTACTACTATTAGAGCCAATGGCTGAGTTGTGGTGGCTGCGGTGCTTACTGACAGCTTTGTAACAGCACAATAACACAGTAGCAGCAACACAGGAACAGTCTGCACTAACACACACAGGCCAGGGTTACTGGGCCCAAACTCCCCAGGTTTCTCCCTCAGGAATGGTTACTCTTAACTGAAAGAAAGAGAAAGGAGTACATTGTTTGACATCTCTATTTTGCTACTAGTAGTATGCCAAGATTATTTTGAGATGTGATTTACATTTTGGAAGAAACAATTCATTATTACACAAATTCATCATGAACAGCTCTGGGAAAGTATATGGCTTCTGTGATAACAAGCAACTGTTATTTTGCAATCACCAGTAATAAGTAATTGCACTATACTTTGCAACTGTTGGTTTTATGAGTGTAAGACACCTGAAAGAAAATAATGTCATTTATCTGAATGGATTCAATTTTAAACTGTGTAAATTTTTTATTTAGGGAAATTAGGCATTTTCTTCGTTAGGGTCTCAGGTCAATTTGTAATTAGCAAGCTAAAATTTAGAAATATTTACCCAGTAAGGACAGCTTTCAGTGTTAGAGTAGAAATGAATGGAACAGGGACAGGGGCTCACGCCTGTAATCCAAACGACTCAGGAGGCTGAGATCTGAGGACTGTGGTTCAAAGCCAGTGGGGCAGGAAAGTCCATGAGACTCTCCTCTCCAGTGAGCCACCAGAATACCAGAAGTGACACTGTGGCTCAAGTGGTAGAGTGCTCGCCTTGAGCTGAAGAGCTGAGGGACAGTGCTCAAGCCCAGAGTTCAAGCCCCACGGCTGACCAAAAGAAAAAGAAAAGAAGAAACTAATGTGATTTGTCATCAGTGCCAAATCATCATTTCTGAACTTGGTTTCAGAGAAGAAAGCTGCTTAGGAAAATAATGGGGTAGTGGGTAGTAAGAGCTATATTAGACATGGATGTCTGAGAAACTGGCATGTCATTGGCTCTGGCTACAAGTAATACCGCATTGTTCCTAAACTGGGGAGTGAATCAGGAGTTCCAGTCAGAGAAAGCTGAGCAGTTTACTTTTAAAACACAGAGGGGCCTGGTGCTGGTGACCTGTCTTCCTAGCCAGTCAGGAGACAGAGGTTTTAGGATTGTGATTCAAAGCCAGCCTAGGCAGAAGTCCATGATACTCCTATCTCTAGTCAGCACAAAAATGGAGCTGTGGCTCAAGTGGTAGATAGCCAGCCTTGAGCAAAAAAGCTGAGGGACAGTGCCCAAGCCCTGAGTCCAAGCTCTTGTATCTCTCTCTCTCTCTCTCTCTCTCTCTCTCACACACACACACACACACACACCAAAACACAAAAGGATATGTTTTATACTTGAAGTAGTTGGAATAGAAACTTTAGGAAAGAACAGTGTCCGGTGCCACCCCTGCTCAGGAGGCTGAGATCTGAGGATGACAGTTTTAATCCAGACCCTGCAGAAAGTCCATGAGACTCTTATCTCCAGTAAATTACCAAAAAAGCCAAAAGTGGAACTGTGGCTCCAAGGGGTAGAGCACTAGCCTAGAGCAAAAAGAAACCCAGGGACAGCCCCCAGGACCTGAGTTGAAGCCCCAGGACCAGCAAAAGAAAGAACTTACATTTCCAACTTTCATAAGTATAGAACATAAAGTTCATTTGAATCTAGTATCTGTTTTCAAAAATGTTACCACGGTAAAAGTGGAAGGCTTTAGACTCTTTGAAAATAAATTTCAGAGCTAGGCATGGTAATGCCAGCTACTTGGGTGGCCTTGCTACTTCAGAGATGGAGTGAGTCTAGAAGGTCCCCAGGTCAGGACATTCTCCAATCTCAGATAACAAAATACGAAATGAACAAGAAAGGGAGGAGGAAAGAAGGTAGATAGGAAAAGGAAGGGAAGGGTTGGGGAGGGAGGGAAACAGGGAAGGAGAAGGAAAGACAAGGGAGAAGGAAAAAGAAAGAGAAAATCTTTAGTAAACTAAAAGCCTTTTCCTAACACATTAAGTTTCATATTTGTCTGATAAAAAAACTTTTCTCCCCATATGATGAATGTATAGAGTAGTCTATGTCATAATAAAAATGAAGTGAGAATCTAATTCGATGATAAGTTTTTACTGTATCTTTAGGGCTTGGCAGTCAAAAAATGATTATAGAAAGATTGAAGATGATGTACTTAAAGACAGGTTTGGTAGGGAACCTGTGTGTACGCATTAAAATTTGTTTCTTATTACCAAAGAATTTCCTCCAGGAAACGGTGTTGATGACTTTGAGTGTCGCCCAGTGTTGAGCTAACGCCATAGACGTCTCTTGGGAGAAGGCCTTTACACTGTCTCGACTACATAAGGACTTAGCAAGCACTTATCAAGAGCTTACTAAAACAGATATTAGGTGTTGAGCACCAGACTGAAAATGTAGAACGGGTCCTCTGAGACTTTATAATTTAATGTGCTGACAAACAGGTCAGTGTGTGTACTTACAGTGCAAAAGAGATGAGGTTTCGTACAAGCAAACATAAACATTAAGAATGCATTTGTGTAACAGGTGAGCCAGATGCAGCAATGCAAGTGAATTTGAAGCCAGGTCCTTGTGGTTCATCCCGATAATCCTAGCTACTCAGGAAGCTGAGATCTAAGGATTTTGGTTCAAAGCCAACCTGGAAAGGGAAAGTCCCTGAGACTCTATCTCCAGTTAATAACCAAAAAGCCGGAAGTGGAGTTGTGCTCAAATGGGAGGGTGCTTGCTTTGAGCCAAAAAGCTCAGGGACAATGAACACTCACTGAATTCAATCCCCAAGACCAGCACCATCATCCCAAAAAGAAAGAAAAATAAAGTCCAAGAGTCTCCCTCCACTCTCCAGTTGGCCATTAAAAAGCCAGATGTGGGTTTGTGTCTCCAACCTGGAGCAAAAGAAGCCAAGGGGCAGCACCCAGGCCTAAGTCTAAGCCCCTGTATCAGCACACACACACCAAAAAGATACATTGTTTGGAAGTGAAGCCAATCATTTGAGCATTATTTTATCATGGGGAACAATCACATTGCCTCTGTTTTATAGTTTCCTCTTTGAATCTTGCTGATTGAATCCCTAAGGAATTTTGTCGTGGGAGACTAGTGAGTACTGTGTACTAATCTTTGCTATTGGGTTTCACATAGTACAGCAAAGTGGATTTTCTAAATTGCCATACTAATTTTTCCTTGCATGAAAATATTCTAATAAGTGTGCAGTTACTAATTGTGTTTAATTGCTGAAAGTATTTTATAGGTCCTGATGCCTTTCGAAAATATTCCTTTATAATACTTCTTTCTTTTTCTCAGAATGCATCCACCCATGTTGTGAAGTCCTCAGACAATGTTAACAGAAGTGAATTATCTACTCCTCAGGTCTGTCACTAATGGTATTTTTTAAAAACAAGTTCCTTCAGAGTATGGGCCTGTCTGTTATGGTTACAGTCCAACATTCATTCAAACGATGATGTTCAAATATGTGATACCATATGTTTACTAACTATGGATTTGTTCTTAGTTTCTTAGGAAAGTTTACATTTATTTACTTCTTTATTTATTTTTGCCCTGGTACTAGGACTTGCACTCAGGGCCTTGTACTTTTCCTTAGTTTTTTTTTTTTTTTTTTTTTCCTCAAGGCTAGCACTCTACCACTTGAACCACACCTTCACCTCTGGCTTTTTGGTGTCTCCTTGGAGATAAGAGTCTTACAGACTTCCGCCTAGGTTGGCTTTGAATCATGATCTTCAGATCTCAGCCTCCAGAGTAGCTAGCAGTACAGGTGTGAGCCACCAACTCCTGACTAAAAGTTTTAAATGAAAGTAATGTCCTGTTATTTCTCATTTATAAAATTAATGGCACGGTGAAAGTGAAAACTTTAAAAATGATAAAACCAATTCCTTTTTACAGATTTTTCTCCTACAGTATATATTATCAAACTGAAAGATGGCACATTCTAATCTGAAAGAGTGTGGGAAAAACAAATCAAAAAGTACAAATTGAAATCTGTCAGTATCACAATTTAGTAATACAGAACAGAACCTATATTTATTATCCAAATCCACTCAGCTACCCAACCTAGAGACAGATATTGTTTAGTAGTCCATGAGGGCACCACGGGCTAGTCTTATGGAGTGCTGTGTAAATGGAATCAAAACCAAAAAAGAAAGAGAGGGGGGAATGGAAAGGAGAAATAGAAGGGACTGGTGTCTATCCTTCAAGGCTTATTCTAAGTCAATGAAAATGTACGTATAAGCCGAGCACCAGTGGCTCATGCCTGTAGAGATGGAGGTATGGTTCAAGTGATAGAGTGCCAGTGGTGAACGCAAAAGTGAAGTAACTGTCTCAGCATGTACACACACAAAAAGAAGTTACCTAATGTCTGTCTGTCTTCTCTCTTTCTCAAAAAACAATGTTTTATAGACACTATCAACAACTGAATTTGTTACAGCACAGATCACTACTGGGTCATAGGAGATAATAGAAGGGTGTGTGTGCGTGTGTGTGTGTGTGTGTGTGTGTGTGTGTGTGTTTGTGTGTGTGTGTGTGTGTATGTGTTGGAACTCACCTCCCTTGTTCTGGTTGCAGTCAGGTGACACTCAGACTTTTGCTCAGAAACTCCAGCTGCGGGTGCCTTCCATGGAATCTTTGTTTCGAAGTCCTGTAAAGGACTCTCTCTTCCGATCTTCTAAAGAGTCTCTGATCCGAACATCTTCCCGCGAGTCCCTGAATCAGCTGGACCTGGAATATTCTGCAGCCTCCTTTGATTCGCCTTCCGACATGGAGAGTGAGGCTGAGGATTCCTTAGGGAATTTTGATAGTCTCAACAAAGAACAGTTGATTCAGCGATTGCGAAGACTGGACCGAAGTTTGAATAGCTATAGAGGAAAGTATTCTGAGGTAGGAACCTGCCCTTTTGGCTTGTGCCAAAACATTTCCCCTCTGGCCACCTATTCTCTCATTTATAGGAGAGAGAAGGTAAATGAGTTTTACTCCTGATCTGTGGCAGTATTTAGTGGGAAATATTCCATGACATAGAGATAGAGGGCCTGTGACAAAATGCAGGGTAAGGTTTTGGAGGAGAATGTGGTCTACAGTGCTTTTCTTTTCGTTGTTGTTGTTATTGGTCGTGGGGTCTGAACTCTGGGCCTGGGCACTGTCCCTCAGCTCTTTAGCTTAAGGCGAGCACTCTACCACTTGAACCACAGCGCCACTTCCAGCTTTTTCTGTTTATGTGGTGCTGAGGAATCGAACCCAGGGCCTCATGAGTGTAAGGCAAGCACTCTACCACTGAACCACCTTCCCAGCCCCATACTGCTTTTCTTTTTAAATATCCCTTCACCGTTCTTAGCTCCCTGTTTCCAAGGTTACACAAGCAGAGAATTGAGTATCCCCAAATTAAGCTCTTTTGCCAACCAAATTCTTATTACTGATGGGAGTTAGTTTTCAGTAGTCTTAATTGGTTCATTCTAAAGTCTCTTGTATTTAAACTCTTTGTCTAAAATGAATCTTTTTGGGGGGAGGGGGAAGGTGTCAGTACAGGGACTCAAAACTCAGGGCCTGGGTGTTGTCCCTCAGCTCTTCAGCTCAAGGCTGGCGCCCTACCACTTGAGTCACAGCTCCACTTCCAGCTTTTTGCAGGTTAATTGAAGATAAGAGTATCACAGTTTTCACGCCCAAGCTGGGTTCAAACCATGATGCTCAGATCTCAGCCTCCTAAGTAGCTAGGATGGCAGGTGTGAGCCACCGGTATCCAGCTCATTATAATGAATCTTTTAACGCCTAAACCCTTGAGGATGACATAGTACAATCCGAGCACTTTGTTTTTAAGATAAAATTTATCAGTTGTCTTGCCTCTTGGGTTCCTTTCTATTGCGGTTAGAGTAATTCTTTAGGAAAGCATTTGTGGATTATATTACCCATGGCTTTAGGCAGTTAACTGTCACATCAACCTCTGAATTAGGTGGAAAATCCAGACAAATGTGCCTAAAGTGACATTATAAAGATATAGAATTTTGGGGCTGGGAAGGTGGCTCAGAGGTAGAGCGCTTACCTTGCATGCATGAGGCCCTGGGTTCGATTCCTCAGCACCACATAAGCAAAAAGAAAAAAGCCGGAAGTGGTGCTGTGGCTCAAGTGGTAGAGTACTAGCCTTTAGCTGAAGAGCTGAGGGACAGCGCCCAGGCCCAGAGTTCAGGCCCCACGACCAGACCCCCAAAAAAATAAAGAATTAAAAAATATAGAGAGAGAGAGAGAGAGAGAATTTTACCATTATTAGATTTTTTATATTTCATATTTTGTATATTATTTAATATTAACTGTTGTGTATCTCATTGGGTTTAATCATCTATAAAGGACTCTGATCATTTCTGACATTTTTCTTTTTTTTTTTTTTTTTTTGGTCAGTCATGGGGCTTGAACTCTGGGCCTGGGCGCTGTCCCTCAGCTCTTTAGCTCAAGGCTAGCACTTGAGCCACTGCACCACTTACAGTTTTCTGAGTGGTTAATAGGAGATAAATGTCTCAAAGACTTTCCTGCCCAGGCTGGCTTTGCACCATGAACCTCAGATCTCGGCCTCCTCAGATCTCTAGCCACTGGTGCCCAGCTCAGGAAGTGTCTGAGTCTCTCTTTTAATTTTATTTGAGTAGTTGTACAAAGGTGTTTGAACTCAACAAATCAGTTTATAAGTACAATACATTTGGTCATTGTTACCCATTCCATCATTCTTTCTCAGCATCACAATCATTACCCTGAAGTAGTTTATTAACTTCTACAGCAGGATGGTTTAGCTAGGTTTGAAAACTTAAATTCCATTTGTTGAGAAATGACTAATGTTATTGGTGTATTTGTTGTAGCTTGTATCAGCTTACCAGACTCTTCAGAGAGAGAAGAAGAAGCTACAAGTAAGTAGAAACGCTATACTGGCTATTTTTGACTCCTACATCCTTTTAAAAGTAGATAAGATCTTCCAAGGAGATGCTGCTAGCCCTTTTTAGATTATACTGTTTAAATCATACTGTTTAGCCCACTTGACCACTTCTGGAGATTTCGATCATCAGTGGAGGGCCCCAGAGGTTTTTCCTTATTATTTAGGGAGGTATAGATCCCTATACTGGTCAAGAGTTTGAGATTCATTTCAGTGTTTTCCCAGTAATTTGGTCTTCCAAGTAAAGTGTCACACAGCTTTCTTGGTTTTGGGTTTTCTTTTCTTTCTTTCTTTCTTTCTTTTTTTTTTTTTTGACATATTCAGTACTTCCTGGTTGTTCTTCAGAGCTAGACACTGCATTTGTGCATTTGTTATTTGTGCTGTAGCCTTACATTACACTACAAAAATCTCCAAGAAAGTTTACTCCAGTGTACAAGCCGTATTAAATACTTTGAAGAAAAATGGACCAATCAGATATAGTCTACCAGTGCCCAGCTCTCACTTTGTAAGTAGGCTTAAGTTACTGGAAAGGCACTCCCCAAAACAAACAAAAAGCTCCTTGCCAACAATGAAGCAATATATTAATTGCTATAAAGTGAAATACAGCACAAATATATTGCCATATATGTTACTGAGTTGTTGTTAACATGTATTTCTACAACTGGAAGTGAGATTTTTTTTCAACCATCTGTTTGTTTCCTTTATTTTCTCAGTAGACATCTCTGATGTTTTCAAAAGGCTTTTGTTATTTCTGTATCAAGGTCTTTCCAAACAGTTTCTTCCAGAAAGAATAACGGTTTTTGGAGGCTACTCTAGCTCTCAGTCAAGTATTTGAGATAAGAAACTATATTCTTCTGGATGACCCCCTTTCCTTTCTCTCTCCCTCCTTCCCTCCCTCCCTGTCTCTCACTGTCTCCGTCTCCATCTCAGTTCTTTTGTGCCAGTACTGTGGCTTGAACTCAGAGCCTGGGCACTATCTAGCTCAAGGCCTGCACTCTGCCACTTGAGCCATACCTCCACTTCCCGATTTTTGCTGTTAGAGATACAAGTCTTACAGACTTTTCTGCCTGGGCTAGCTTCAAACCATGGTCCTAATATCCCAGCCTGCTGAGTTGCTAAGAATTCAGGGTAAGCCACCAGCACCCAGCTTGTACTGTTGTATTTTTGAGATGGGTTCTTGCTTCTTGCCTGGGCCTGCGCTCGACCATCAACCACAATCTACCAATTATAGGTTTTCCGTCACAACTGGGTTATAGGCACACACCACCTCACCCAGCTTCTTTCTGTTGAGATGAAGTCTCACAGACTCTTCTTGCCTTGCCTGGCTTGGAATCTTGATCTTCCATTCTCAGCCTCCTAAGAAGCTAGAAGTGAGCATAAACCACCTGTGTCCAACTAACTTTTAACAAACCTCACCATGGTCACAAATCCTTGACATTTTCAGTCCTGGCCTCCAAAACCGCCTCTTCTTTGAATAAGTAGTTGTAATATTTTAAAAAGTTTGTTGGTGTCTTGTTTTGTTTTAACTAGTGTTGTATGCTATGTCATGCAGATCTTTAACTGATTTATTCTTGTGTTGTTTCATATGAAGGGTATATTAAGTCAGAGTCAGGACAAAGCACTTCGGAGAATTGGAGAATTAAGGGAGGTAAGTTGTAATGATTAATACTTGCAGACAGAACTTTGTTCTTTTATACTTTTGTTCTTTTATACTTACCAAATTATTGGATCTGCTAAATTAGTTTCATATCCACATTGTTATAAGAACACTCAGCCAGCTCAGCCTCACAGTTTTTGTAGGAGTTTTCTATGATAGAGGTTATGTTAAGGTTAATGACATAAGTACACATCTTACTTTGCCAGGTGCTGGTAGCTCACGCCTGTAATCCTGGCTAGTCAGAAGGTAGAGACCTGAGGATCAAATGGTTTAGAACCAGCCCGGGCAGGAAGATTCCCGTGAGACTTTTATGTTCAAACGCCACAACCGATCGCAAAAAAAAAGGAAAAAAAGAAAAACTTTATATATACCTTACTGTGCAACAGAGTGTGTTCAGCTGTGTGAACAGTCATTGGCAACTTCCAAGACTAAACTCTCTCTACCATTCTTTGATTGTTTGTGACAGTCCTGGGGCTTGAGCTCATGGCCTAGGTACTGTCCCTGCTTTTTTTTGTGGTTCATTGGATATTAGAGTCTCAAGGACTTTCCTGCCCCAGCCGGCTTTGAACTGCAGTCCTCAGATCTCAGCTTCCTCAGTAGCTGGGGTGACAGGCGTGAGCCACCAGTACCCAGCTTACCTGTTGAATATTCTAAGCACCTTTTTGTTTTTCTTAACCAACAATCTGGTAAAATTAAATAATGTTCTTTGCACTTCTTGGGTGTGATTGTCCATAAAGACTAGGTGGCCTTCCTGTGTGTCTTTCTGCCCAGCCATGTGTGGGAGTGGGCGGAACCACTCGTGGTTGTATCTGTTACCCTCAGAGTGCTTGGTGGGTGTTGTCCTCAAGTGCATCTGGTCCCTGGCTTTTCTCTGCTTGTTCCTGTACAGGCCTTGGTAACTCACTCTTCCCTTCTCCCTAACCATTTGTGTTTTGGTGTGTGGGGATATCTTAATACATATTTTTGTTGTGAAAATTCTTCACAGCTTTCAGCTTGCTGTTGTTTGTTTCCTCATGTTTTCTTTTTCTTCTTTTTTTAAAATTTTTTTTGTCAATACTGGAGCTTAAACTTCAGGTCTGGAGCTACTATAGTAGGCTGCACTCTCCAGCTTCAGTCACATCTCCAGTTCTGTTTTCTTCATGTTGTTTTCAAGACAGGGTCACAGGCTGGAAAGGTGGCTCAGTGGTAGAGCGCTTGCCTTGCATGCATGAGGCCCTGGGTTCCATTCCTCAGCACCACATAAGCAAAAAGAAAAAAGCCGGAAGTGGCGCTGTGGCTCAAGTGGTAGAACACTAGCCTTGAGTTGAAGAGCTGAGGGACAAGCCCAGAGTTCAGGCCCCACGACCGGGTACCCCCCCCCAAAAAAAAAAAAAGACAGGGTCGCAAACTTCTCTGCTCTGGCTGGCCTCAAATGGCGGTCCTTCTGCTTGAGATAGAATTGTAGGAGCAAGCCACCAGCTCTTGACTTCAACTTGATACTTTTGTTTCTAAATTGTTCAATTTTCTTTGCGTGTTTGTATGTGTATGTGTGTGTACACGTATATATGTATGTACGTACTGGTATTGGGGTTTATACTTAGCTATCTTCTTCACAGCTGGTGCTCTGCACTTGAGCCATGCCTCTAGTCCAGTATTTTGCTGAATAATTGGAAATAGTCTTGATGTTTCTTCCCGGATGTGTTTGAATCTTGATTGTTCAGGTCTCAGCCTCCTTCTTGAGTAGTTAGGGTGACAGGCATGAATCACCAGCTCACTTAGCGTTTTTGCTTAAAGCTGATACTTGACCACCTAAGCCATTCTAGTCAGCATTTTTCTGGATTCCTCCCTGGGCTGGCATCCTGAGTGGCTGTGGTGACAGGCACAAGCCATCAGCACACTGTCTACATCTTCATATACTTTTGTGTGAGTGTGCTGTTCCTGGGACTTGAACTTAGGGCCTGGGTGCTGTCCCTCAGCTTAAGACTGGCACTCAACCACTCAAGACCAGCACTCTACCACTTGAGCCATAAATCCACTTCCAGCTTTTTTTTTTTTTTTTTGGTCTGATTAATTGGAGAAAAGAGTCTTAGGGACTTACCTGCCTAGGCCTAGGCTGACTTTGAACCACAGTCCTTAGATCTCAACCTCCTGAGTAGTGAGGTTTATAGGTGTGACCACTGGTTCCCAATGATCTTCATATTCTTTAAGGAACAAAATTATTGGCCTATGTTAATGAGTTAACCAGTATTGGTGTCTTATGTGCCGAGTATTTTCTAATTAGTTCTAATTGTTACTTCTGGCATCCTATTTTAATTTGTTTTGTTTTGGTCTATCATGGGGCTTGAACTCTGGGCCTGGGCGTTGTCCCCCAGCTCTTCAGCTCAAGGCTAGTGCTCTACCACTTGAGTCACAGCACCACTTCTGGTTTTCTGGTGGTTAATTGAAGATAAGAGTCTCACAGACTTTCCTGCCTGGGCTGGCTTTGAACCCTGATGCACAGATCTCAGCCTCCTGAGTAGCTAGCTTGACAGGTGTGAGCCACTAGCACCCAGCCTGGCATCCTGTCTTAAGAGGTGAGCAAGCCAGGGGCAAGTGGCAGGAGGCTGAAACCTGAGGCTCTAGGTTCAAAGCCAGCCTTGGAAAACATATCTGTAAGACTCTTCTCTAATTAACCAGCCAAAAGCTGGAACTGAAGGCTAATTCAGGTAGTAGAGTGCCAACTATGAGAGGAAAACAGAGCAAGAGAACAGAGCCCTGAGTTCAAGTCCCAGTTCTGGTACCAGAGAGAGAGAGAGAAAGGGAGAGAGACAGAGACAGACAGAGTGAGAGAGAGGGGCATAGGCAAATCTGTGTTAGCTATATCTTTAAATTTTGGAAACTTTTTGTTTCTTTTGTTTCACACTGACAACTATAAAATCTTTTAGGAGCTCCAAATGGATCAGCAAGCGAAGAAACATCTCCAGGAGGAGTTTGATGCATCTCTAGAGGAGAAAGATCAGTATATCAGCGTTCTCCAGACCCAGGTAGAGGATGGAACTGAGAAGTTTTAATGAATTAGGTTGTTTTCTGTTTGAAGTGAAAGGCTGTTTTCACAAGTGTTTGCCCCCCCACCCCCTTTTAAGGATAACTTGGAGTGTTACATCTTTTGATTATTTGTAATGCCACAGACAAATGTCACAGATTATAATCAGCTACGTTGGGAATATATTTTATATTCTTCCTCCACTGTGGTAGCACTGCTACTGTTTACTCTGTCGCCTGTCGGTTTGTTTTTATTTTGTTTTATGCCCAGACTAGGGTATGAACTCAGGGCCTCATACTCTCACTTGGCTTTTTCACTCAAGGCTGATGCTCTACCACTTGAGCCATATCTCCACTTGTGGCTTTTTGCAGGTTGGTTGGAGATAAGAGTCTCTCAGATTTCTCTGCTGGTGCTCACTTGGATCTCAGCCGGATGAGCCAGCGATGCCCAGCCAGCCTCTGTCATTTTGTTGATGTGGTGGTAGTGGTGGTGCCCATCCTCAGGCTTGAACTTGGGGCCTGGGCTCTGCTCCTGAGCCCTTTTTGTTGAAGGCTAATGCTCTACCACTGGAGTTACTGCTCCGCTTCTGGTTTATGCCAAGTGCATGGGAGATAACAGTCACATGGACTTTCCTGCCCAGGCTGGCTTTGAACCACGAGCTTCAGATCTCAGCCTTGAAAGCTGCCAGTGCCTGGGTCCCCTGTATTTTTTTAAAAGAAAATATTACTTCTGTGCTTTCCTCCCCATAATGAAATACTTTATTTTAGGTTTCTCTCCTGAAACAACGATTACGTAATAGCCCTGTGAATATTGATGTACTAAAACCTCTCCCTCAGATGGAAACTGAGGCTGAAGTTGACACTAAGGAAGAGAACACAGAGGATAATGTAGAGGCAATAGGTAAGCATCCTTCCTGTTGAAAGTTTAATTTGAAAAACAGATGAGAGCCAGACACTGGTTGTCATCATAGCTACTCAGGAGGCTGAGATCTGAGGATCACAGTTGGAAGTCAACCAGCAAAGAACCACAGTATGGCTCAAGTGAAGCATAAAAGCTAAAGCAGATTGGAAGGTCCTGAGTTCAAGCTGCAGTGCTACCACCGAAGCAAGGAGAAAGCAGTAGACGACAGAATTGAGACATACAGGACAAGAGCTGATTAAAAAAAAAAAAAAAGTAATGAAGTAAGTGCCCTCAGTCTTAGCATTCCCACAAAGATGCAGAGGTTTCTGTTGTCCTTTAGTAATTTGTTGGCTAACTTTTAGGAGAAAGTAAGTAATTGTTTTCAGACTTGATAGTTGCATAAGCTACAAGAAGCAGTTTGTTTTCAATCTAATTGAAAATGATTATGTTATACTATTATGTTGATAGCAGTTCCTAGATTTCCTAGAAGCATGTCAGTCCATCTCAAGGTTAATAGATAATTCTAGGGGCTGGGAAGGTGGCTCAGTGGTAGAGCGCTTGCCTTGCATGCATGAGGCCCTGGGTTCGATTCCTCAGCACCACATAAGCAAAAAAAAAAAAGCAAAAAGCCAGAAGTGGTAGAGCGCTAGCCTTGAGCTGAAGAGCTAAGGGACAGCGCCCAGGCCCCACAACCGGACCCCCCAAAAAATAGATAATTCTATTTACAATTGTTTGGATATTTTATTTTTTTATTTTTTATTTTTTTGGTCCGGTCGTGGGGCCTGAACTCTGGGCCTAGGCGCTGTCCCTCAGCTCTTCAGCTCAAGGCTAGCACTCTACCACTTGAGCCACAGCGCCACTTCCAGCTTTTTTCTTTTTTGCTTATGTGGTGCTGAGGAATTGAAATCAGGGCCTCAGGCATACAAGGCAAGTGCTCTACCACTGAGCCACCTTCCCAGCCCTGTTTGGATATTTTAAATTTCATTGTTTATATTTATATGCGTCTATATTTGAATATGTCCATATTATTATTATTTTGTTTTAACTGGAAAATATAGAAAAGATTTTATCTCAAAGTTCGATTGTTACCCTCCCTAAATTTTGAGTCTTCCGTCTTCAATAAAAATTCCTACTTTTTTTATTTCCTAGGTATTTGATTGATTGTTTGTTTTTTTTAGACAAATTGGCTATCCATTTTCATTTCCTAGGTTTTTGTTTGCTGAGACAAGTTAGTTTGAAGCACGTTACAGATGTAACCTTCCAGATTAATGGGATTACAGGCATGTGCTGCCACCTTGCCATCCTGGTCTTTTCCCTTTCAAAGAGACTAAACATTATTTTAGTCTAGCCAGAATCAGAGTATCTTACTGAGCAGCTATCTGAGCAGTCAGTGTATCAGAGGATTTGCAGTTACTCTGAGACGTAAAATCTCACTCAGAAATGTAATGAAATGCAGAAAGCCATATCCGCTCTCAGGAAGAGATTAGAGCGTGGTTAGAATCAATGTTTAATAATCCTTTGGAGTTGGTATTGAAGATCACATAATTATGAATAACAGAAAGTAGTTGCCAAACTTGTTGGTTAAGAAAGGTGGATGCAATCAATGTTAGTTCTCTTCTGTGCCATTGTAGCCTCAAAAAAGGTGAATGCAGCCAGTGCCTATAATCCTAGATACTCAGCAGAATTCAAAAGTCTAATGAACTGCCGAGAAGCTGGAGTGGAGCCGTGGCTCAAGTGGTAGAGCACTCATCTTGAGTAAAAAAGCTCAGGTTCAAGGCCCAGGACTGGCCCATGCAAGCACCTACACACACACCTACACCTGAATATACTACCCCTTGTCTTCAAAAAATAGAGGTTTGTGAGAGGCCTGTCTGTTAGCTAGCCAGGCTTATCCTCTCCTCCTTGATCTAGCTTTTAGAGTATTGCAGTTTGGTAAAGGAATACCCTCCAGGGACTAGGAGTGTGACTTAGTGGGGGAACAGCTGCCTTATTAGCGTCCAGAAGACTCTAGATTCAGTGTTCAACACCCTCCCCTCAAGAAACGTTCACAAGCAATAGTATGCACGCCCGTGCACTAACAGAACTGCACCTGGAATTCCCTTCTATCTCCTCACTGATTGACCCTGTTCATGGTGCTTTACCGTTCCCTACTAGGAGAAGTCCCTTCTGCAAAAATGCTGGAAACACTTCAGCAAAGGGTTAAGCGTCAAGAAAATCTTCTTCAGCGTTGTAAAGAAACCATTCAGTCACACAAAGAACAGTGTACACTACTAACCAGTGAAAAGGAAGCACTTCAAGAACAGCTGGAGGAAAGGCTTCAAGAGCTGGAAAAGATGAAGGTAAAATTACAATGTTTCTTCTATAAAGTTCTGGAAAGATAGATCTCTCAGTTCCAATCTGAACCTTCCCTAGAAAGCCTCATCCTCTGTAGGCTGTGTGGAGAGGCATACTTCTCTGGATATACATCCTAGCTTTGGTAGCATTGATCTCCTGTACACTTCCGTCCTCCTAGCTGGGTAGCATTGGTCTCCTGTATACTTTAGTCCTCCTAGCTTTGGTAGCCTTGGTCTCCTGTACACTTCGGTCCTGCTAGCTTTGGTAGCATTGATCTCCAGTACACTTAGGTCCTCCTAGCTTGGGTAGCATTGGTCTCCTGTACACTTTGGTCCTCCTAGCTTTGATAGTGTTGGTCTCCTCTACACTTCCATCCTGCTAGCTTGGGTAGCATTGGTCTTCTGTACACTTTGGTCCTCCTAGCTTTGATAGTGTTGGTCTCCTCTACACTTCCATCCTGCTAGCTTGGGTAGCGTTGGTCTCCTGTACACTTTGGTCCTCGTAGCTTGGGTAGCGTTGGTCTCCTGTACACTTAGGTCCTCCTAGCTTGGGTAGTGGTGGTCTCCTGTACACTTTGGTCCTCCTAGCTTGGGTAGCATTGGTCTCCTGTACACTTCAGTCCTGCTAGCTTGGGTAGCATTGGTCTCCTGTACACTTCCGTCCTGCTAGCTTGGTAGCATTGCTGTGCTTGGGTCTTTGTGCACTTCCATCCTACTAGACTGTTAAGCTCTAACCAGGTTACATACACTGTATAAAATTGCCCTATAAAGATCAGTTTTATTATAGAAAGGAATTTATCTTTGTGTTTTAGGAGCTTCATATGGCTGAGAAAACAAAACTTATCACGCAGCTGCGTGATGCGAAGAACTCCATTGAACAACTTGAACAAGATAAGGTATAAGGACACCTGTGGCCCTCCTCTGAATTGACTGATAGCTGTGAGAAAGCTTTCCACAAGAGAGATCATGAAAATTTTGTTTTGTTTTATGCTTTGTTTTTTGTGACAGTACTAGGGCTTGAACTCAGGGTCTGGATGCTGTTTCTGAGCTTTTTTACTATAGGCAAGCACTCTTGTCACTTGAGCCACAGCCCCACTTTTAGTTTTTTTGTTGGTTAGTTGAAGATGAGAGTGTCACAAATTTGTCCTACAGTGACTAGCTTAGAATCATGATCCTCAGATCCCAGCCTTCTTAGTATCTAGGAACTGGCATTTGGCACTCTTTGTTTTTACAAAACTGTAACCATATTACCATTACCTCTAGCAATTAAAATATTCTTAGTATAATCTCTCAGTTTCAGATTTTTGTTTCATTTTATGAATCAAGATCTAGATAAAATTCTTTTTTTTTTTTTTGGTTCGGTCATGGGGCTTGAATTCTGGGCCTGAGCACTGTCCCTCAGCTCTTCAGCTCAAGGCTAGCGCTCTACCACTTGAGTTACAGCACTACTTCTGGTTTTTCTGGTGGCTTATTGGAGATCAGAGTCTCACAGACTTTCCTGCCGGGGCTGGCTTTGATTCGTAATCCTCAGATCTCAGTCTACTGAGAGGCTAGGATGACAGCATGAGCCACCAGTGCCCAGTTTAAGACCTCTATTAATAATTTATAGTTTCAATTGTCCTTTATTTGTTGTTCCTCCCCACTCCTATGGTGATTCAGTTTCTGAAGAAAATGAAGGCCCAGGGGCTGGGAAGGTGGCTCAGTGGTAGAGCACTTGCCTTGCATTCCTGAGGCCCTGAGTTCCATTCCGCAGCACCACATAAGCAAAAAGAAAAAAGCCAGAAGTAGTACTGTGGCTCAAGTGGTAGAGCCCTAGCCTTGAGCTGAAGAGCTGAGGGACAGTGCCCAGGCCCAGAGTTCAGGCCCCACGACCAGACCAAAAAAAAAAGAAAATGAAGGCCCATGGGCTGGGAAGATGGCTCAGTGGTAGAGCGCTTGCCTTGCATGCCTGAGGCCCTGGGTTCGATTCCTCAGCACCACATAAGCAAAAAGAAAAAAGCAGGAAGTGGTGCTGTGGCTCAAGTGGTAGAGCGCTAGCCTTGAACTGAAGAGCTGAGGGACAGCGCCCAGGCCCAGAGTTCAGGCCCCACGACCGGACCCAAAAAAGAAAAAAAAAAGAAAATGAAGGCCCAGGATTTTGTTTTAAAATTCCTTATTAGTAATGGCTATTGTTTGTTAATATTAGTTATCTGGAAGAGTCGTCCTATAAAGCAGGGATTTGGAGACCCTGTGGGTAAGGTAATGTTCTTCTTGAGAACATGAAATAGTTGTTACAAAGTCTGAACACCTTTTCAAGGACAAGTTAAACTACTCTCAGTTACTTAGTGTCTAATAATCGATTTCAAATGTAGTAACCCCACCCCCACCACCTGCCCTGTGGTCTTCATTTCTAGTGAGCATGATCCCTTCATAGACACACTGGCAAGTCAGAGGGCTGGGGCTCCTTAGTCACTGACAGTCCCAGGAGGAGGACAAAGGAACATCCAAGCAGATTACTCTACCTCAGTTTGATCCATCCTTTCTGAACAGTCAGTGGTTATATACTTCATTGTGGTCAGGAGGCAAGTTCAACAGCCTATGTCTAATTCCTTAGAAATGGCTTATTAGAGTAGGGGAAATTATAGCACATTTATAGAAAGGTTATAAAATCTTTTTTTCTTTTTTTTTAATTGAAAATACCATACAGCGGGGTTACAATTACATGAGCAAGGTAATGAGTACATTTCTTATCAAGCATGGTTGCCTCCTCCTTTGTTTCCCCTTACCATCCCTTCCCATCTCCCCCTCATACCCCCTCACACCTCACCCCCCTAAAATCTTTTATTAAAACATGGTTTGATACTTAAAAGGATTACACTTACTGTGAACCTTTTTAATCAAAAATACCTTGAGATACACTGAGCACCGGTGGCTCACGCCTATCATCCTAGCTACACAGGAGGCTGACATCTGACCATGGTTCAAAGCCAGCTGGGGCCAAAAAGTCCCCATGAGACTCTTATCTCCAATGAACCACTCAAAAACCTCAAGTGGAGCTGTGACTCAAGTGGTAGAGCGCTAGCCTTGAGCACAAAGAAGCTCAGGAGACAACACCCAGGCCCTGAGTTCAAGCCCCACAACCAATTTTTATATCTATATGTACATACATGTACATTGTGGTACCATACCGGGGTAACTAAGGAACAGAGCAGAACAGAACAGAGTTTGTAGAACTGAGTTTGTGAATACTAAAGAAATTCTTCACCTTGCACCTGGTTTTGGTTTTAATTTTGAGCAGTTTTAATTTTGATGCAGTTTTGTTATGAAATGCTTTAGTCTGCACTTCTGTTCAGGGAATGGTCATAACAGAGACAAAACGTCAGATGCATGAAACGCTGGAACTGAAAGAGGAAGAAATTGCTCAGCTTCGGAGCCGAATCAAACAAATGACTACCCAGGGAGAAGAATTACGGGAACAGAAGGAAAAATCTGAGAAAGCTGGTAAGAATGCAAGGTTACTGATTTTGTGTTGGAGCTCAAAAGTTATTTAGAGTACAGCTGGATGCTGGTGGCTCATGCCTGTCATCCCAGCTACTCAGGAGGCTGAAATCTGAGGATCGTGTTCAAAGCCAGCCTGGGCAGGAAAGTCCGTGAGACTCTTACTCCCAATGAACCACCAGAAACCTGGAAGTGGTGCTGTGACTCAAGTCTGGAAGGAAAGAGCTCAGAAAGTTGTTTGAAGTATTTGATCTATACTTTTTAAATTTAGTTCCATGAGGTCAGGCCAGGTGTCAGCAGTGCTAGGCTGAAAAGAATGTAGACTGATGTGTTCCCCATGGTGCTGTTCTGAGTACATATTGGGAAAGAAGCGATTTGGAGGGAGAGAGAACAGGGTGAGCAGGCTATAGAGGATAAGAGGTTTGAGCTAGGCTTCAAATAATGAATAGGCTGGACCTAACCAGAAGTGAGAACAAAGAAAAACAGACCCAGTGGCCATAGAGGATGTGTGAATCTGCTCATAATCATCATTTTTTACTGAAGTGAGGAAAGAAGTGATTCTATCAAGGAAATGATTCTTGAAATCATTTAGACTCTATTTAGACTTAGATATAAAAGGCAACAGGAGCCCGGTGCCTGTGTTTCATGCCTATAATCTTAGTTACTCAAGAAACTGAGATCTGAGGGTCTCAGTTCAAAGCTAGCCCAGAAAGGAAAGGCCATGAAACTCTTATTTCCAATTAACCCTCAAAAAAAGCCAAAGTGGAAACTGATGGACAGTGCTTAGGCCTTGACTTCGAGCCCTAGAGTGACCATTAAAAAAAAAAAAAAAAGCCATAGAGGCTGGGTGCCGGTAGCTCACTCCTGTAATCCTAGCTATTCAGGAGGCTGAGATCTGAGGAACACAGTTCAAAGCCAGCCCGGGCAGGAAAGTCCATGAGACTCTTACCTCCAGTAAACAACTAGAAAACGGAAGTAGCGCTGTAGCTCAAGTGGTAGAGTGCTTGCCTTGAGCTGAAGAGGCGGGGACAGCACCCAACCCCAGAGTCAAGCCCCATGACCAAAAAAAAAAAAAAGCCATAGAAAGCTGGACATCAGTAACTAATACCCTTCATCCTAGCTACTCAGGAGGCTGAGATCAGAAGATCATGGTTCAAAGCCAGCTTGGGCTGGAAAGTCTGATAGACTTTAATCTCCTGTTTAGTACCAAAACAAACACACACACACACACATACACACACAAGTGGAGCTGAGGCTCAAAGTGGTAGAGTGCAAGCCTTGAGCAAAAAGAGCTCAGGGACAGGGCCCAGGCCCTGAATTCAAGCCCCAGGAGTGGCACCCAAAAAGGCAATAGGAAAGCACAGTGAAATAGAAGACTGTGTTTTAAATAGAAGAGGTATGAAATGGGAAAATCAAAAGTGGAGAGAAAAGCGGAAATCCAAACTCAAGGGAAAGAGAGCTTCTGTGTTTTGACGGCACCATTGAGCACTGTAATAGCACAGAAATCTTTCTAAGATACTAACATAGTATCAAATTTTTTTCCTCTTCAGGTAAATTCTTTTTGTTGTTGTCGTTGGTTGTTGGTTGTGGGGCTGTCCCTGAGCCTCTTTGTGCTCAAGGCTACTGCTCTACCACTTGAACCACAGCGCCACTTGTAGTTTTGAGTGGTGAGTTGGGATAAGAGTTTCCGGGGACTCTTCTGTCCTGGCCGGCTTCGAACTGTGATCTTAGCTAGGATTACAGGTGTGAACCACTGCCGCCTGGTCCCTTCGGGTAAATTCTCATCCATAGAGTCTTGTCCTTTCTATCAGTTGCCTTATTTATGTATCTATGTATTTGCTTGTTTATTGTACAGGGTTTGTACTCGAGACCAGGACACTGTCCCTTAAGAGTTTTTGCTCAAAGCTGGCCCTATACCATGTGAGCCACCCCTCCACTTCCTGCTTTTTGAAGGTTCATTGGAGATAAGTCTCTTGGATTTTTTTCTGCCCAGGCTGGTTTTGATCTGTGATCCTCAGATCTCACCCTCTAGAGTAGCTGGGATTATAGGAATGAGCCAGCTGTGCCTGGCTTGTTAGTTCACTTATAATTAACATAGCCAATGTTGAAAAAAAGAAAAAAGGAACCCACACACCATTGTTAACTTCTTGCTTCCAATTTTACAAAGGGAATAAAATATTCTCTTTGGATTAAAAGTTTCCAGAGTTCACTTACTTTCATAAGCCTTGTTGTTTTTCCACGTACCCTGTCTTTGCTGAAATTGTTTTCTATGATGGGCTACATAGAAAACCTGTATTAAACCAGGCCAGCAGCTCACGCCTGTAACCTAGCTACTTAGTGGGCTGAGATCTGAGGATTGTGGTTCTGACACAGCGGGGCCAAACAAAGCCCAGAGACTCTTATTTCCAGTTAGACAGCAAAAAACTGGAAGTAGATTTGTGGCTCAAGTGATAGAACTCCAGCCCTGAACGTATGTATGGAACCAGAGTGAGAGGCCCTGAATCCACGCGTCAGTCCTGACAGTTTTGAAAGAGAAGAACTTGAACTAATAATTCACATGTCTTGCTTTTTAAATAATTATGTGTGTTCAGAAAATGTTCTTATTCTTTTGTATACTGTAGGCCAAATATACCAAAGACATTGAGCAGGTCATAGAGATTTGATGTTTATGGGACTATCACCATAGTTATGTATTTAAGTGTGTGTTATGTTTATGCATTTCTGTATGACAAACCAAAATCGTGTGTGTATTTAAGTGCTTTGTTACTTGCTAATGATTTGTGTAACAAACTTTCCTTAAGTCTCATAAAACATCTTTATTTTATGCATCCACACATGCCAATAAGTGAATCATGGTGCCTTTCCCAAGCCTTGTATGAACAGGACTGGGGTAAGGGCCAATATTTTTTTTTCTTATCATGGGTACTTAGAATAAGCTTTACAAAGAAAATTCCATGTATCTCAGGCAAGAAAAGGATGAGTTCAACTGGATTTTTTTTCAAAGTATGCCATGCTAGATAAATAATGCATACCTATTTTGGCACCAAATGAATATCTGATGGGAAATTTATTATAAATGCACCTGAATTGGATTCATTTATAGACCTGGCAATATTACATTACTCATTCACTACCCTCTGGCAGAACGCATTTCTTTGATGTAGGTATGGGGGTTTGGTACTCAGTGCCGAGATGGCGTCCCTTAGATTTTTCCTGTAGGGCTGGTGTTCCATATGTAAGCCACACTTTCACTTCCAGCTTTTTGCTGGTTCACTAGAGATAATAGTCTCACAGACTTTGCTGTCTGCCTGGCTTTGAACTACAATCCTCAGTCTGCCCCGTAGCTAGGATCACAGGCATGAGCTGGCCGAGGAAGGGTTTTGTCTCCAGTTTAGTAGATTTTCTTGTCTTTAAATCTTGACTTAGGCTGGGCTCTGGTGGCTCACGCCTGTAATCCTAGCTACTCAGGAGGCTAAGATCTGAGGATCACAGTTCAAAGCCAGCCCAGGCAAGAAAGTCCGTGAGACTCTTCTCTCCAGGAAACCACCAGAAAACCGAAAGTGGCGCTGTGGCTCAAGTGATAGAGCACTCACCTTGAGCTGAAGAGCTCAAGGACAGCGCCCAAGCCCAGAGTTCAAGCCCCATGACCAACCAAAAAAAAAAAGTCTTGACTTTTTCAAGATTCTGATGTTTAAGGTATTTAATAGGTAAATGGGCCTTGGGCTTTGGTGGTCAAACCCGTGCTATGGCTCATTGATGGAATGGACCCTGGGATGCATACTTTGGGAGTGCTTCTGCCTGTGTAGGAACTGCAGTACCAGAAACGACCACTGGGTGGAGTATTGGCTCGTTGAAGCAAGCCGCGTCAACTAGCTGTGGGTCTCAGAGAGGAAGTTACCTGGGGCTCCTGAGAGCTGGTGGGTGTTACAAGTTGTTAAATCAATAGTTACAACAAACACATGCTAACATTTATTTTCATGAAACATACCTACATTTTCCAAATGGCCTTTTTTTTTTTTTTTACCATTTTTGTCTATTGTTTGGTTTAATATGGTATAACTGGATTTCATGCTTAATCAGTTGATTCTGATTAACTAGAAAGAACTTCTGTTCTAGACAGATTGATATTTGTGAAGGAGAAGATCTCACTGATTCTCGGAAAGGGTCTTTGGAGCACGTGTTCTTTGTGTGTGTCCGTGCAGCTTTGTCAGCACTGGGGATTGAACTCAGACCCTCAAGTTCTCACTTGGTTTTTTCACTCAAGGCTGACTCTCTACCGCTTCATTGATCCACTTTTGTGTTTGGGCTGACCTTGAACCACAGTCCCCGGGTCTCAGCCTCCAGAATAGATAGGGTCACAGGTCTGAGCTATTCCTTTACTCACAGAAAGAGGCTTGATAGTTAAATAAACATTGACAAACTTTATTGATTTTAATTAGCTTTATTGCCTTTTTACTGCATTTAGTTTTCATTTTGTTGTTCTAGTCTTTTTTTCTTTTTAAGTTTAATACCACATGTGTTTTAGCCCTTATTGCTGGGATGAAAACACAGCTTGTTTACATACTTTTCCCCCCTAGTCATAGGTCGTGAACTTAGGGCCTGGGAGCTGTCCCTGAGCTCTTTTGCTTAAATCGAGTGCTCTACCACTTTGAGCTCTTACATACTTCTTTTTTTCTTTTTTCTTTTTCTTTTTCTTGTCTGTCCTGGGACTTGAACTCAGGGCCTGGATGCTGTCCCAGAGCCTCTTAAGACTAGTGCTCTACCACTTGAACCAAAGAGCCACTTCCACCTTTTTTGAGTAGTTTATTAGAGATGAGTCTCATGAAGACTTAATCTGTCCAAGCTGGCTTTGAACTCTGATCCTCAGATCTCAGCCTCCTGAGTAGCTAGGATTACGGGATCTGGCTTTACATACTTTTTTTATTTGCCAGTACTGGGATTTGAACTCAGAGCCTGGGTGCCATGCCTTAGCCCTTTTGCTGAAGGCTAGCACACTACTGCTTGAGCCATAGCTCCACTTCCAGCTTTTTGATGCTTAGTTGGAGCTAAGAGTCCCAGGGACTTTTCTGGCCAGGCTGGCTTTGAACCACAATCCTGGGATCTCATCCTCCAAGCTAGCTAGGATTACAGACAAGAGCTACTAGATCCTGGCTCACTCATTTTTCATGTTGTTAGCCAGCCTTTTACCACCAATAATTCGTACTGAGATTAGCATCCTTTCCACACTTCTGCATCTTTATTTGTTTCCGGAAGAAAAAGTAAGAGGAGATCCTGTTAGCCTAAACACAGAATTCTCTAGAACCGAGGACCGCAGTGTTACTTGGAACCACAAAATTCTGGCTGAGCTGTTAGCTCTGGATACAGAGAGGGGGAATTAGTGAAGTAGGTAAATCAGTGCCTCATTTTCCCTACTTTTATTTGAGAATCCATTGTTTAATGCATCTCCCATCCATATTAGTTTACTTTTGTGGAACACTTTCCATACGTCACCCTATGCCAAGTGTATGTGAGGCCATTCATGAACATCCATGAACACTGATGAAGGGAAGGAGTGGGCGGATCATTGAGCTTCAGATTGACAGCCTTTCTTACCTAATCCAGGAAAGAAGTGCTCGTATTTATCATCCCTCCCCTTGGACCGTGTGTGAACTTCTTGTAAAGGGAAGGCAGGTGCAGGGCAGGTCCTGCTCTGCGTCTTGCCAGATACTACCTCATTAAATCTTAGCCAGAGGTATGTTCAGAGTCAGCTCCAAGTTGTCAGTTTGCTTTGGTTTTTCATATGAGGCCAGGGTTAGAACTCAGGGTCTTATGCTTGCTGTGGGTCATGCGCCTAATCCTCTCTGCTTTGGTTATTTTCCAATGGGGGTCTCACATTTTCTTGGTGGGATGATTTAGACTGTAATCCTCCTACTTTGACACATAGATGGATGACGGGGGCTGTTACTTGTTTTCCATGAAGTCTTACAAACATTGATTCCACACTGGCCTTGAGTCAAAATCCTCCCCCTCCCTACCTCCCAAGTAGATAGGAGTCCAGGAATGAACTGCTGGGCCCAGCCTAAAATGTCTTTTGTTTTACATAGAAATTGCCTGAGATACATTGAATTTTGCTTGGAAAGAACACAACGTGTTCTTGCAACCCTCGGAGATAGTTCACGCTTACCCTTCCTGTCTAACCATGTATCTTGGTTTTTCCTCTTGCACGTTGGCAGACTTGTAATCGGTGGTTGTGTGCATGCTTTCTCTCTCCTCACTTATCCTTTGTAGTAAAAAATAAGTTGATGTGAACAGTCAGAACATACTTGTAGCACTTAGGTTGCAATCATAGCCTTCTGTGCAAAGAGTTTGGAAAGTAGTACAGTGTTGCAGATTATGAAAACCTCTTCCTTGTGTCTGGCAGTTGCTAGACCAGCTGAGATGCTACTGGTTTGTAAGTAAACTCTCAGTAGATCTTCCTAATGCCAAGATGGGACTGTGTTACAGAGTATGTTTATTATACACACACGCACACACACGCACACAGGTGTAACATGTGTTATTTACAGAAGAACTTAACATTTCTTTGGAACAAGATGGCAGAAGAAAGTGATTTTTAGTGTCAGAAGTTTTGTTGAGGGTTAGAAACCAGGGCAGATTGAGACATTCTGACTTGATAAGAAATACAATTACTCAGCGAGCTAGATCAGTGTTGGCATGTTGGCTGTGATCCTAGCTACCTCAGAGGCTGAGATGTGAGGATCGTGATTCAAAGTCCGTCCTGGCAAGAAAGTCCCAAGGCTCTCAGCTCCAGGTAACCAGCAAAAGCCAGAAGTGCAGATGTGGCTGAAATGGTGGAGCCTTGAACAAAGAGTCAAGTGGGGCTTGAGGCACCAAGTTCCAGTCCCAGCACCGGCATCAGACAGGAAGACACTTAATGCATTGCATTCTGTTAAGAGAAGCCATTTGTCACTGACAGGTTCTGAAATTCTGGCTTAGTAAGAAATACTATTACCCTCCTGAGCTAGGTCATTATATTACCATATTCGGATTTCTTAAATATTGCATGGATTGTTTCCTATGTCCTTTGTACACATCTGCCATTAATAAACCTATACAACTCAAATCATTTTATTATCTGTTGGGAAATTTGGGTGCTCCCGTCGTTGCATTTAAATGAGGATTACAAGAAGGTGAAGGTTTATCTTTCTAGACAGGAGGTGAGGTGGTTTGGTTTCTGACATAATAGAGAGAAGGGATAAAACTCAAAAGAACTGCCGGGCGCTGGTGGCTCACGCCTGTAATCCTAGCTATTCAGGAGGCTGAGATCTGAGGATCGCAGTTCAAAGCCAGCCCGGGCAGGAGAGACTGTGAGACTCTTATCTCCAATAAACCACCAGAAAACCGGAAGTGGCGCTGTAGCTCAAGTGTAGAGCGCTTGCCTTGAGCTGAAGAGCTGAGGGACAGCGCCCAGAGTTCAAGCCCCACGACTGACAAAAAAAAAAAACTCAAAAGAACTGTGAAACAAAAACCACCCTTCAACCATTGTATGGTGTAATGAAATGGTTTATGAAAAGCATTTTAGTGGATAAAACACTAAAGTTAGGATATAATATCAGATGTATCCTAAGATTTACTGAACGTCTTTAGAAAATAGTAGAAAATTATATCTAAATAGAAACCAGGGGCATGGATTTGTTTCATCTAACAGGTGAGAAAACTACATTTAATTTTGTGTTATTCTAAATTCTGGTATTAAAAGAACAGAGACAGAACATATTGTGTGGTATTGACTACATACATTCTCCATTTCGCTTAACTGACTGAAGGTTTTCATCTGAACAGTGTCAGAGAATCAAAACTATTTTCAGGTTCAAAACGATCTACAGAGCATCGACAAGATGTTTATATGGCTGGGTGCTGGTGGCTCATGCCTATAATCCTAGCTACTCAGAAGGCTGAGATCTGAGGATTGTGGTTCAAAGCCAGCCAGAGTCCGTGAGACTCTCCAATAAACCACTAGAAAATGGGAAGTGGTGCTGTGGCTCAAGCGGTAGAGTGCTCAACTTGAGCTGAAGAGCGCAGGGACAGCGCCCAAGCCCAGAGCTCAAGCCCCACAACCGACCAGAAAAAAAAAAAAGATTTATATGACATACTTAGAGGCTAAGATGCAGTTTTCTGTGATGATTAACAATAATGAAACAGTAGCTGGAAGTCAGTGGCTCTAGCCTAGATAGATCCTAGCTACTCAGGAGGCTGAGATCTGAATCAAGGTCCAAAGCCAGCCCAGACACAAATCCAAAAGACTCTTGGCTCCAAATAACCAACACAATGTCAGAAGTGGAGCTGTGGCTCAAGTGGTAGAGCAGCAGCCTTGAGTGAAAAGGCTGAGCGCACCTTGGCCCTGAGTTCAAGTCCCAGTACCAGTACACAAGAAAATGGAAATACACTTTTTCATTACTTGCACACTTTTTGCTTTCTGTCGTTAAGTCTTGAGCACAAACTAAGATTTTTTTTTTCAATTTTTTTTTTTTTTTTTGTCGCTTGAACTCAGGGCCTGGGCACTGTCCCTGAGCTTCTTTTTCTCAAGCGCTGTACCACTTGAGCCACAACGCCACTTGCAGCTTTTTCTGTGTATGTGCTGCTGAGGAATTGAACCCGGGGCCTTATGCATCCAAAGCAAGAACTCTACCACAGAGCCACCTTCCCAGCCCTAGATCTTACAGCTTCTCTTTCCCACAGTTAGTACTCTTTTTAATTGGCAGTATTGGGGTTTGAACTCAGGGTCCTGTGCTTGCTGTCCAGGTGCTCTACCACTAAAGTCAGAGTCCCATCCCTTTTTAGTTACCACTCAGCTAGGATCTCATAGTTTTGCCCAGATCCCATGTACAGCAGTGTTCCTGCCTTCTCTCTCGGCATGGTTGAGCTTGTAGGCCACCAGTGCCTACGTTACATTGATAGAGTCTCACTAACTACTGGCCCAGCCTGGTCCTACAACATGAGCCCAAGCAGCCTCCTCACTCTTCCTAGTTAGGTGAGGAAAGTAATCTTGTGATCATAGGAAGAATGACACTATTTCTGTTTGCTTGACACTAGAAGGTAGAGTCACACAAAAACAGCATTTTTCTGTTTGACTTATTTCTAAAGATGACCTGGGTGTTTGTAGGCAAACGCCAGTGTACTCAGACTGAGAGAGCTGACAGATAATCTTGGCTACTTGAGTGTGCCTCTGGGATTTAGGGTTTAGTTAAGCATTGGCTTTCTACTTCAGGGTTATAAAATGAGTAATGGCTGCCAGAGAACGTATTTATTAAACTGTGGAGCAATAATTTCTGTTTCCTAGTTGTTGGTAGAGATCAGCCTCTGTGTCTTTCTATACCTAATACAATTTATTGTTTTTTTAAAAAAATACTTCAGTCTGAGGGTAGTAATGAATCCATCATCCTAGCTACACAGGAACCATCAACACCCACGAGTGAGAAAGACATCCTGTTATGAGTATAGCATGTTAAGAACTGCAGAGCAAAGAAAAAGCAAATTGAGATTATACTGCATGGAGATAGGGCCTGGTGTCTCTCATTTCTTTGAATCTGTTGTAAGACACTAGTTGTAAGCCTAAGGAACTTTTTTTTACTTTAGTACTTATTTTCAAGCTCTTGAGGTTTGGGTCATAAATAAGAGCCCTGATATCAAGGGGTTTAAAAACAGCTCGAAAATAAATTGATTTCCACTGACAGTCCTTGTGAATCTGTTAAGCAGAATTAGCTCTGGCTTAGAATGGATGAAGTAATTTTCTTTTAACCTGTCCTGCTGCCGCTGCTTAGTGCCCCTCAGTTGAATGTATGAGACTTCAGCTCGGTGGTAGTGTCTCCTGAAGACACCTGTCTCTGCTCTTCTCCTTATAGCTTTTGAGGAACTTGAGAAGGCCTTGAGTGCTGCCCAGAAAACAGAGGAGGCACGCAGGAAGATGAAGGCGGAGATGGATGAGCAGATCAGAGCTGTGGAGAAGAAGAGTGAGGAAGAGCGCGCCGGTCTTCAGCGTGAACTAAGTCGGGTGAAACAGGAGGTCACGGGCCTCGTGAAAGTAAGGAGTCTGCATTGAAATGGGCTGCAGACATTTTGAAACTGATAACTTGCCTTTGTGTTTTTGTGCCGGTCCTGGGGCTTGAACTCAAGGCCTGGGCACTGTCCCTGAGCTTTAGGGCTCAAGGCTAGTACTCTACCATTTAACCACAGCTCCACTTCTGGCTTTTTTGATGGTTCATTGGAGATATGAGTGCCAGAGACTTTCCTGCCCAGGCTGGCTTCGAACCTCAATCCTAAAATCTCAGCCCCCTAAGTAGCTAGGATTGCAGACATGAGCCAGCCAGCGCCTGCTGTTTTTGCTTATTTATGTGTGCTGATAATGGGGTTTGAATTCAAGGCCGAGGCCCCATTCCTTAGCCTTTTCATTCTATCACTCGAGCCACAACTCTGCTTGTGGCTTTTTGCAGGTTACTTGTAGTTAAGAGTCTCATGGACTTTTCCTGCCTGGGCTGACTTCAAAGCTTGATCCTCAGATCTCAGCCTACTGGGCAGCCAGGCTTACAGGTGTGAGCCACCAGCACACAGCTGAATCTGAATTTTCCCCCCAGTTGTGGGGCTTGAACTCAGGGCCTGAGTGCTGTCACTGGCTCAACGCTGGTATTCTACTCCTTCAAGCCTCAGTTCCACTTCTGGTTTTTAGGTAGTTAATTGGAGAGTCTCTTTCCGGCCTGGGCTGGCTTTAAACTGAGATCCTCAGGGATCAGTCTCCTAGGTAGCTCGGGTTACAGGTGTGAGCCACTAGCACCTGGCTGAGTCTGATATTTTTTAAATCTGCTCTTTTTTTACACTGTAATCTTTCACTATAAGAAAGTTAATTTGTGCTTTAGACCTTGATCATTTCATTATGTTCGGGAAATAGCTTTAAAAAGTGCTATGATAGAGAAGTGAATTTACTCCAGAGGTTACTCTCTGGAGTACATTAAGCTTGGACTGTTCTCCAGGACACCATGTGGCTTACCCGGCTCCCTGATTTGTCAGGCTCCTTGAAGGGAGGCTGCCAAGCTGGTGCTTCTGCAAAATATCTTCTACAGAACTTGGTCAAGAAGGCACTTACCTAGTGTGTGTGTGCATTTGCCTGTGTGTGCGAAGTAGCCAGGCACTGGTGGCTCATGCCTGTAATCCTAGCTGCTCAGGCTGATGTTTGAAGATGATTCTTTCAAAGCCAGCCTGGGGAAGGAAACTCTGTGACAGACTCCTGTCTCCATTGAACTAGCAAAAGCCACAAGTGAGGCTGTGTGGCTGAGATGAGGTGATAGAGTGCTAACCTTGAGGAAAAATGCGAATGAACATTGCCCCAGGCCTGAGTTCAAGCCACAGCACTGGCACAAAAGAAGTGAACTGTTCTGGTTTTTGCTGCCTCTTTTCTCTGGCCTGTTTTGCTTTTGTTTCTGTTGTGCCCATACAGAAAAGTTCTTTTTGTGGCAGCTAAGCCTTTTCTTTAAGTGCCACCTGGATTCGTTTTCCATTGACGAATATATAAACGGAGAGGTAGCTGGCAAGGCCTGGCGTCAGGTTCAAGGCCTTGGGTTCAATCTCTCACACAACAAAAAACAAAACCACACACAAGCTCAGCTCTGAGTTCATGGCTCTGAGGTTTTGTTTTGGGGTTCTTTAGTATTTTGTGTTGTGTTTTGTTTTTAAACTGGGGTGGCCTCAAGCTCACAACAGAGACCACTCTATCCTCGAACTCACAGCCTTCCTGCCTGACCTCCGTAGTGCTGGGGTTACAGGAGTCACCCACACCTGACTGATTTTCTTGATTTTTATGTGTTTTTTCCCTCTGACACTCTCATGTTTACATTTGCTCATGGTTACATCTTTGATCCAACTGAAATTTATTTGATATGAAGTGTGAAGTAGGAGGGATTGAACTAAAACATTTTCTAGGTAAATAGTAAGTACTCTCAGATATCATCTACTGTTTGGTCCCCTGCCCAGCAGCTGCGATTTTTTTGTTGTTGTTGTTTAAATCCTTAAATAGTTGTACACATGGGGTTTTAGTTGAGCATGTCAGTTTGTAAGTACAAGGTGTCACAATCGATATCTCCTCTCTTATCCCTTCTTGATCCATCTAGGGGATCTGTTCCGATTTTTACTTCTGAAGTCACTACCTTGGTTAACCCATAACAAAGTATTACTTTGTGGAGGAGTTACGTATTTAATTCTGCAGCTTTTCACTTCATCCATTTCCTGATTTTCAGAAATCCTCAGAAGAACAAATTGCTCAACTCCAGAAGCTACATGCAAAGGAACTAGCTGAGAAAGAACAGGAATTGACTGGGAAATTTCAGACCCGTGAAAGAGAATTACAGGAACAAATGAAAATAGCCCTTGTAGGTAACCTGTTTTCTTTGGTGGTATATGAATCTCACATTGTTAATCAATTGCCTTGCAGCAGGTGTAGGAAGATCACAAAAGACTGTTAGAGCTTAATTTAGTCTTGTGTGATTGTCCAAGCTCTCATTTGTCAGAATTGTTTTCATCTATTCTTCCTGCCCTAACAGCAGGAAGGAAAGGAGATGATAGGTTACTTGAAGGGGTGCCTGCACACTTCCGCAAAAGGCCTAAAAACTACACAGTGTAATACTCGGAGTCCATGGGCCCTGAGTTTTGTCTGAAATATATTTGATTGTCTCTGGGTTTCTTGAAGGTGTTTTGTGTGTGTGTCCTGATGTGGGGCTTAACTCAGGGCCTGGGTGTCATCCTTGAGCTTTTTGTTGCTTAAGCCTAGCATTCTGCCACGTTTTTGTTGCTTTAGCCTAGCATTCTGCCGGTTTTTTGAGTGGTTAATTGGAGATAAGACTTCCCTGCCCGGACTGACTTCAACCTGATCCTCAGATCAAGGACTTTCCTTCCCCACTATCCAGCTGTGATCCTCAGATCTCAGCCACTTGAGTCGCTAGGATGACAGACATGAGCCACCAAGCTATCTGAAATGCATTGTAAAGCAGTAAATTCTTTGAAAATAAATTTAATTGGACTCCGTTGGTTCACACCTGTCTGTAACTGTAGCCTGTCAAGAAGATGAGGTCTAAGAATTGTGGTTCAAAGCCAATCTGTGTAGGAAAGACTTTGTTTCCAATTAGCCACCAAAAAGCCAGAAGTGGAGCTGTGGCTCAAGTGGTAAAGTGCTAGCCTTGAGCAGAAAAAGCTAAGGGACAGCACCCAGAGATTCAGCCCTAGTACCAGCACAAATGCATGCATGCCCACACACACGCACACAAACATGCACACACACATGTGTGCAGACACATCCTCAACAGACTGATACTCAGCTCATGGATCCCAGCGTTTTATCTAAAGTTCATTTTAAAGAGATAAATACTCTCCATTCATATGATGCTTAAAAAATAAATTTAAGGGCCAGGAAGGTGGCTTAGTGGTGAGTGCTTGCCTAGCATGCATGAAGCTCTGGGTTTGATTCCTTAGTCCTACATAAACAAAAAAAGGAAAAGATGTACATAATTAAATTTAAAATGACTGAGCTAACAAAAGCAGCAATTCAGTTGTGCAGACAAACTGTCATAGTGTGATTCAATCATTAAAAAAAAATTTCTATAAAATGCAAGTGCCTTTTTGTCTGAGTTACTATTAAAATATGAACTATCAAAAGTTAAATTTGTTTTTATATGAAGTTATTCATAAAATGCATGAAGTTAATATATTATTTTAAATGCATTTAGTGCAAAAGGGTGAGAGATATTTCATTTCTAACCCCCTGCCTTTCGTGAATGATTTTCTTTACTGTTAGTCAAATCTGAGTCTCCAAGAATCCCTCAGAATTTCTGCACTAGTGGTTCTTGCCCTGTAGTAGCAAGACTCCTTCCCGCTTGGCTCAGGAAGGCAGTGTGATTGGCTGAAGTTAGGTAATTAGTATATGGCTGTGAAATTTACTCATCACTGGATATATATGTCCTCTTGCGTGGTCTAGAAAGAAATCCCCACAGTTTACAATGGTGTTTAAAGTATATCAGGACAGCATAAAATAAAAATAGGGTAAATGGAAATTAAAGACAAAAAGAGACATAAGTATAGCTAAAAATAATGCTAAAAAGGGCCTTTTCATAAAGCCTTGCTATGGATTTTCATGCTGGAATAATTGGATTTTAGGGCAGAAGGCCTTGAATGTTGCCTTATCATTACTGTCTTTCAGTAAGACTGTATTCAGGTATAGGACTATGTTCAGATATAGTCCCTATAGAATAAGGAGCCAAGCTCCTCTCTCTCTCTCTCTCTCTCTCTTTCTCTCTCTTTCTCTCTCTCTCTCCTTTTCTCTCTCTCTCTCTTTCTCTCTCTCTCTCTCTCACACACACACACACACACACATTTTCCCACCTTTGAGCAAACTCTAAAGCTTTCCTCTTTTTATTTTTATGACCATATAGAAATTAATTTTAACTTTATTATCTCCACCCTGTATGGTGGCTGGAGCCTGTAATCCTAGCTACTTGGGAGCAAAGATAAGGGGATGGTAACTGAAGGCCAGCCAGAGCATGCCGTTGGCTAGGTTCAGTGCCACGCACCGTCTGCCCTGGCTACGGGGGAAGCACAGTGGCTGGGTGCGGTCATCCTCAGCTTATGGAGAGGCACAAGTCAGAGAATCACAACTCAGGCCAGGCTAGGACCCTACCTTGAAAATAACTCTGAGGATGGAGGTTCAAAGCCAGCCCAGGCACGGAAGTCCATGAGACTCTTATCCCTCCCCCCACCCCCCCAGCCCGCACAAAGGCCAGAAGAGGAATATGGTTCAAGTAGGTGAGGACCAGCCTTGAGCAAACAGTAAAAGGGCAGTGCATGGGCCCTGAGTTCAAGTCCTAGTGCCAGCAAATAAGTCAATTAATAAGTAACCAAGGCATAACATGTTTGGAAGTGTGGCTTATGTGTTACACACCTGTCTTGTTTGCACAAAGTCCAGCGTTCCATCCTACTCCCACCAAAAAATAAAATACTACTTACATTAAACAAACTAGTATGTCGAAACAAAACATTTTGAAGTCAACATTACAAAAAGTTGATGTTTTCTTCAGTCAACTTGTAATACAGAATCATTTCTTCAGAGCATTGTGCATCACCAGAGTATAATGACATTGACATTCACTGTGACAACTTAATGTTAAAAGTGCCCCTTTAGCTTCCCTAGCCAAAACCAGTTCTACACTTTCATCATTTTTCTGGTTCCTTGGAGGTGAGCGTCTCAGGGACATTCCTCCCCAGCTGGCCTTGAACCGTGATCCTCAGAGGTCAGCCCTCCATACCTAGGACAACAGACGGGAGCCCCCACACCCAGCTAACACAGCACCTCTTTTAGCACTGCATGTAGATCAAATGAAAAGCATGATTCTTGTAGAAGTATTTTGGGAACACTGGAGATTGGCATGGGTTTAAGATGTTATTCTGTTGTTTTCGGCACAGGAAAGAAGTCAGTCAGAATATTTGAAGATCACTCAAGAAAAAGAATGCCAAGAAGCTTTGGCCCTGGAAGAGTTAGAGTTGCAGAAACAAGCAGTCCTCACAGAAAGTGAAAATAAACTAAAGGACCTACAGCAGGAAGTACAGACTTACAAAACTGTAAGTTTGACAAGCACGTCCCATAGCGGTGAACTTGTGCATGAAAATCAGTTCTCTATCCATATAGAGATTTTTGTGTGTTTACCGTCACATTTTCTTTATTTTTTGCCTTCAGAGTCAAGATGACTATTTTATGAAATATTAGTAATCTTTGGAAAATTTATGTTTTAAGTACATACTTTTTGTTGTTGTTGTTGGGTTTGGGCCTGGGCGCTGTCCCTCTGCTCTTCAGCTCAAGATGAGTGCTCTACCACTTGAGCCACAGCACCACTTCCAGTTTTCTGAGTGGTTCGTTGGAGATAAGAGTCTCACGGACTTTCTTGCCTGGGCTGGCTTTGAACCATGATCCTCAGATCTCAGCCTCCTGAGTAGGTAGGATGACGGGTGAGCCACCAGCACCCAGCTAGTACCTACTTTTTAAAAAGAGAAATCTTATCATTTTGAGGTAGAAAAATGTATTTTTTTCAAAATTACTTTATAAAAGCTATAAAATATTATTGTATGCCTTAAGGTAAAAGCAGGAGGTGAAGATCCATTTTCCTAAAAGTTAGTACAATTTCTGTTGTAATTGGAAATGAGGTAGTAGGAGGTGGCTACCCAAATAAACTGAAAGAATTTAGAATTTCAACTTGTATTAAAAATGCTGTGTTCATAAAAATGATTGTTAGTAATTGAGCATAAACATCCTGCTTGTCCTTATCTTTGGTATGCTACGTAAAGTTACCTATATTTTCATTTTGAAATACTTCATTTTGAAAATGAAATATTTTCATTTTGAAAATACTTAGTCTGTATATCATTTTTAACAAAGTATGTTCTTTAATAAAATTATATCCATTTTCATTCACAGAGAATTCTTGAATTGGAAAGTTCCTTGGATAAAAGCCTACAGGAAAGCAAGAGTCAGTCCGAGTACTTAACTGTTCATTTGGAAGCTGAAAGAAATAAGTACAATAAAGAAATTACAGTCATGGTTGAAAAACACAAGACAGAACTGGAAAGCCTAAAACATCAGCAAGAGAACTTGTGGACAGAAAGATTCCACATTTTAAAGCAACAGCATCAGACTGAAATGGAAACACTTAGAGAAAAGTGTGAAGAAGAAAAAGAAACATTACTGAAAGACAAAGAAGTTCTTTTCCAGGAGCACATCGAAGACATGAATAAAAAAACATTAGAAAAGCTTGATGTGAAACAAACAGAACTGGAATCACTGTCCTCTGAACTCACAGAGGTCTTAAAAACCCGTCAAAGCCTGGAAGAGGAACTTTCTGTGCTCAGAGATCAGGCAGAGCAAACAAAACAAGAATTGGAGGCACAGCTGGAGGCAGAGAAGAAATGCCATGAACAACTCATGGACAGTGTCATGCAGGAACACGCAGTGTCTCTCCAGAGGACAGAGATCACATTGCAAGACCAGATCAGTGAGCTGGAGCTCCTTGTGAAGGAAAAGGACAGGAAGCTGAGCGAGCATCAGGTGCGTATGGAGAATTTAGAGGCAGAGATTCAAAGGTCTGAAGGGGAGCGTCAGGAGGCCACTGCCAAGCTGGAGCTTCTTCAGTCACACCAGGAGCAGTCAAAAGCAGATGCGGAGCAGTGGGCTCAGCTGCAACAGAAATTACTAGATCTGGAAACAGAAAGAAATCTTCTTACACAACGGGTGGTTGACGCTGAAACACAGAAGAGTAATGTTTGTGTGGAGTTGGACACTCAGAAAAGTCAGGTGCAGACATTAAGGCAGCAGCTGGAAAGCCAGAGTACTGAAACAGAGCAGAAAGTACAGTCTTTAACCCAGTTCTACGAGTCTCAACTTAAAGACAGTAACATGGACCACGAACAAACAAAGCAAATGCTGGTGGAGAAAGAAAATACCATTTTACAATTGAGAGAAGAACAGAGCAAAGAAATGGACATGCTCAAGCAGAAATTGTCAGCCAAGGAGGAGCAGATTAGGATTTTGCACGAGGAACATGAAAGCAAATTTAAAAAGCAAGAAGAAAAGATGGAAAAAATGAAGCAGAAAGCTAAGGACATGCAAGAAACCTTAAAGAAGAAAATGTTGGATCAGGAAGCCAAACTTAAAAAAGAGCTAGAAAATACCACTCTGGAGCTCAGTCAGAGAGAAAAAGAGTTCAATGCCAAAATGTTGGAAATGGTTCAGGCTAACTCAGCAGGACTCAGTGATGTGGTCTCAAGACTAGAAATAAATCAAAAGGAGCAAGTAGAGAATCTTACAAAGGTCCATCAGCAAGAACTTGGTGATGTCATATCAAGTTGGGAAAAGAAACTGAGCCAGCAAATGGAAGAAATCCAAGAGAAACATGGAGTCCAATTAGTGGAGAAGGAGCAGGAAGTCACCGAACTGAAGAGAAGGATCCTTTTAGTTGAGCGCCAGAAAGAAGAGATGGAAAAGGAAATGACCCAGCTGAAGGAAGAACATATGAAGCAGGACGCCAGATTAAGCGAATTCCAGGACCAGTTAAAGCAGAAGTCCGTGTACCTGACGAGTCTCTCACAGAGCGAGTCACAGTTGAAAGCGCAGCTTGAAAACGTGCAGGCCGACTTGAATCATTCTCTGAAGGAAACAGCAGTTCTTCAAGGGCAGATCGTTGAACTGAAACAGCTGGGAGAAAAAGAGCAACTTAAGCTCTCTGAGTTGTCCAACAAATTGCAAGTCACACAGGAAGAATTCCAGGGTTTGCAGTCTTCACATGAGACCTGTCAGGAACGCCTAGAGGCCAAAAGCTTGGAACTCAAAGCATGGCCAGCACAGCTCACATCTCAGCTGGACAGTTACTGTAAAAAAATGGAAGCCATATTTGAAGCAAAGACAAGTGAGCTCCTCCACATCAGCAGTAGTAAAACGAATGCCATTCTCACTCGGATTTCTCTTTGCCAACACCACACAACTAAGGTGAAAGAGGCACTGCTCAGGAAAATCTGCAGGATTTCTGAACTAGAAGCACACCTGACACAGCTCACAGAGGAGCGAAATACACTAACTAGATCTCTCCAGCAAGCCACACGTCAGTTAGAAGAAAAAGAAAATCAGATTAAGAGCATCAAGGCCGACGTGGAAAATCTTGTCACGGAAAAGGAAGCTCTCCAGAAAGAAGGAGGCAATCAGCTACAGGCTGCCTCGGAAAAGGAGTCTTGTATCACACAGCTGAAGAAAGAGTTATCAGAAAACATCAATGCCGTCACCCTGATGAAAGAGGAGCTTACCGAGAAGAAATCAGAGGTCAGCAGTCTGAGTAAACAACTAGCTGATCTGAACGCCCAGCTCCAGAACAGCATCAGCCTAAGTGAAAAAGAGACAGCCATCTCCTCACTAAGTAAACAGCACAGCGAGCAGCAGCGTGAGTGGCAGGACCAGGTGCAAGCTTTGTCTTTGAAAGTGGATGCTCTGAGTAAAGAAAAACTTGCCGCCCTTGAGCAGGTGCACCACTGGTCCAACAAGTTCTCCGAATGGAAGAAAAAGGCTCAGTCAAAATGCACACAGTATCAGAACACGATCAAGGAATTGCAGTTACAGCTTGAGTCAAAAAGCAGAGAAGCTAGTGAGAAGGAGGAGCAGGCCAATTTACTGAAGGAGGACTTTGATCAGCAGAATAAAAGATTTGACTGTTTACAGGTTGAGTTGGAAGATAAGAACAAGTTTGAGAAAAGGGTGTATACATTGGAGGCAGAGTTGAAGACCCAAACAGCAAGGATTGCTGAACTAGAGGGCCATGTTGCTCAGAAAGAAGTTGAAGTTGAGTCTTTGAATGAACTTCTTAAAACTTGCAATCAACAAAGGGATAGGGAGCAGGAAGAATTGGTTCAGAAACTTCAACACTTTCGAGAGTTGGGAGAAGAAAAGGACGGCAGAGTTAAAGAAGTTGAGGAAAAGGCCTTAAGACTTGAAAAGCAAGTGTCTTCCATGGAAGCCAAACTGGAAATGAAGAGGGAAGAACTAGAACACGTGACAAAAAATGCCCAAAGCAAAGATGAAGAGTTAAGGGCGTTAGAAAATAGATTTGAACTAGAAAATGCTGCCAAATTAGCAGAGCTGAAGAGAAAAGCTGAACAAAAAATTGCTGCCATCAAGAAACAGTTGTTGTCTCAGATGGAAGACAAGGAACAGCAGTATAAAAGAGACACAGAAAGCCGTCTGAGTGAGCTCAAACTAAAACTGCAAGAGCGAGAAAAGGAAGTTCAAATCTTGGAAGAACAGCTGAAGAAGTCATTGGGAAATTCTCCACAGTCAGACACACCAACTGTGTGCAAATCGGTAGAAAATATGCCCGCGCATTCTGGGAAGGAAGAGGCTGCGTCCCAGGGCTGTATGCAGAAGGCATGCAGAGAAAAAATCAGAGCTCTGCAAAGCAGTTTAGTTGAAAAGGACAAACTGTTGCAAGGGAAAGAGGAAATCATATCTTCACATTCAGAAATGCAGAGCAAATACCAGGAACTCTTAGTAAAATTAGAATGTGCTGAAGCGAAGCAGTGTGAGGATCAGGTTGTAATCAATTGTCTTCAAAAAGAACTAGAAGGAAAAAGGAAATTTCCCTTGATAGCGCCACAGGACATAGTAGGAGAGGGAGGAGAAAATGGCCCCGGGCCAGAGCAAAACTGGGAAAATACAGTTGATGTTGTCCAGAAGACTTTCCAGAAGAAAGACCTGGCCTGTCAGACCCTGGATCTGGACACCTGCTTAGTAAGAGAGAGGGAAGTACATCAAAGCAAAATAGATGAGTTGACCTTAAAGTACAAAACACTGCAGGCTCTATACCAACAGATGGGTGGGGACAGCCAACCCATGGAGGTCTGGGGAGACGAGGCTGAAGAAAAGTCAAGATCAGGTATGTTCCAACCCAGATCGCTCAGTAACACCGCATCTTCGCACAGTGACCTAGAGTTGAAGTTAGCAGGGGCAGAGAAGGAAAAGCAGAAGCTGAGCAAGGAGATCGTGAAATTGCAGAAGGACCTCCGGATGCTGCGGAAGGAACATCAGCAGGAACTGGACATACTGAAGAAAGAATGTGAACAAGAAATGGATGAGAAAATCAAGTAGGTTCCTTGTACGCCTGATCAAGTTAGCATAATTCATTTGGGTATTTTCACCTACCGAAAGTACTAAACATGGATCCAAGTTAAATACAGAAGAGAGAAAACAGTTCAGGATTGTTCCCTGGCTATTTAGGGGGAAGAGACTTGCACGCAAGATCACAGTTAACTAAGTCCATGTCCAAGTACTTTCTGTTGCTTATGACTTTTAGTAGTAGCATGATTATTATATAACATAGATGTGTGTGATCAGGGAGCTGGGAATGTGGCTTAGTGGCAGTGTGCTTGTTTAGCACACATGAAGCCCTGGGTTTGATTCCCCAGTACCACATACACAGAAAAAACCCGAAGTGGCACTATGACTCAAGTGGTAGAGTGCTAGCCCTGAGCAAAAGAAACTCAGGGGACTGGGAAGGTGGCTCAGTAGTAGAGTGCTTGCCTTGCATGCATGAGGCCCTGGGTTCGATTCCTCAGCACCACATATCCAGAAAAGGCTGGAAGTGGCACTGTGGCTCAAGTGGTATAGTGCTAGCCTTGAGCTGAAGAGCTGAGGGACAGCGCCCAGGCAGAGAGTTCAGGCCCCACGACTGGCAAAAAAGAAAAAAAAAAAGCTCAGGGACAGCACCCAGGTCCTGAGTTCAAGTCCCAGGACTGGTCAAAAAAAAAGAAGTGCACTATCGAAATTTAAACTGTGGAAGAAAAATTCTCTAATCCCCAGGACCGATCTCTCTGGAGATTATTGTAGTTTTAGGGTATCCTTCCAAAAGTTTTCCTTCCTAGAAGAGGACACACACACACACATAAACTTCAAAACTATTTTCAGTCCAGCATTCATGCTATAATCCTCCCTACTTGGAGACTGAGATCTAAGGAGTACTTTTCAAAGCCAGCCCAAGCAGAACAGTCCAGGAGACTTTTACCTCCAGTTAACCACCAAAAAACTAGAAGTAGAGGTGTGCCCAAAGTGGTAGAGTGCCAGCCTTGAGTGAAAAAGCTAAGGGACAGCGCCTAGGCCCTGAGTTTCAGCCCAGTCAATATCAGCATTTAATACCAGTGATGACATTCTGCGTGGCAGCGGTGAACTTTTTATGTGTGTGTGTACGTATATGTATGTGTGTGTATGTATATATATATGTATATAGTATGTCTATACATCTTTCTTACTCAGACAGGAACAGGAAGACCTTGAGTTGAAGCACAATTCCACATTGAAACAGCTGATGAGGGAGTTTAACACCCAGCTGGCCCAGAAGGAACAAGAACTAGAACAGTCCATCAAAGAAACTATCAGTAAGTACAAAAAGGAGTCAGTCACACTCAGCAGAGACAACCTTGAGCTTATTCCTATTTGTGGTGTCCTAAGTCACTAAACTAGGAGAAAGTAAGTTCTCCACTAAATTCTCTAGAACATTCTCTCAACTACCCTGCCAGTGAATTGTCTTAAGGAAGAGGAGGAAGTGGCGCCGTAGCTCAAGTGGTAGAGCACTCACCTTGATCTGAAGAGCTGAGGGACAGCGCTCAGGCCCCACGACCGACAAAAAAGGAAGGGGAGCTAACAGGTGAACCCTGAAGTGTTAGCTAGTGATTACTTGTCACCATACTTATGTTTGCTGTGAGGGTATTTTCGGGCACCTGCTTGTTTTGAGGCTCAGCATCTCATTGATTAAGCATCCTCAAGTGCATATACAAAATTGAGTTTTGCCAGATTCAGTGTGGAATGAAGATTCTTACATCCATTAATTGGGGTTCACGTATTCACCCTTGACTCATACACTTTCCTCTCTGTTTCTGTTTTTATTTATCAGATAAAGCCCAGGAGGTTGAAGCTGAACTTCTGGAAAGCCATCAAGAAGAGACAAATCAATTGTACAAAAAAATTGCAGAAAAAGATGATGATCTAAAAAGAACAGCGAAAAAATATGAAGAGATCCTTGATGTACCTTACTTTATTTCTCTTTTGCAATGTTGCCATAGTAGATTTCATGGTAGTGGTAAAGATTTCCTATTCCTAATGTCTAACCTGGTTTGTTTGGCTTTGTGTTGTTTGTGTACAATGTCACTCTGATGCCATAGTGCAATTTACAACGGACATCTAATCGATCTCTGCTGGGATTATAGTTTCCTGTTAAGGTTCTGCCACCCAATCAGTGCCATTCGCTTGCTAAATTTAAAGCAATAGTGAGCTACTGGGGGAAGTGGAGATCATTTTTTCCTCCTTTTTCCACAGACTCAATCAGACTAGACTAGAAGGAACTAGAATAAGAGTTCAGTAAGCCAGGTGCCAGTGGCTCACACTTGTAATCCTGGCTACTCAGGAGGCTGAGATCTGTGGTACTGTGGCTCAAGTGGTAGAGCTCTTTGCCTTGAGCTGAAGAGCTGGGGGACAGCGCCCAGGCCCTGAGTTTCAAGTTACAAATATCAGCACCCAAAGTAAAAAAATATTTTTGAGACTTTGTGTTTAGGAGAAGTCTATGTAATGGAGTAGTGTGTTTAGTTGTGGCCTCTTAGCTGGGATTTTTCCCAGAAAAGGCCAACTCATTCCATCCCTCCTTGATTTAACAATTTTTATTTATCTCAGTAGGAAAAAAAATAAAATGCCTCCGTGAAATGTTTTGTGTTTATGGAAGATTAGTTCAAATATTTACATTACTAATGGCTAAAGATAAGCTAGTGAATACTTCAAATAACAAACCCAAGAATATTATAAGCAATATACATTATTCTGTTAGATTCCTTTTCCACTAAATCCTCCAACCGTTATTTATTTCATTATATGCCAAGAGCCATTTGATGATTAAGAATCCAAATTCATCCAGCCTGAGATAAGAATCATAGTTCAAAGACAGCCTGGGCAAGAAAGTCTGTGAAACTCTTTATCTCTAGTTAACCAACAGAAAGCCAGAAATGGAGGTGTGGCTCAAGTGGTAAAACACCAGCCTTGAGCAGAAAAAAAAACAACTAAGGATGAGATGCTCTTGAGTCCAAGCCCCATTACAGGCAGCAGAAAAGAAAAGAAAGCAAAATCAGACCACGTCTGGTGATATGGTGGCGATGGTTATAATGGCAATGATGCAGATGGTAGAAAGATTGTGGTCCTTTGCTGTCCTTGGGCAAAAAGTACCTTATGTGCCTGAAACATAAACTAAAAAAATTAGCTGGGCGCCAGTGGCTCACACCTGTAATCAGTCCTCACCACCCAGGAGGTTCATGTTCAAAGCCAACCCAGATAGAAAAGTCCTGAGACTTATTTCTAATGAACCACCAGAAAACCGAGGTGGACTGTGTCTCCAAGTGGTAGCGTGCTAGCCTCAGGTGGAAACGCACAGGAACAGCTCCCAAGCCCTATGTTCAAACCCATGACCAACACAAGCAATACAGAAAAACATTCATGAGCTCAGGATATAGTTTATGTCCCATGTGTTCTAACGTCGGTAGTATTAAGGGAAAAAGAACATTCAGAATGAGAATCAGGCCCCAGGTGACCCTGTCAGCAGTAGAATATGATGTGTGGCTTTCAGTGCTTTCTTTGTATAGTCTGTAAGGTTTATTATGCAGAGATTTAAATAATTGTACATTCTCTGTACTGCACCAGAGTGTGTCTATGCTGCTTTTAAAGATACTCTTTTTTTTGAGTGCTTAAAAAATGGTGGAATTTAGTAGTTTAGTTATATCTTCTGTTCAGGGGCTGGTAACGGGACTTGAACTCTGGTCTACTGTGGTGTATGTAGTTTGATCACAATAGTGTTGTAGGCCTTAGGATCAAAATCTGATAACAGTCAGTTGTAGGTGGAACAGAAACTTGGAAATCTTTGATAAGTGAGGGTAGAAGAAATATCCTGGGGATAGTAACCAGCAATGCAAGGAGCTTGGACTTTATTGAGCATAAAGGAAACAGTTTTCAGCCTAGTTATGAGTTCAAAGCAAAAGCCTGTGCATCTCAAGGCTTATTTTTCCCAAAAGGACCGTTTGTACTGTGCTGTTGTTTTGGTTTTGTACCTGTCCTGGGGCTCGAACTCAAAGATTGGTCCCTGTGTTTTTCAGCGCAAGGCTGGCACACTTATCACCTGATCCACAGCTCCACTTCTGGCTTTATTTTTAATTTTGGTAGTTAATTGCCATGGATTTTCCTGCCCAAGCTGGCTTTGAACCAAGATCTGAAGACCTCAGCCTCCTTAGTAGTCAGAATTACAGACATGATCTACAGGTGCCCAGCTCTAGGGTGTTTAGGTGGGTTTTTGTTTTTGTTTAGTCATTTCTGTTGTTTGTTTTTTTCATTTTTGTGCTAGAACTAGGGCTTACAATCAGGAGTGCACACTCTTGGTTAACTTCTTGTGCTCAAGGCTGGTGCTCTACCACTTGAACCACGTCTGCACTTCTGGATTTTTTTTTAATTTTTTTATTTTTTGGGTCCGGTCGTGGGGCCTGAACTCAGGGCCTGGGCACTGTCCCTCAGCTCTTCAGCTCAAGTCTAGCGCTCTACCACTTGAGCCACAGCACTACTTCTGGCTTTTTTCTTTTTGCTTATGTGGTGCTGAGGAATCGAACCCAGGGCCTCAGGCATGCAAGGCAAGTGCTCTACCACTGAGCCACCTTCCCAGCCCCCACTTCTGGATTTTTTTGTTGTTTAATTAGATATAAGAATCTTGTAGATTCTTTTCTCAGGCTGGCTTTAAAACCTCGCTTCCTTAGTAGCTAGATTACTGGCATGAGCCACCCCGTCTGGCTACAGTCTTCTTTTGATGTTAACACACTGTTCTCTTATCCTAAAGGCTCGTGAGGAAGAAATGACTGCAAAAGTAAAGGGCCTGCAGGCTCAACTAGAAGAACTACAGAGGAAATACCAACAGAAGCTACAGCAGGAGGAGGAGGGGCCTGGCAGTGATCAGGTGGGAGGAGTGCGCATGCGTTTCATGTATTTCCTGAAATCATTGTCATTTCTGTGACTCTGCTGGCTCATAAATAGACCTAATGAGACTTTTCTGTTTTCCTTTTTTCTTTTTCTTTTTGTCAGTTGTGGGTCTCAAACTCACAGCTTGGGCGTTGTCCCTGAGCTGCTTTTGCTCAAGGCGAGAGCTCTACCACTTGAGCCACAGCACCACTTCCGGTTTTCTGTTGGTTCATTGGAGATAAGAGTCTCACAGACTTTCCTGCCCGGGCTGGCTTTGAACCTCAGTCCTCAGATCTCAGCCTCCTAAGTAGCTGAGATGACAAGTGTGAGCCACCAGTGCCTGGCTTATGAGACGTTAATCTCCAGAAAACCAGAAATGAAGCTGTGGCTCAAAGTGGTAGAGCACTAGCCTTGGGTGAAAAAGCTCAGGGACAGCACCCAGGCCATGAGTTCAAGCCCCGTGACCGACAACAAAAAAAAAAAGAGAGACCAAGAGAGTGAAATTATAGAAATAGTACATGAATACATTGCTGGTTGGAAAGAGTCAGATGAAGTACACAGAATAATAAAGCCCTTCCTAGGAGGTGATTGTGACTAATGGATTACTATCTATTACTTTATAGATAGAAATCATAATTGGGAGTGTGGTGACGTTCCACTCCTTTTTCAGTGTGTGTGTATGTTTCAATGTAGATATAGATCAGGCTTAAAATAAGTTTCAAAGGCAGTTTTTGGCTTGCTTGCTTTGGTTTGTGTGTGTGCTGGTCCTGGGACTTGAGCTCCTGTCCTGGGTGCTGCCTTGGCTCAAGTATGCTCTCTTCCACATGAGCCACGGTTGCACATCAGAGTTTCTCGGCCTTTCCCACTCAGGCCGCTTTGAACCTCAGCCTCCAAAGTAGCAAGGACAATGGACATGAGACCCTGAAGCCTGCCTTCAGTGAAAGTCGACCTCCCTTAAGTACAAAGCCCTGAGTTCTTACTACCTTTTTTTTTTTTTTTTTTTGTCGGTTGTGGGGCTTGAACTCTGGGTCTGAGCACTGTCCTCAGCTCTTCAGCTCAAGGCTAGCATTCTACCACTTAAGCCACAGCACCACTTCCAGTTTTCTGGTGGTTTATTGGAGATAAGAGTTTCACAGACTTTCCTGCCCAGGCTGGCTTTGAACCGCAATCCTCAGATCTCAGCAGGCTCCTGAGTAGCTAGGATTACAGACATGAGCCACCGGCGCCCGGCAAATTCTTACTTCTTGTCATGTCTTATCCTTCTGTTTTATAGCTTAGGGTTTTGTGTGTGTGTGTGTTACTCATTTGTTTATTTTTCCATTTTTAGGTAACAATTATGGAGTTACAGGTAAGCTTAGTTGTTCATAGAAATTGACTAAAGATATTACATTTTACATCTCTTTTAATAAGTTAAGACATAAGGAGGGTTTTTTTTTCTGCTTTTTTGTTGTTATATGTTAAGACAGATTTTTTTTTTTGGGGGGGGGGGGGTGGAGTCCAGTCATGGAGCCTGAACTCTGGGCCTAGGTGCTGTCCCTCAGCTCTTCAGCTCAAGGCTAGCGTTCTACCACTTAAGCCACAGAGCCGCTTCCGGCTTTTTTTCTTTTTTGCTTATGTGGGCCTCATGCATGCAAGGCAAACGCTCTACCACTGAGCCACCTTCCCAGCCCCAACACAGATTTTTTGTTGTTGTTGTTGTTTGGGGGGGGGGGGGGAGGGTTGGTCATGGGTTTTGAACTCAGGGCCTGGGCGCTGTCCCTGAGCTCTTTTGCACAAGCCCAGTGCTCTATCACTTTGAGCCACAGCTCCACTTCCAGTTTTTGAGCGGTTCATTGGAGATGAGAGTCTCACAAGGACTTTCCTGCCTGGGCTGGCTTTGAACTGCCATCCTCAGATCTCCACCTCCTGGGTAGCTGGGATTATAGGGGTGAGCCACCAGCGACTAGTGATTTTTTTTTTTTCATTTTTAGCAAGGATAAGTTACTAGAATGTGTCTAGTGGTGATGCACAGTTTCATTTCAGCTCTAACTTTTTGTTTTTTTTTCCAGACGCAACTAGCACAGAAGACTACTATGATCAGTGAGTCAGAATTGAAAGAACAAGAATTCAGAGAACAGGTATGGGCTGATGGTTGACTTTTATTTTGAACTAATCTAGTTCATTCTATTATGTAGTTGCATCTCAGCAAATAGAAACAAAAAACAGTAAGCCGGGTGCTGATGACCTGTGCCTAAAGTTCTAGCTACTCATAAGGCTGAAATCTGAAGCCAGTCCAGGCAGGAAAGTTCATGACACTCTTATCTTCAGATGGATGAACAAAAAGCCAGAAGTGGAGACATGAGCCTTAAGCAAAAACAGCCAAACAAGAGCTCAAGGCCCTCAGTGCATGCCCCAGTACTGGCAAAATAGATGAATGAATAAAAAATATGTGGAATAAAGTACTAGTGATTTCATAGCTGTCTTTGACAGTCTTCTGGGTGTTTTGCTATGTAGTCCAGACCTGCCTCACCTCATTGTCCTTGGCCTCCCTGGGCCTCCCAAGTACCAGGATTACAAGTTTATACCACCAGACTTGGCCAAACTTTTGCCCACATACAAGGAATATTAGGTCCCAAGTGCAGTCACTTTATATTCATTATCACATATGTTTAAACAAAAAAATTTGTATCCTGCTGTTTCTAATGTTTAACTGTTTGTTGTTGGGGATGGTAGTCACGGGCCTTGATCTCAGGGACTGGACACTCCCTGAGCTCTTTCCCTCAAATCAAGGCGAGCGCTCTACCACTTGAGCCACAGCACCACTTCCAGTTTTCTGGTGGTTCATTGGAGATCAGAGTCTCATGGATTTTCCTGCTCAGGCTGGCTTTGAACCACAATCCTCAGATCTCAGCCTCCTTAGTAGCTAGGATGACAGGCGTGAGCCACTGGCATGTGGCCTGTTGAACATTTCAGATAACAATTTGTATTTCTTTTTTTTTTTTCTGCTGGTATTGGTATATAAATTGTATAATGTGGTTTCAATATTTATTGTTTTTAGATTCACAATTTAGAAGACCGTCTGAAAAAGTATGAAAAGAATGTATATGCAACAACTATGGGGACACCGTACAAAGGTAATCTTTCAAGTCAGATTGTCTGTGGTCGTGTGTGTGTGCACACATGCATGTGCACATGTGCGTTCACACTCGCCAATACCAGGCCTAAACTCAGCTGGGCGCTGCCCCTGAGCTATTTTGTTCAAGGCTAATACTCTACCATTTGAACCACAGCTCCCCTTCCAGCTTTTTGATGCTTAATTGGAGATCAGAGTTCCACAGACTTTCCTGCCAGGCTGGCTTTGAGTCATGATCCTCAGATCTCAGCCTCCTGAGCAGCTAGGATGACAGCCGTGAGCCTCCAACTCCTAGCTTTGTCTGATTTCTTAATGGTGGACTTTCAGATGAGTTCTACTTTTGTCTTGGCTAATATATACTCTTTTTATTTTTTTGTACTTATTATTTGACAAATAAAAATGATGTGTATTTATTGTTTGCCACACATTGATTTGAAATATGTATTCACTGTGGAATGGCTAGATTGAATGCGTTATCTCACATACTTAAGGTTTTTGTTTTTTTCTGCTGGTCCTGGGGCTATATATAACTGGGTCTAGATGCTGTCCCTGAGCCTCTGTGCTTCTCTGCGCAAGGCCAGCACTCTACCACTTGAGCCACAGCTCCACTTTCAGCTGTTCTTTTGAAGTTCAGTGGAGATAAGAGTCTCACACACTTTCCCTGCCCAGGCTGACTTTGAACTGCAATCTTCTTGTGTAGGTAGGGTTGCAGGTGTGAGCCACCAGCACCTTGCTACTTAAAGTTTTTATTGCTAGAACTTTTAAAATCTATTCTCAGTGATTTTCATGATACAGATAAGCGGGAACCCATTCGAGGTGGAATAGAGGGGCAGTATAAGGTAGCAGAGAGAAGGGACAGATGGATGGGAAGAGGAAAGGTGAGTGAATGCAGCCAAACTACTCAAGGTACACATGTCAGAATGGAACTAGGGGACTTGAGGGGATAGGTGAAGGAGAGAGTGGAGAATGGTGGAGGGTGACACTGGACTAGACACACTATACTCAGCAAAGTCACGTTGGAGTACACAGCTTCTTACAGGTAGTTTTCAAAAAGAATGGTATACATAACTCACTGTAGTTACCATGTTGTATAGTGGATCTTTTGAACTTCCCCCTCTGTTTTGTATTCTCTGCCCCAGGCCCCAGGTTCTGGTAACCACACTTCTGTGAGTTCAGGGCGCTGTTCCTGGGCCTCTTTGGGCTCAAGTCTCGCTCTCTACCACTTCAGTAGATTATTGGAGATGACAGTCTCACGGACTTTCCTGCCCAGGCTGGCTTTGAACCGTGATCCTCAGATCTCAGCTTCCTGAGAAGCTGGGGTGACAGGTGTGAGCCACTGACTCCTTGGCTTTCAATGAGCCTTCTTGCAGTGCCAAGTCACAATATTTTGCAGTCACTCTAACATTAATAATTTATGGACTTCATCCTATGTCAGTTAATTCTGTGTTTCAAAACTTTTTGAATATTTAAGTTCAGAACGTCTCAGTTGGAATATTTAGACAAACTAGGACACTGTACCGAGGCACTAAATCCCTAATAAAATAAAAAGATGGTTTGAGTCATTGCAAAATATCTGATGCCAGTCATGTAATATTTGCAAATACCAATGTGAAGGAATATTTGTGCTGCTAATCTACTTTTTTTTTTTTTTTTTTTTGTCGGTCATGGGGCTTGAACTTTGGGCCTGAATGCTGTCCCTCAGCTCTTCAGCTCAAGGTTAGCGCTCTACCACTTGAGCTACAGCACCACTTGCGGTTTTCTGGTAGTTTATTGAAGATAAGAGTTTCACGGACTTTCCTGCCTGGGCTGGCTTTGAACCACGATCCTCAGGTATCAGCCTCCTGAGTAGCTAGGATTACAGGCATGAGCCACCGGCGCCCAGCTAACTCATCTACTTTTTAATAAATGTGTCAGAGCTTGGGCTGGGAAGGTGGCTCAGTGGTAGAGTGCTTGCCTTGCATGCCTGAGGCCCTGGGTTCGATTCCTCAGCACCACATAAGCAAAACAAAGAAAAAAGCCGGAAGTGGCGCTGTGGCTCAAGTGGTAGAGTGCTAGCCTTGAGCTGAAGAGCTGAGGAACAGCGCCCAGGCCCAGAGTTCAAGCCCCATGACCGGACCCAAAAAAAAAAAAAAAAATGTGTCGGAGCTGGACGCCGGTGGCTCACACCTATCATCCCAGATATTCAGAAGGCTGAGGTTTGAGGATCGCGGTTCAAAGCCAGCCAGGGAAGACAAATCTGAGAGATTTTTCTTTCCAATGAGCTAATAACAAAAGCCAAAAGTAGAGAGGCATGGTTCAAGTAGTAGAGCTCTGGCCTTGAGCAAAAAATACACAAAAGTATGACCCTGCATTCAAGCCCCAGTAATGGCCTAAGGAAAAACAAATTCATTGTGTCTGTTATAACCGTTCCTGTTTTCTCTTTGAGGTATGTCTATTATAATAATTCTTTCTCTGTGGATAGGTCACCGGATGGTGTCGCGTGTGTGCAGTGCAGCATGTATAATTACTATAAGATCAGTGCCTCTCTGTCTCATTCACCATTTTTCAGTGTCTCTGTTCTCAATGTAGTAAGAATAATGTGTCTGGTTTTGACTTTACATTTGCTATCTTTTATTTGACAGGTGGAAACTTGTACCACACAGACGTCTCACTCTTGGGAGAACCTACAGAGTTTGAGTATTTGAGAAAAGTGCTCTTTGAGTATATGATGGGTCGTGAAACTAAGGTATAAATTATGTCTGGTGATTTGGTGTGAGCCCGACTTAAAGGGAAATATATTTGACTGTTAATACACATACTGATACCTGTGTTCACTGTTAGCAGGTCACACATGCTAGTAGTAACAAGGAGTTGTATTGTTGCTCTTAATTAACAAAAGCTCATTAGCTGGCAAATCTTGCTTATATTTTTTACATAGGTTTTTAGATGCTATTGAATGCTGCTAAAATACTATAAATATTAAAATTTCATTAAGAATAATTTATGAAGGACATGGCTATTTTTGTTCTTCAGATCTTAAAATTGAGAAAATTGCTGAGGTCCAGTGGCTCACGCCTGTAATCCTAGCTACTCAGGAGACTGAGATCTGAGGATCACAGTTCGAAGCTGGCCTGGGAAAGAAACTCTGTGAGATTCTTATTTCCTATAAACTACTCAGAGAAAAGGCAGAAGTGGCACTGTGGTTCAAGTAGTAGAACCTTGAGCACAAAGAAACTCAGGAACAGACAGCTCGAGCCCTGAGTTCAAGCCCCAGGACCGGCACCAAGAAAAAAAAAAAAAAAGAGTGAATTAATAGACCGGAGACCCAGCCAAACACCAAAAGTTATGGAGCTGTATATTTGAATCCTTAAGATTTATAGAAATTATATTTCATTACATCAAATACTTTTCAATTAAAGCCACGTACTACGTGGCTCAGGTCTGTCAGCTGCTCAGGAGACTGAGATCTGAGGATCACAGTTGAAAGCCAGCCCAGGCATAAAAGTTTGTGAGACTTTTCTTCAGTTAATCAAGAAAAAGTTAGAAGTGGAGATGTGTTGCTCAAGAAGTAGAGCTCTCATGAGTTTAAGCCCAGTACTAACACGCGCGCGCGCGCACACACACACACACACACACACACACACAGCCAGTGTTGACACACGTGGTTTCATGGCCATCTTCAGTTGGTTCCTGCCTGGCAGACCCTGGCTCATCCCACCTGTTTTTTGTGGTTTTTTGGGGGGGTTTTTTGTTTTTGTTTTTTTTATTATCTGCTTCTGCACACAGCAAGCTTTATCTTATAAGGCTTTTAAAGAAAGTTAAGCTGGGCACTAGTGGCTCACACCTGTAATCCTAGCTACTCTGGAGGCTGAAATCTGAGACTCTTGGTTGGATACCAGCCGAGACAGAAAAGTCCTTGAGATTCTTATCATCCAATTAACCACCAAAATGTCCAGAGTAGAGGGGCAGCTTGCCTGGTAGAAGAGAAATGCTTAGGGCTGGGAGGGTGGCTCAGTGGTAGAGTGTTTGCCTTGCATGAATGAGGCCCTAGGTTCAATTCCTTAGCACCACATAAGCAAAAAGAAAAAAGCCGGAAGTGGCACTGTGGCTCAAGTGGTAGAGTGCTAGCCTTGAGCTGAAGAGCTGAGGGACAGCGCCCAGGCCCAGAGTTCAGGCCCCACGACCGGACCACCCCCCAAAAAAAGAAGAGAAATGCTTAGGCACAATGTCCAGTCCTGAGTTCAAGCCCCAGAACTGGCACAAAGAAAAAGTACCTCTATGCTCACATGTTGGTGTAGAAGGGGATTCGGTAAGCCCTGTGAGCTATGCTCCATGTACTGTCAATTATGGGTGTGGGTTGATACTGAAATGTAGTTTGTCCTCCTTTTCAGTAGACACATTATTGAAGGATTGACTCCCTAAGGACAAACGGGCAGGAGAGGCCTCTTGAACTTTACTTCCCAGGGCCTGAAGATACTATAGAGAGAGTAGAAAGACTGGTTACTTTTTCAAGATGGTGGCAAAGAGTCTCTGGGTTTTCCCCCGGGCTTTTTCTGGCAAGCTGTAAGGCTCTTCTAGATAATGAGCTGCAAATTCTGGGTCGGTGGTGAGCTTTAAAGGTGTGTTTACCCTTTAATGTAGTCCAGAAATGTGAACGAACAAAGATGCCTGTGCACAGAAGTGTAGTTGTTCCAGGATAAATGTCAAGTGCACTTTTGGGGGCCTTGAGATTGACATAATACTGAAATTAGAAAAAATGCTCTCTATACTTGAAAAGGTATGAGTTTTAAATTTTTGATATTTCCTTAAAAATAAACTTCTTATATAGTAATACCCAGGTTTGTTACTACCTGTAAATAAAAAGAAAAGACCGAAATTGTTACCACTTAGTATTTTTCCTGACATTTCATGCCACCTATGTACTTGATTTCTGGACTTTAGCAGACAAGATTGTATTCCACCAAGTTAATGCAAACTTAAATGAGGGTTTTGTAAAATTCTTTTTGAATCCCCAAGAAGAACTAAGTTTGTTTATATGTTTGTTTAAGACAAGCTGGGCACTGGTGGCTCACACCTGTCATCCTAGCTACTCAGGAGGCTGAGAGCTAAGGATCATGGTTCGAAGCCAGCCTAGGCAGGAAAGTCCATGAGACTCTTTATCTCCAATTAACCACCAGATAGCAGGAAGTTAACTGTGGCTCAAATGGTACAATGCTATCCTTGAGCAAAAAAAACACAGAAAAATAAGCAGCGTAAGTTTATTTGAAAGTGAAAAATCCATGAAAGAAAGGAGTGAGTGAGATCCGCCATCACCCAGAGAGGCAGCCCTGCCAGGATGTTGTGAGTGACATTTCAAGTGTCGCTTCTCCATGTGTCTGCTTTTGATCTTGGTGACAGCCGAGGCGGAGATGAAGGGAAGAAGAGGGCTGGAAGTAGAGTCTTGCCGCATCTGGGGTTTGTGGTTGAAAACATTTACTTGATCTTTTAGTTACACCCTTTTCTTCCTGGAAATGATACTTTTTTTTTTCCTAATGATGGAGTTTCTAAAACTTTTGACTAACACACACACACACACACACACACACACACACACACATTTAAGTCGCATGTAACCATGAACAAAGAATCTCTGGAGTCACTCTTTTGGACCCTCCCATCTAGAGGAGCACTAGCATAATCCCTAGGAACGTTCTACCACCTAACTTTGTGTATAAGCACTGAATTTGTTATCCTAACCTATTTCATAAGTGATATATCTTCTTTCCTCTCTGTCTTCCTCAAAACATCTCATCTTGATACAAAATAGGGACTTGCAGCCCTTTGAGGAGAATTTTCCAGGAGCTAATGGGTTGCCGGTCTACCTTAACGGGTATACTGTATTTATTAGATCTGCACAGTTTTTGAATCTTGTTTTACAAACCACCATGTGTAATGTTTTGATTCATCCTGTTTTTTCTACCAAACAAAACATGTGTGTTTCTTTCAGATGTAATTTCTATTAGGCTGATGTGCTGCATGTCTTGGGGAAAAAACAAACAAACCTACCAAGCATGCTTCGTGTTCATGCAGTAGCCCATGTTTATGAGATATATGATGTGATTTAGCTGAAGTCGGGCTTGGGGAGCATCTAATTGTTACTATTTAGATCAATTCCTCACTTTCATACATTTTGACTAATAACCTTTTCAAATCACTAGTAATTTGCAATACAATTAATCTGTGATAGCATAATATAAAAATAAAGTAATATATTCCCTGACAAAGGACCAAGTGCCTTCAACCCTCATAGCTTCCTGCAATTGGATTGGATTGGAAATGTGTGGCCTCACAGTAGTATAAACCCAACCTGGACACCCAGATGTTGTGAGGAGTCCTTTTTCATTGAAATTCTGGCAGGTGGCTGGCATTTCCTGGCCTGAGCACCTTCACATCATACTTCTTTGTCCGTGGCTTCCATTGAAAGCACTAAAGAATCCCACCGGCAGACACATCAGAAGGGGTTGAGACTCCCCTCGGCTGTGCTGTCTGTCTATGACCGTCTCTCTCCTCCCTTGTAGACCATGGCAAAAGTCATCACCACTGTCCTGAGATTTCCCGACGACCAGACGCAGAAAATCCTGGAAAGAGAAGATGCTCGGCTAGTGGTAAGCTGTGGAAGTAGACTGTGTGCATGTAAATATGGACGGATGGACAACTGGACAGATAGGCGGATGGATGGATATAGACAGATCGTTTTCTCTCACTTGCCTATATTCTGTGTTCTTTATCAAGTCTTTGAACTGATGAAGGATAGTGAATTTTTTTAATTTCTATTATTATTACACTCTAAAAAGCAATAATGAATTTACATAGGAGAATTTAACGTAGGGTGAAAGTGACTAGATGCCCTCAAGAGCATATTAATTATTTAAAAGCATCTTAACATATTTAATGATATGTGAAATTGATAGCCATATCTTCTAGAACTCATGCTGGTTAAAAAAAAGCCATTCTTGTATATCAAAGTAGCAAAGTTTTAGAACTTAACTATAATATTTCATAGATGACAGTTATTTATTCTATTACTATTACAGTTGATTTCCTATTAACTCTGGCTAAAATAATTTAGGCATTTTTGAACTTTTGATACCATACAACAGAAAAGTAGAAAGCAACTGAATTATTTTTTAAAAATGAAAAGAACTGTAACTAACCAGGCATCAGAGGCTCACGCCTATAATTCTATAGCTACTCCAGGAGGCTGAGATCTGAGGACGGCAGTTCAAAGGCATGTTGGCAGAAAAGTCCGTGAGACTTTTATCCCCAATTAACCAGCAGAAACACAGAAGATGAAAGATGCATGTCAGTGTAATGTATGCGCTCACCAACAGAAAGAAAACTCTTTTTAATAATCTTAGTTTGACAGCTGGGATGTAGCTCAGGGGCAAAGCGCTTGCCTAGCAAGTGCAATGTCCTGGGTTCCGTCCCTGGTACCAAAAAAGACAAAAAATACAGTTTTTAAAAAACCAACAGGAAAAACAAAGGAGGGGGTAACAATGCTCGACAGGAAACGTACTCATTTCCTTACTCATGTAACTGCAATCCCTCTGTATAGTATCTTTACAATAAAAAATTCTAAAGAAAAACAAAAACTAAAAATAAATTTAATTTGTTAGGCATGAATCATTCAGAGTAGAGGTTTTTCTAATTGATTGGGGTTTACTTTATTGATTTTTTTCTTTACTTTTTGTCGGTCCTGGGGTTTGAACTCAGGGCCTGGGCACTGTCCCACGCTTCTTTTGCTCAAGGCTAGCGCTCTACCACTTGAGCCACCGCACCACTTCCAGCTTTTTCTGTGTATGTGGTGCTGAGGAATCGAACCCAGAGCCTCATGCATGCAAGGCAAGCACTCTACCACTGAGCCACCTTCACAGCCCCTTATTTTTATTTTTAACCAATCAAGGACAAAAATCACATCTAACTAGATTCAGAAAAATCAGCTTTGACAGAATTCAACATTGCTTCATGATAAAACAACCTCAAAGAAACTAGGAATCAAAAATTCATACCTAACCAGGCACCGGTGGCTCACGCCTGTCATCCTAGCTACTCAGGAGGCTGAGATCTGAGGATCATGGTTTAAAGCCAGCCCAGGCAGGAAACTCCATGAGACTCTTATCTCTAATAAACTACTAGAAAACCAGAAGTTGTGCTGTGGCTCAAGCGGTAGCGCGCTTGCCTTGAGCTGAAGCATGCATGGACAGCGTCCAAGCCCAGAATTCAAGCCCCACGACTGGCAAAAAAAAAAAAATCATACCTAAGCATAATAAGAACTATGTATTTTAAGCCAACAGGCAGCACTATAAACTAAATAAGGGAAGCTGAAAGCATTTCCCCTCAAATAAGAAATGAAAGAAGGGTGCTTTACCTTCCCACTTATCCTTCAGGTTATATGTAGGTTTTATTGTTGTTTTTTTTTCCTTTTGTGTCAGTATTGGGGCTTGAACTTGGGGCCTTGCAAGGCTCTTTGCACTTGCTCCAGGCTGGCTCTACCACTTGGGCCATACTGCCACTTGGAGACTCGTGGTAGTTAGCTGGCGATAAGATTCCTAATGGACTCTCCTGCCTGGGCTGGCTTCAAGTGCTATACTCCGATCTCGGTCTTGGGAAACACCGAGGCCCCACAGGTGTTGTGTTGGTTCAGTTTGGTTTTTGCCATGCAGGGGACCGAGTCCAGGGCCTCACACGTGCCAGGGGAGCCTCACCTGCTGAGCCACCAAGCTAGCCACCCTTGGGTTTGTGGCTTGATTGGTTTTTGCTCCAGATCAGTCTTGTACCCACTCCCTTGCTTCTTCCCCTTTGGGGAATTTTTAAATCTCCTGAAATAATAAGTGTTTCAGGACACTTTTTAGAAAAGATTTTCATTCTTGCATAACATTCTCCCTTTGCCTTCAGGAAGATTCATGCAAAGTGATTTGACAAATAATCATGATATGTAGTGGTACACATGGTACTGTGGTATCAGTGGCTTTAACTAGCACTGTGAGACTCAGGTGGTTTGGAATCTTATTTTTTTAATGTTGCAAACAATTAAGAAACATTGTATAAAAAGGAGGTAATTGGAAGTGGCTCTGGGGCTCAAGTGCTAGAAGACTAGCCATGAGTTGAAAAGCTCAGGGACAGTGCCTAGGCCCAGAGTTGAAGCCCCACAACCAACAAAAAAGAAGATACTTGACGAACTTCAACTTGCAAATTGCTTTCCCTATGCTAAGATTATCTTGGCTAATGGTGTAAGAGCCAGCTGTGGTCAGGGCTGCCAGTCCAGTTCTGAGGAGGCCAAGGCACAAGGATCACTAGCGGAGGCCACTGGGGATTGCACAGTGAGAACTTGTCTCAGAAGGAAAAATGAATTCTTTTTTCTTTTTTTTTTTTTTTGGTTAAGTTTGTGGGGCCTGAACTTTGGGCCTGGGCGCCGTCCCTCAGAAATTTCAGCTCAAGGCTAGCACTCTACCACTTGAGCCACAGCACCACTTCTGGCCTTTTCTGCTTATGTGGTGCTGAGGAATTGAACCCAGGGCCTCATTGCATGCATGGCAAGCGCTCTACCACTGAGCCACCTTCCCAGAAATAACCACATTTTCTAAGCCTTGCATCGATGACTCTTCCTTCATCACTTAGTTATTCAATTTTACAAACATGAAAGTGCAGTCGTTTGGGGGATTGGTTTTGGGTTTGGAGGGCACACTTAATATATTTTGTATTCTGCATCTTTTTGTTTTTGGTTTTGGTTTCTTTTTGTCGGTCCTGGGGCTTGAACTCTGGGCCTGGGCGCTGTCCCTCAGCTCTTCAGCTCAAGGCTAGCACTTTATCACTTGAGCCGCAGCGCCACTTCCAGTTTTCTGGTGGTTCATTGGAGATGGGATTTTCACAGCTTTTCCTGCCCGGGCTGGCTTTGAACCATGATCCTCAGATCTCAGCCTCCTGAGTAGCTAGGGTGACAGGTGTGAGCCACCGGCATCCAGCTTTCTGCAATCAGGGCCTTGCTATTGCCAGAGAAGGCACTCTACTGCTTGATCCATGTTCCCTGCCTGTTTTGTTCTCATTAGCGCCTAACCAGATCTTGCATTTACGCCTGGGCTTCCTGAGCTATAATACTTCCATTCATGCTTCTCACAGAGTGGAGTAGCAGGCAGCCACCATGAGACCTAGCTTACTGGTTTGACGTGCTGTCCGCAAACTTTAATCTTCCCAGATAGCTAGGATTGCAGATGTGAGATACTGTGCCAACCCCACTTCATTTTTTTTTGTTGTTGGTGGTGGTGGTCATGGGGCCTGAACTCTGGGCCTGGACGCTGTCCCTCAGCTCTTCAGCTCTGGGCAAGCTCTACCACTTGAGCCACAGCGCCACTTCAGGCTTTTTCTGCTTATGCAGTGCTGAGGAATCGAACCCAGGGCCTCATGCATGCGAGGCAAGCACTCTACCACTGAGCCACCTTCCCAGCCTCCACCTCATTTTTTATAATGTATAACATACACATCCTGCTGTTTAGTTCACGTGTTTCCTCCTCGTTCCATTCACTAGGTTATTTGCAGTTTTGTAGTGCTGGTAAGCATAGAACGTCCATAGCCATACATTTCGAGCACTTCTGCAAGTTTTCCTCTAAGGTGTTAGCTATTGTGTTTGTTCCACTCACAGTGAATCGAACAGGTAACTGGAATGACACTGGGGGGGGTGGAGACTCAGCCTTGGGTTATCCTGCCTTAAAACCAAGCTGATGGTTTTGGAATGTGGCCATCTTAAAACAGGGCATAGAATGTACTTAAGATTGGCTAGGGCTGGGAAGGTGGCTCAGTGGTAGAGCGCTTGCCTTGCACGCATGAGGCCCTGGGTTCGATTCCTCAGCACCACATAAGCAAAAAAGAAAAAAGCCGGAAGTGGCACTGTGGCTCAAGTGGTAGAGCACTAGCTTTGAGCTGAAGAGCTGAGGGACAGCGCCCGGGCCCAGAGTTCAGGCCCCACGACTGGACCCAAAAAGAAAAAGAAGAAGAAGGTTGGCTAACGCACAAGCTCTGTTTGAAATTGAGTTCATTTAAACTGAAATTTTAGTTTGGTGTGTTGTTCCTGAAAACATTCCACTGTGAGGGTTAAAGGGAGATGATGTAACTGAATTTCGTATACACTGTAATGGAATTATGAGACAAGTCGTCTGCCCTTAGTTTGCCTAGCTGTGAAGGGTGCATTCAAGCATGAAATGCACCTGTACATGTTTAAATTTTAACATTGAAAGTTAAAAAGGGTCTCTCCTCTTCAGGCCACTCTCCTCCTGGAGAGCTGCTTCCTCTACAGCTTTCCTTTCACTTGCAGATATGCACAGTCTGTTTACCTTGAAAGAGAAAAGAAAAAAGAAATGGGTGGGGAGGGGAAGAAGGGAAAGAAAGAGGAGAGAAGGCTGGAAGAAAGGAGAGGAGGGGAGAAAAAGAAGAGGGAGGGAGGGAGGGAGGAGGGAAAGAGGGAGGAAAGGAAGTGCCGGGCACCAGTGGCTCACGCCTGTCATCCCAGCTACACAGGAGGCTGAAATCTGAGGATTGTGGTTCAAATCCAGCCTGGGCAGGAAAGTCTGAGACTTTATCTACAATGAAGAAAACACAAAACCAAAGGTGGTGCTGTGGCTCAACGTGATAGAGGGCTAGCCTTGAGCAAAAGAGCTCAGGGACAGCGCCCAGATCCAGAGTTCAAGCCACACAGACTGACAAAAAAGGGGGGGGGGGGGAGGAAAGAAAAGGAGGGAAAAGAAAGAAGAAGGAAAGAAAAGGCAAAGGGGAGAGAAGAGGGAATGGAAGGATTGGAGGAAGGTGTTCTGTGTTCTTTACGCTTTGTACATCCCTGGTTTGGGAGCATTTTACGTGCATTCTGTTTAGTTCTATAACAATAGATGCATAGAATCTATGCTAATCTATATGTTGTGTGGTCTTGAAACTAACCCACTAAGCTTCTTTTCTTCCTGGCTTTGTAGTTTGCCTCGGCCCGCAGTGGTATCTTCTGAGTAAGCCGCCGGCCTGTGCTTAGTTTGCACGTGGTGAGTGCAGAATGTGTCTTCTTATGCAAAAATCAGATGCGCTGCATGATACTAACCATCTCTTGTTTAATGAACATACATGATTGTGCTCTGAGTTAATGCAGTATTTTCTGGTCATTCTTCTCTAGAGGTTAGTAATGCATGATTAGGAACCATCAGGAACTCTTAAAGTCTGTGAAAGGGAAACAAAAATGCACTTTCTGGAGATAGAAGTGAAATGGCCCTGTACCACGTTGCTCACACCCATAATCCTAGCTACTCAGGAGGCTGAGATGCAAAGATCACAGTTCAAGGCAGCCCAGGCAGGAAAGCCTGTGAGACCCTTACCTCCAGTGAACCACAGGAAAAAAAAAACTGGTGCTGTGACTCAAGAGGTAGTGTACCACCTTGAGCTGAAGAGCTGAGGAAGAGTACCAGGCCTGAGTTGAAGCCTCAGTACCACATGAAGGACAAAAGGAAGGAAGAAGGGAGGGAGGGAGGGGAAGAAATATTTCACAAATCCAGAATTTAAGATACTACAAGGTTGCAGTAGAGTCAAGACTAGTTGAAATAATGAAAGCAAAAGTAAATGGAAGCCAGGCACTGGTGGCTCACGCCTGTCATCTTAGCTACTCAGGAGGCTGAGATCTGAGGATCTCGGTTCAAAGCCAGCCCGGGCAGGAAAGTCTGTGAGACTCTTATCTCCAATAAACTACTAGAAAACCAGAAGTGGTGCTGTGGCTCAAGTGGTAGAGTGCTTGCCTTGAGCTGAAGAGCTGAGGGACAGCGCCCGGGCCCAGAGTTCAAACCCCACAACCGACAAAAAAAAAAAAGTAAATGGAGTTTTATTACATCCTAGATCATGCACAACACAAGATAACACATTTAATCTGAGGATTTTCGGCAGCCTACTTTAATTGAACATGGTTGTTTCAGATTAGCACATTATTATGGTGAAATTATACCTAAAATCTTTCATACAATTGGCTGTTTTCTTATCTGAACCCCTTCCTCTTATTTCCACATATGATTTGTGATATTGTTATTAACATGATTTAGTTTCCTTGTACACGTTTAGGGTTTACCTTTAATTATCAGTTGAATGACCACCAGTAGGGATGAACTATACTTATACATATATCATTTAACTGTCCTAAGTGATTAAAACTATTGACTTTAAAAAACTATTCTTTATATTGTGTACAGTACAATAGCTGAGGATACAACAAACTGTTTTGTTAGGTCATTTTTATTGTAAATATATGAAAATCCTGAAAAAATTAATCCTGTATCTAACCCATGGCCTTAATATTTTCCTTTATCATATAATACATAATTTCAAATAAATGATATCATTTATCTCTAGAAATGCCAATTATATAGCATTTCTATTCATTGAATGTTTGCTCAATTCCTCCCCCCCCCTTTTTTTTTTTTGGTGGTGGTGGTGGTGGTGGTGGTGGTGGTGGTGGTGGTGGTGGTGGTGGTGGTGGTGGTGGTGGAGCTTGATCTCTGGGCTTGGGTGCTGTCCCTATGCTCTTCAGCTCAAGGTGAGCACTCTACCAGTTGAGCCACAGCGCCACTTACGGTTTTCTAGTAGTTTATTGGAGATATGAGTCTCACAGACTTTCCTGCCCGGGCTGGCTTTGAACCGAGATCCTCAAATCTCAGCTTCCTGAGTAGCTAGGATTACAGGCGTGAGCCACCAGCGCCCAGCTCGTGAATTTTTGTTTATGCCAATTACTCAAGCTAAAATTTCAAAATAAAAAGTGACAAAAGGACAGTTGGATATAGCAAGATATTTTTGTGGGTCTTCTTTGGGTTCTTAGGACCAAGATAAGCTAGTTTTTTAACAATAATTTGCCATAAGGCGTACTTTATGAATAGTGGAATCAATATGGGTCATTTATCTGTTGAGAAGACTTGCCATATTTTTCCTTTCCACTGAATATATACTCAGAGTTTGTCTCTGTTATACAGCCTTACTTGGCAATTCAAACCTCATATTTGATAGGACCACCAGCCTTGAGCATTCTAATATAAAGAATTTCCTTAGACTTTGGCTTTTGTTCTTCAGCATTTGCAGTGTTTTGAAAGAAATTTATTAATTCCAGCAGAGCTTGAGTTTTCACGTCACAGAGTTCTGAGGATAAAAGTTCAAGGCCAGCCCTGGCAGAAAAACTGGTGTCAATGAACAACCTGAAAACCAGGAGTAGAGCTGTGGTTCAAGTGGTAGAGCGCCAGCCTTGAGCAAAAGAGAAACTCAAGGACAATGCCCAGGCCCTGAGTTTGAGCCCCAGGACTGGTGGGCATGTGTACACACAGACACACACACACACACACAAATGTCAGTTTGAATAATTTCAAGAACACTAATTTCTAGAGGATTCTGCTAGGATTTCATATTCATTTCTACTTCTCTGCTGCCAGATCATAGAATGTAATTTTATTTTGGACTTGGAAGAAAGAAAATTTCAAAAACACTTGATCTTAAAATTCAAGTGTGTATGTTCCTGTGTTTATTTTCTTTCTGCCCCCTCATTTTCTTTTTTATCATACTTTCTTCAGTCATGGCTCCGGTCTTCATCCTGAAGGAGCGTGGAACGATGCTGCTGACCGCTGCCCTGCAGTCAGGAGGGAGGCCTTGCCCTGCGCATAGCTAAGCACAGTCGGATGGCCCGGCCCCAGACCCAGCACGGCTGCCTCCAGAGACCCCTCCTCCCTCCCCTCCCCTCCAGTGGAGAAATGGTGATTAGGGATTTTTCTTTTCCTTCAGTTTTCTCTTGGGAAGAATTTTATATTTAAAACAGTTTGGATAACCTCACCTACTCCTCTTAACAATGTCCCTTCCCCATTCTTTTTGACCCTCTTCTCCCTTTTAAAGAAATGCTTGCCTTTCTTATTTATTTTAGGGTGGTTTTTTTCCTTTCTAAAAATTTGTGCAATACGTTTTGAGGTAAAACAGTAATTTTTTCAGATAAATTAGAGAGTTTTATTATTACCCAGATTTTTTGAATATTTGCTAAAGATTTAATTCTTTAAGCTATCACACAGATGTCCCAAATGGCAGTACCTCATTGTTTACTGAGCTTTTGTACTTATATTTTTCAGAGGAAAGAATACTATTGTAAATTGTAAATAGTCAATAAATAACTATTGTATGCAAATCTATAACTGTTGGCAATGACATCTGGGAAGAAGAGATAAATAAAGTTTATTTCCTGTATTACATGTATTACTGTGTTTCTTTCAAGGTTGACATGTATTTCAAAATGGGTAAAAATTTATTTTTTCACTTGAGTTACTATGAGAACTGTCAGGATAGCAAAATGCTGAGCATTGGGAAAGTTTTCTTTGTGGGTTCAAAATTATGTGACCAAGTTAGAAAAAGCATAGAGTAGAAATGCCTCTTCTCTCCATACTAGACCATACTTTTTTAAAACTCTGGGCCTAAGCACTGTCCCTAAGTTTTTGTGCTCAACGCTGGTGCTTTACCATTTGAGCCACAGCACCACTTCCAGCTTGTTTTGGTCAATCGGAGATAAGAATCTCAGGGACTTTCCTGCCTGGGCTGGCTTTGAACCATGGTCCTCAGATCTCAGCCTCCTGTGTAGCTAGGATGATAGGCATGAGCCACCAGAACCCAACTTACTTTGATTCTTTTTCACCTTGAGGAGAGAAATTTCTGGACATGAAGACATGGGAATTACTCAGAGGGGTTCATACTGCCTTCCTCCAAAGCCTTGGGTTGTGGTCTAACCTTTGCCTCAAAATGGAGCCCTGGCCATACGCAGTCTAGAGGGCAGGGAGGGCTGCCCCAGGGGTACAGGCGTGCCCCATAGCTGACCTGTTTGCTGTTCTCCAAAGGAAGGACAGTCTTGCCGGTCGCTGGCGGCTCGTGCCTATCATTCCAGCCACTCCAGAGGTGAGGAAGGCAGGTGGAGCCAGCAGTCCTGTGTGATCTCCCTTTGACACAGGACAAGGATCCACACAGGAAACACTACAGGGTATTGTTGGATCTGCCCACACACACACACACCCAGAGCTGTGGCCTGAACTGCCCAAGTGGGCAGGAATCCCTATAATCCCAGCTACTCAGGAGGCTGAGATCTGAGAATGGAGGTTCAAAGCCAGCCTGAGCAGGAAAGCCCGTGAGACTCTTATCTCCAATGAACCACAGAAAACGAAGTGGTGCAGTGCCTCAGGGGTAGAGTGTTGGCTTTGAGCAAAACCACTCAGGGAAGCGCCCAGGCCCTGAGTTCAAGCCCCTGGACCAGCGGAGACTTTAGGTAACTGGATGGGCCCCTCATGGCCTGGAGCACTGGAAATAGCACTGACAGGCCCCATTTCTCCTCCAATCAAACAGAAGCCCTAGACTCCCATACACCCATTGAAATCCCATCCCAGAGTGGGTTCTGAGTCTGAAAATGCAGATCATTTGAAGGAGAAAACCTTGTCAGCAACAAGATGGGGAACTAGTTCAGGACTTCGTTCTATTTTGTTTCATTTTGTTTGCTTTGTCTGGGGCTTGAATTCCTGTTTCTAAGCTTTTTCACTCAAGTCTAGCACTCTACCACTTGAACCACAGCTCCACTTCCAGTTTTTTGCTGGTTCCCTGGAGTGTCTCGTGGAATTTCCTGCACTGCCCCCAGCTGGCTTTGAGCCACGATCTCAGATCTCAGCCTCTGCAGTAGCTAAGATTTTACAGTGTGAGCCACTGGCTCTTGGCTGTACTTTATTTTGTTTGTTTCATTTGCTTGTTTGCTCCATTCTTGGTGGCTGTTTTCTGTTACTTGTTCTTTTTCTCCCTCTTTCCTTATCCTAAAAACTCTTCTCTACTGATCTACAACTCCTGACAGCTAGCACTCTACCACTTGAGCCACAGTGCCACTTCCAGTTTTCTGTGGTTTATTGAAGAGTTTCATGGACTTTCCTGCCTGGGATGGCTTTGAACTGCGATCCTCAGATCTCAGCCTCCTGAGTAGCTGGGATGACAGGTGTGAGCCACTGGCCCCCAGCAGTTTGTTGAGTCTTTAGTTTTTCCAACTCCCTGGGTAGTTCCTTGACAAAGATTTTTTTTCTCCCATTCTGCAGATTTTCTCCTCAAACCACACAACTGTTTCCTCTGCTGTGTTAGCTCCTTAGTCTGATGCAGCCCCATTTGTCAATCTTTGTTCTTCTTTGCTGAGCTATTAAGATTCTACTCAGGAAGTTATTGCCTAGGCCAGTGTGTTCCAGTGCCTTCCCTATTATTTCCTGAAGTCATTTTAAGGTTTCCGGTCTTGTATTAAGATGGATTTATTAAGATGAATAAATGTTAGTGCAGACAGAGCGATAACGCATCGTTCCCATGTTTGACCCGTGAGTCTTCATTTCCCCAGCACCACTGATTGAAGAGGTTTTCTCCTCTTCAGTGTATTTTTGGAGAACCTTTGTCAAAAAGTGATGCTCTGAAACCAGGCGTGTTGGCTCACGCCTGTCAGCCCAGCCACTCAGGAGGCTGAGATCTGTGAGTTGGGGTTCAAAGCCAGCCTGGGCAGGCCGATTCACAGACAGCTTATGAAGATCTGGTATGGGTGAAGAAAAGTACCTGGGCCGTTATCTTTAGGATGATGCATATCACTGGAGAGACACTATTTCGGAGGATGAAAGCAAGGGACAGAAGTCTTGGTCCCATGGGATCTAAGCCAAGCCTTCAGGAACTCACAGGTGGCTCATGGGCAGAATCTAAGGAAGGGAGACCATCCTATGGGCCTGCAGTGAGCTCTAAGGTCTGACAATGGTCAGAATCCAAGCCAGGGACTGGGTATAGTTTGCAACATAGCTAGGGTGGAAAAGCCAGGCACCAGCAGCTCACACCTGTCATCCCAGCTACTCAGGAGGCTGAGATCTGAGGATGGAGGCTGGAAGCCAGCTTGAGCAGAAAAGTCCATGAGACTCCTCTCCAATAAACTACTCAGAAAAAGCTTGAAGTGGAGCTGTAGCTCAAGTGATAGAGCACCAGCCTTCAGAAAAAGAAGCTCAGGGATAGCACCTGGGCCCTGAGTTCAAGTCCAGGACTGGCACCAAAAAAAAAAAAAAAAAAACCACTTTAGAATCGAATTATAAACTGCTATCTACTGGATTGAAAGATTCGATCTCGGGACTGTAGTTCTGCTTTTAAATTAGATCTGGGCTGTTTTCATCTTTTATTTGTGGTACTTTGTGTTTTCCCTTTTTATTTTTTACATTATAAGTCAGGTAAAGAATACTTTTTCCTTTTTTCTTTCTTTCTTTTTTCTTTTTGTCGGTTGTGGGGCTTGAACTCAGGGCCTGGGCACTGTCCCTCAGCTCTTCAGCTCAAGGCAAGCGCTCCACCACTTGAGCCACAGCGCCACTCCTGGTTTTTGAATGGTTATTTATCGATAAGAGTCTCGCGGACTTTCCTGCCCAGGCTGGCTTTGAAACATGATCCTCAGATCTCAAGCCTCCTGAGTAGCTGGGGTGACAGCGGGAGCCACTGGCCCCCGGCTTGAATACATGTTCCTTTTGGACCATGTCCCCCTTCCTTCCCGGGTTTCCCTCCTGTCCCCACCCACAAGGTGTGGAGTTCATGATTCTCCCATCGCGTCCCGTGAGGACTAAGGCTGTCTCTGCTCACCCTGGGGTGTATTTATGCATTTATCATCTATCCTGTCTGATGCGATGTATTGATCTATTCTGTGGGTTGTGATGTGTTTACCGTCTATTCTGTGATGTGATGTATTTATGTATTTAATTATCATCTGTTCTGTGATGTATTTATGATTTATTCTGTGGGCTGTGATGTATTTACCATCTAATCTGTCTGATGTGATGTGATGCATGTATGATTTATCATCTCTTCTGTGGGCTGCGGGCTCCTCTGCGCAACCCGGGTGCTCCGCCGCTCTGACCACGGCTCCGTTCCTGTTTTGCGCGGTCGCGTGGAGATTACGTTTCATGAGGGTTTCTGCCCAGGCTGGTTTTGAACTACGGTCCTGGGATTATACGGGGTATAATGAGCAGGGCCTAGACCCCAGCCCCAGTCCAGGCGGGGGAGGGACGGACAGACGGACGCCGTCCCCAGCCGTCTCCGGGGCGCGGACGCCAGCTCGAGGGCACACGGGGACGTCGGGGGCCGGGGTGAGCGAGGCCCGCGGAGCGCGCGCAGCCCCGCGTCCCGGTCACCCGGTCACCCCGGCCTGGCGCCGACCCCAGCGCCACCCAGGACCCGCCGCGCTCCTGCGGAAGCTCCGTGCAGGCCGGATGCAGTCCATGGGGATGGCAGCTTACAGAAGCTTCCGGCACTCCAGGGAGGGGGTTCAGGGGTCCCGGGGAGGGGGCGGGGACGGGGCGCCAATTCCGCGCGGCGGGCGCGCGGGGCGCAGTGAGACCTCGAGGCCGCCAGGAGCCGCTGCAGCGCCGCCATCCCGCCCCGGCCTCCGCCTCCCCCGGCCCCGCCCCGCGGTCCCTCGGCCCCGCCCCTCCACCTGGCCCCGCCCCCGCGAAGCCCCGCCCTGGCGCCCGGCCTCGCCCCGCGGTTCCACCCACCCCAGCCCCGCCTCGGCTCCCGGCCCCGCCCCGGGGACCCCGGCCCCTCTCCTGCCCCGCAGTCCCTAGGCCCCGCCCCACGGTCCCCAGGCCCCGCCCCTCCACCAGGCCCCGCCCCGCGGTCCCCAGGCCCCGCCCCTCCGCCCGCCCCGCCCCGCGGGCGGCCCCAGCCCGGGAGGCGGCCGCGGGCCGGCGGTCGATCGCGGTGGGCGGCCTCGCCGGGAGGCCGGGACGCGAGGAGGCGGAGGCCGGTGCGGCGGAGGCCGGGACGCGAGGAGGCGGAGGCCGGTGCGGAGGCCGCGGAGGATGCGCGGACCCCGGCGGCGGGGCGGCCCCCGCGCGCTGCCCGTGCTGCTCCTGGCTCTGCTGGTCGCGGGGCCGCGCGCCGCCGCCGCCTTCAGCCTGGACCCCGGCCGCCCCGTGCGTTTCCAGGGCCCGCGCGGCGCCTTCTTCGGCTACGCGGTGCTGCAGCACCGGCACGACGGCTCGCGCTGGTGAGCACGGGGCCGGGCGGGGCGGGACCACGAACTACCCGCACCCCGACCTACCCCCGACCGGGACCCGGGACCCCGACCCGCACCCCGACCTGACCCAGACCCGGACCCGGTACCCCCCAGGCCCCGCCGCGGCCGACATCCGCCCCGCGGGTCTCCGGAGTCAGGCCGCTCCCGGGCCGCCGCGGGTCCTCGTCCCGCTCAGCGCGGCCGGAGCAAGGCGGGGGGCGGAGGGTCTGTCCCCGGAACCCGCGTCCCGAACCCGGGCCCCGCCGGCCCCCGCGTGGCCCGAACGCACGCCCGGGGGCGGCAGTTTGGGGTTCGGGGCTCGGGGTCGGGGTGGAGGCGCCCGGGCGCCCCGTGCCGTCGGCTCCGCTTCCTGAATGGCGGGCGCGGGACGCGGAGACGCGGGGCGCGGACGGGGGGGGCCGGGGGCCGGGGGATGACCGGGCCGCGGGGTCCCCGGGGGCCTCGGGGGCCTCCCGAGCCGTGCGGCGGGGTCAGGCCACCCCTCCAACAGCCCTGGCAGATGTGGAACAAACCCAGGCCGGCGGGGCCCCGCCCTCCCTGTCCACAGCAGCCAGCACCCGTGTCCCCCTCAGAACCCTGGTGCCCAGGCAGACGGACAGACACTGGACAGACAGACGACACCGGGCAGACAGACACCGAGCAGACAGACACTGGACAGACACCAGACACACAGACACCGGCAGACAGACACCGGACACACAGACACCAGGCAGACAGACGCTGGACAGACACCGGACAGACAGACACCGGGCAGACAGACAGACATCGGACAGACAGACACCGGACAGACACCAGGCAGATGGACACACACCAGGCAGACACCGGGCAGACAGACAGACACCGGGCAGGGCAGACACCGGGCAAGGCAGACACCGCGCAGACCAGAGGTGGAGGAGGCAGCCGGCTTCTTCCTGCAGGCCAGAGGTGGAGGAAGCAGCCGGCTTCTTCCTGCAGGAAGAGGCCGTGAAAGCTCTCAGAGAGGTGTCAGGAAACACCTCACCTCCAACTGCACAGCAAGGACAGTTCTGGGGTGCCGTCCAGGGCATGGCCATTGGCCAGATGAATTAAATGAATTAAAATGCCGGGCGCTGGTGCTCACACCTGTCATCCCAGCCACTCAGGAGGCTGAGACTTGAGGATCACGGTTCAAAGCCAACCTGGGCAGGAAAGTCCCTGAGACTCGGATCTCCAATAAACCACCAGGTAGCTGAAATTGAGACACGTGCCACTCAAGTGGTAGAAGAAAAAGAGTTAGGGCAGTTCCCAGGCCCTGCATTCAACTCCAGTACTGGCACAGGGAAGGGAAAGGGAAAGGGAGATGGAAGGAGAGAAGGAAAGGAGAGAGGGAGGGAAAGAAGGAAGGAGGGAAGGAAGGAAGGAAAGAAAGAAGGACAGAAGGAAAGGAACAAGGAGGGAAGGAATAAAGGCTGAAGAGAGGGAGGGAAACTTTGAAGGAAAAAATTAGGCTCAGCGCTGAGCCTATCTGAGTATAAGAACCAGTACTTAAGCTGGGCACCAGTGGCTCACATCTGTAATCCTAGCTACTCAAGAGGCTGAGATCTGAGGATCACGGTTCAAAGCCAGCCCCAGCAGGAAAATCTATGAGACTGTCATCTCCCACCAGAAAACTGGAAGTGGCACTGTGGACTCAAGTGGTTGAGTGCTTGTCTTGAGCTGAAGAGCTGAGGGACAGCGCCCAGGCCCAGAGTTCAAGCCCCACAAAAACAACTGACAAAAGAAAAAAGGCACCAATACTTAAATAATGCTCAAAAAAAAAAAAAAAATCCCAGTGGATTCAAGAAGCTATCTTCATTGAAAAAAAAAATCAAACAAAACGTAGGAATGCCTTCCAAGCTGAGGGGTAGTGAGTCAAAGATGGAAACATCACCCACAAATCTACTTGTGTGAGGAACTGTGGAGGAAAATCACGGCTTTCAGCTTTGTGTGTTGGGCTTAATGGAAGATACCTTATGATGAAAATAGAACCAGTTGAGGTGAGGGGCTGGGAGAGACGAGGGAAAAGACAACAGGTAAACAAGTGGTCGGAAGCACTGGCGGCTGACCCCTTGTAAAACTGCTTCATTGAGCATAATACATACTGTACTTAATAACATCACAAATTGTATTTATTTATTTATTTGGGTCTTGTCATGGGGCCTGAACTCTGGGCCTGGGCTCTGTCCTTCAGCTCTTCAGCTCAAGGCTAGCGCTCTACTCCTTGAGCCACAGCACCACTTCCAGCTTTTTTCTGTTTGCTTATGTGGTGCTGAGGAATGGAACCCAGGGCCTCAGGCATGCAAGGCAAGCGCTCTACCACTGAGCCTCCTTCCCAGCCCCCACAAATTGTATTTATAAAATGTAGTTATATATAATATATAATATGTATATGTTTACATATGTGTGAGTCCTGGGGCCTGAACTCAGGGCCTGGGTGCTGTCGCTGAGCTTGCTTTGCTCCAGGCTGGGGCTCTGCTGCTTAAGCCACATTTCAGATTCTGGTGTTTTGGGTGGTTTCTTGGATGAGCATCCTGCTGGTTTTGAGGTGTGTTGTTATTAGCCCTGACGCTGACGGTCCTGGTGAGGAGACGCAAGCGTGTGGGGTATCTGGTCTTGGTGAGGAGGTGTGTGGGGTGTCAGGTCTTGGTGAGCAGGCATATGGGGTGTCTGGTCTTGGTGAGCAGGCGTGTGGGGTGTCAGGTCTTGGTGAGGAGGCGCAGGCGTGTGGGGTGGCACCTGGTTGGGCTTGGGCCCCTTCCCCAGCCCCTCCCCTGGGACAGTGTGGTGTCATTGATGGCTAGGTTTCCAATCACTTCCGCGTGGACAATTCCGCTCCCCATCCCAGTCCCTCGTATTCTCTATTTTCTCCCCACAAACCTGCACTTCCTGCCCCTGCTCCACCCCATTCAGGGCTGGTTGGGAAACTGAGATTTGACTTTCCAAGTAGAGTTTCCTGGAAATGGTGGCCTCAGGCTTCAGGCCATTCTCCCTCACCCTGCTCTCTGCCTTTTCCAGTGTTTGGGGAGGGGACAGAGCACGTCCCAGCACCCCGTTCCGAGGGACCACAGAGATTTACTGGATTGTTCCATTGAGGACCCTAAGGGTGCTGTTTCCTGAGCTACTGCTGAATACAATGTGGGACAGAGGCAGCTATCTTGCCCAAGAGAGAACCTTCTAGAACAAGAAGACAGACTCCTCTTAGTCAGTCATCAACAACCCTGACAGCTGGGCACAGGAACTCACGCCTGTCATCCCAGCTCCTCAGGAGGCTGAGACCTGAGGATCATGGTTCAAAGGCAGCCCGGGAAGGAGAATCCGTCAGATTGATCTCCAAGGAACCAGCAAGAAGCTGGAATTGGAGGTGTGGCTCAAGTGGTAGAGCGCCAACCTTGAGCAAAAAGCTAAAGAACTGTGTGAGGTTGAGTCAGGCCCAGTACTGTACACACACACACACACACACACACACACACATGAGGAGCCTGTGGAGCTGACCCAGACACACAACCCCGAGCGCTCTTCCCGCAGCCACCTCCTGAAGAGGCTCCGCCCATGCTGTGAGCCATGGAGATCTGAGCTGTCAGTTCTCTTGGTGGACTTGGCACTGACCCAGGCATCATAGATCATCTCATCCTTACCTTCCTTCCCGCCAGGAGTTTTAGGAAATGAAAATAAAAGTAAGTCCAAGCTTAAGAAAGAAACTAAACTCTTAGAAACCACAGACTCACTGGGTCCCTGATAATTGTTTGTTTGGGTGTGCTGGTCCTGGGACTTGAACTTGGAGTCTAGGGTGCTGTCCTCAGCTTTTTCCTTGAGTCCGAGCAAGAAAATCTCACTGTGTGTGGGTATCTAGAATTCTGTGTTATGTGTCCTATCTCGGTGCCTTTCAGATCTAATGTCTGCTCATCAGGGAGAACATGTGCTATGTGTCTCTCTGAGCCTGGCTTATCTTGCTCAACATGACTTGTTCTAGGTCCAGCCATTTCCCTGCAAACGATGTAATCTTACTCTTCCTAATGATTGTGGAAAATTCCATTGTGTGGAGGTACCATGTTTTTTGGATCCACTCATGGGTTGTGGGCATCTGGACTGTTTCTGTGCCATGGCGGTGGTGCGCAGTGCGGCAGTGAACATGGTTGCGCAGGTGTCTTCATGGTTTCCTGGCCTTCTGGGTGAAGCCCAGGGGTGGTGTGGCTGGGTTGTGGCGAAGGTCTGCGTGTCATTTTCTGGCAACCATCCTGAGGAGGTGCACAAGTTCACGGCCCCCCCAGCATGCAGTACTACTCCTCTCCCCCACTTCCCCGCCGGCATTGTCAGAATTCCCAAGATTGGCCAGTCTAACTGGGGTGAAATGGGATCTCAGTTGTTCTGACTTGCATTTCCTCCACGGCCAGGGGTGATGAGCATTTCCTCATGGGATTCTTTGCCATTCTCACCTCTTCTTCTGACAAGTCTCTCTGTGGCTCCCTTGCCCATGTAGTGGCTAGCTCACACTGGATGGGATAGCGCACACTCAGTCCAGGCCAGCAAGTGCCCGTGCACACACTTGGCCCCGGCTAGCTGAAAGGGGCTGAGAAGGTTACACTCTTCAGGACACCGTGAGCGTTGGAGGGGCAGGCTCCCACAGACGCTCTGATCTTGTTTGTGGGTTGGTAGTTGCTCAGGTAGCAGGAATGTGGCTGGTGGCTTCTACCTGTGCAGGAACCTTGCTTCCTATTCTTTTAGCCAAGAAAGAATCGAGTCTGGGTCCCTTGGCCTTTTTAAAACTTTCCCTGCTTTGGACCTTCTTTGCATTGATGAAATCAGATATTGAGTTAGCTTTTGTCTCTGGCATCTTGTTTGCCCAACAGTGTGTTCGTGAGATTCATCTCTGTGCTGTCAGTTGAATGTTGCTTTTCCATTGCTGGAGAGTATGCAGTTGCATGATTTACAAACCCATTGTGGCATTCATAGGCCTCTGGGTTTTCTCTTATTTGGGGCTTTTCATACTCCAATGTGAAGCTTTTTCTGTCTATCTACATTGGATGTATTCCTGGAAGTGGAATTAGTGCGTGCAGAATTGACACATACTCAACTTCATTAGAAACTCATGCCGGATGCTAGTGGCTCATGCCTGTCATCCCAGCTACTCAGGAGGCCAAGATCTGGAAGATCGCAGTTCAAAGCCAGCCTGGATGAGAAAGTCTGTGGGACTCTTATTTCTGATGAACCACCAGAAAACCAGAAGTCGTGCTGTGGCTCAAGTGGTTAAGCACTAGCCTTGATCATAAAGAGCAGGGACAGTGTCCAGGCCCTGAGCTCAAATCCCATGATGGACAAAAACAAAAACAAAAAAGCCCACAACTAGTTTTCCAAAGTGGATTTATCAGCGTGCACTCCCATCAGCAGAGCATGAAGGCTCTAGTTTTCTACTTTCTTACACTTGGCCTTTTCCATCTTTCTGGTTTTAGCTTTCTAGTAATTATGGAGTGCTGTCTTATTGGAACTTTTTTGGTAGCTAATAAATGCTCCATGCATTTATTGGCTATTTGACTATCTTCTTTCATAAGGTATCTGTTCAAAATTTTAGTTCATGAACCTATTGCTCTATATTTTTTTTCTTATTAGTTTGTAGTTACAGATTCAGGACAAGAACATTTACTGGATTGTTTCTTTTTGGTGCCAGTTCTGGGACTTGAATTTGATCCTCAGACTTCAGCCTCCTGAGTAGCTTGGATTACATGTGTGAGCCACCAGCACCCAGCTCTTTGGCTAGTGTTTTACCTGCTGTGAGCTGTCCTTGAAGCTGTGTATGGAAGAGGGTTGCTGGGGTGGAACCCAGGGTCTCATGCATGCCGGGCGGGTGCTTCACCATTGAGCTACACTGCAGCCTCCGCCCTTCTTCAAGCTTTGATGCGCCTGGACCAGATCTAACACGCTAGCTGTTGTTATAAATAGGCTCTCCAAGAGCTAAGAACCACTGAAGTCACTGCAATGGACAGGAAAATAAAGAATCATCTCAGCAAGGCAAAACGTACTTCTGCAGAAGGGTGCGGCCATCAGCCAGAAATGTGTCAAGCAAGCAAACAGAGCAGGCTATCTGCTCCCCTATTTATACAGCAGACCTCGCCCCTCTATCTACTCCAATTGGTTGAGCTCAGAACCACAATCTGCTTGCGATTGGCTGGTTGGAATAGGATGAGATGTATTTATATAGGTTGTCCCTAATGTCGCAGGCCCCGCCCCTCTACTCCAATTGGCTGAGCTCAGGTTTACAATCTGTTCCCGATTGGCTGATTTGAAGAGGGTCAAATACGTTCATATTCGGTGATTTTGAAATAAGATTAATAGTGCACAGGAAATCCCAAAATACACTGGCCCCTCTGCTGTTTCTGGAACAATCTGAGGTGATGATAACAATAGCAATGATAATAATAATAAGAATTGATGGTATCCCAGCACATCTGTGACCAAACACCTCTGCTCTCACCCGCAGGGTCCTCGTGGGTGCCCCGAAGGCCGACTCCAAGTACAGCACCTCCGTGAAGGCTCCCGGGGCGGTGTTCAAGTGCCGCATTCACACCAACCCTGACCGCAGGTGCACGGAGCTGGACATGGCTCGAGGTGAGCCTGGCCAGCCGGGCTGACAGTGGCATCCGCTCCTTTGCTTTGCTCTTCTTCCTCGTGTCGGGTGGAGGAGGGTGGACTCATGGTTTCTCGCCAGCCCCCCACTCCATGCTCCTCCCTCCCTCCACAAATATGTGTCCAGGCCCCCCCCCCCCCCCGCCTGTCAAGGGCCGGGGTGCAGCCATGAGCAGAGCTCATAAGGACTGGGTCACTCTGGAGAAGATGAGGTTGGTGCTGTGGCTCAGACCTGTTGTCCTAGCTTCTCAGGAGACTGAGATCTGAGGATCTCAGTTCAAAGCCAGCCTGGGCAGGAAAGCCAGTGAGACTTTGATCTTGAGCTGTACTTCAAATGGTAGAGGGCTAGTCTTGAGCAAAAAAGCTCCAGGACAGTGCCCGGGCCCTGAGTTTAAGCCCCAGGACTGACACCTGCATACCACACACAAAAACACAGAACAGGCTAAAAATTTAGGAGCATCTGCAGTGATGGGGTTGATTGACGTTTTGTCTTAAGTTTCTCACTGCCTTACAGGTAACAGGAGAGAGCTCACTCCTCACCTGTGACCTTTCTATGTTTTCTGCAGGGAGGATTCGGGGCGCACCTTGTGGAAAGACCTGTCGGGAAGACAGAGACGAAGAGTGGATGGGCGTGAGCCTGGCCCGGCAGCCCAAGGCAGACGGCTCTGTGCTGGTAAGGCATGCTGCGGATACGCGGGGCAGCGGGCACCCAGGAAACAGTGATGGTCCAATAGGAAATGTTCCTGGGGCCCAGGTGTCTCTTCTATGCTACTGCTTAGATGACTTACCTTTTCGTGTTTGTTATTATTTTACTTTACTTTATTATTTTTTTTTTCCTGCCAATCCTGGGACTTGATCTCAGGGCCTGGGTGCCATCTTTGAGCTTTGGTGCTTAAGGCTGGTGCTCTGCCACTTGAACCACAGCTCCCATTTCCAACATTTTTTTGATGATTGATTAGAGACAAGAGCCTCATGGACTTTCCTACCTGGCTGGCTTTGAACCATGTTCCACCGATCTCAGCCTCCTAAGTAACTGGGATGACAGGCATGAGCCATGCCAAAGCCCTGCTAGGTACTGCGGCTGCTGTGCTTGAACGTTCCTGCACTTATCCTCTTTCTGTCCTTCTAGGCCTGCGCCCATCGCTGGAAAAACATCTATTATGAGGCCGACCACATCCTGCCTCACGGGTTCTGCTACCTGATCCCACCCAACCTGCAGGCCAAAGGCAGGGTGCTGATCCCGTGCTACGAAGGTGAGGATAAGCAGCCCCCCTCATCCTGGCTCACCCCTTCACACCCAAATACCCACCCTCCCCTTCACAAGGCCGCATGTTAATCACTAGGCAAACCTCCCTCCACAGTTTTGCCAGTCCTGGGGCTTGAACTCAGGGCAGGGCACTGTCCCTGAGCTCTTTTTCACTCAAGGCGAGTGCTCTACCACTTGAGGCACAGCGCCACTTCCGGTTTTCTGGTGGTTCATTGGAGATAAGAGTCTCACAGATTTTCCTGCCCGGGCTGGCATTGAACCGTGATTCTCAGATCTCAGCCTCCTGAGTAGCTAGAATGAAAGGTGTGAACCATCGTACCTGGCCTTTTTTTTTTTTTAAATTTATTTTTAAATGGCTTCTCAGGTTTATGTCTGGCTGGATGGGAGAGATGACTTGAATATACCCTGTTGGAACCAGGAAATTAAGAAGGAATAGGAAATGAAAAAATGAAGTTAGGACAGAACATGGAAATGGAGCCAGAGGTCAATGGCTCATGTCTGTCATCCCAGCTACTCAGGAGGCTGAGATCTGAGGATCATGGTTCAAAGCCAGCCCAGGCAGGAAAGTCTGTGAGACTCTTATCTCCAACGAACCACCAGAAAACTGGAAGTGGCACTGTGGCTCCAGTGGTAGAGTGCTTGCCTTAAATGAACAAGCTAAGGGACAGCATCCAACTCCTGAGTTCAAACTCTCCAACGTCATCACACGCGTGTGCGCATGCAAACACACACACACATACACAATTAGTTACTGTTAGCCAAGCCGTGGTATTTTAGGACTCCCAAAACAAATGAAGGCATGTGATAGAGCCGAAGCACAGATATTTCTTTTATCTCTGGCCCTTCAACCCACAGATGCAATGGCCCAGGCTTGGCAGGAACGGGACTGTCAGCAGGGCAGCTTTTTATTATGACCGAAAAGATCTCATGAGTATGGTACAAAGCCACAAAAAAGTATTCCAGTCAGAGTGCTGTCAGAGACTCAATTAGGAGCCATTGTGGCCAGATAGCTGTCACCTTAGCTACTCAGGAGGTTGAGATGTGAGGGTCGCAGTTCAAAATCATCCTGTGTAGGAAAGCCTCTGAGATACTCTTCAGTCACCCACCAAAAAGCTGTGGCTCAAGTGGTAGAGCACCAGCCTTGAGTGGAAAACCTCAAGAATAGCACCCAGGCCCTGAGTTCAAGTCCCAGTACTGGTACACACATGCATGCATGCTCTCCCCCCCCCCCACACACACACACATGATGCATGATACAATCAATATTTAGCATTGTAACCATTTTTTTCCATCTGGGGCTCAAATGATAGAGCACCAGCCTCGAGTGCAAAAGCTAAGGGACAGTGCCAGGCTCTGGGGTTAAGCCCCAGTGCCCTCACACACTCCAATAATAATAATAATAAGCAACTAAAGCAAAACTGGAGGGGTAAACATGGCTCATGTGGTTGAGCAGCAACCTAGCAACTGAGTTCAAACCCAGTACTCCCTAAACCAGGAAAAGACTGGTTTTGAAAGATGGGGTTTTCTTGAATGTGTAGCAGGGGCAGAAATCATCAGGAGGAACAGGCCTCATGAGTGTGTGTGTGTGTGTGTGTGTGTGTGTGTGTGTGTGTGTGTGACTTGCAATCAGGCCTGGGCGCCGTCCCTGAGCACTTGAGCCACAGCTCCACTTGCAGTTTGTTTTCTTTCTCCCTGTGGGAGAGGTGACTTGGAGGGCCGGGCAGTGTCTCTGCGGGCCCCAGCGCTGGGGGAAGCCTGGCATCTGTGTGCTGGAAGCCGGGAGGAAGCACTGGCCGCCAGACCCCACGCCTCTGTGTGTGGCTGGCAGGAAAGGCTTCCTGGGAACGCAGGAGCCGGGGTCACCGCCAGCCAGCCAGGGCTCCCTCCACCCTCTGCTTCCTGAGCCTCTTGGTAAAGGAAAGGGTGGGAGCCGGACTGCTCCCCACCTCCCTTCCCATGGCCTCCTGTGCAGGCAGGCTGCCCGTGCACAGGCCCAGGCAGGCAGACTCAAGTCTGTGCGAGCATGTGCGCGTGCGTGTGCACACACTCCACTTTCTGTTTCTTACTGGTTCACAGACTTTCCTGCCCAGGCTGGTTTCGAACTTGAGATGCTTAGAGCTCAGCCTCCTGCCGCAGGTGCCTGACAGGTCTTCTGTGTGAATCAGGGTCTTAAAATCTTAGGGTGTTCACACAAATCAGCCCTGTGTGCATGCTCCCTGGGTGTCTGGGAGGGCTTGATTCTAGCATCTTCCATGGATGCCAAGGTGCTTACATGTGTCAACTGTTTCCATAAGTTATGACATTTGTATATAACTGCTCATAGTCATTACCTTACCTCTGCATTAATTAATTCATTTATGTCGATCCTGGGGCTGGAACTCTGGGCCTGGCACTGTCTCTGAGCTCTTTCACTCAAGGCTCGCACTCTACCACTTGAGCCACAGCACTACTTCTGCTTTTCTAGTGATTCATTGGAGATCAGAGCCTCATGGACTGTCCTGCCTGGACTGGCCTTGAACTGTGATCCTCAGATCTCAGCCTCCTGAGTAGGATGACATGGGTGAGCCACCAGAGCCCAGCTTGTTTTATGTATTTTTATATATATATATATATATATATATATATATATACATACATACATATAATTTTTGCACACTCCCTTGCCCCTCAGCCATGGCGCAGGGTTTTGTTTCTGGTCTGCTTTCCAGGAGTTTCCCCCTTATAACTGACCAGCAGCAGGAATGGCTCACCCGCGAAGCAGAAGGAGAGTTTCACTGATGTTCTCTTTGGGATTTAGCGACTGATTAATGGCCAGTTACTGGAAAAACATTTCTAGGCGACTTAATGAGCCGAAAAGGGAATTACTTCGGATTTCCCCACGGCCTTTTCCCCTCTTCACCCCCGATGGACCCTCAGAGTGCAGGAAGTGGTCTTGTGTCCAGGCAGCTCCATTGTTCTTCTGTGTTATTTATTTTATGCTGTAAAAATGATGATGTTTGTTTTGTGTGTGTGTGGTTCTAGAAGCTTCCCAGAGCCCTGTGGTGGTTGGGAAGGTCATGGGTCATGGGCCGGGCTGGCCAGGAATGTGACTGCCATATGTAATTAATCTGAGTCCTCTTACCCTCGCTCTAACCTCCCCTTCAGTCTTGAAATGACAGTAAGCAGCGGGCTGTGTCTCCGGGTTCTGTGCAAGTAGCTCTCCTTGTGATAAGCCACAGAGATAAACACCAGTCTACTGGCTGTGTGACCCCAGACAAGCCACCTCACCTCTCTGGGCCTTGGTCTCTTGGCGTGTGGACACATGGGTAGGGGTTGCCGGACACTGGGGAGAATAGGAGGATATGAAGCAGAGGCAAAGACCACCAAGCCTGGGACATTCTAAAAAACCGCCCTCTGCTTTGTCAGCTTAAAAGTAAAGCAGAAAGTCAGTTTGCTGTGGCTTGTGCCTGAGATCCTAGGTTGAGATCGGGGGATCAAAGCCAGCCTAGGTAGGAAAGTCTATGAGACTCTTATCTCCATGTCACCACCCCAAACCCAGAAGAGGTGTGGTGGCTCAAGTGGTAGAGCATCAGCCTTGAGTGGAAAAAAAGCCCAGGACAGTGCCCAGCCCTCAGCTCAGGCCCCAGCACGGGCACTAAAGACATTACATAATAAAAATCAAATTAAAAAATTAGAAGCTCAAATGGACCAGCAGCAAGGGAATGTCCATAATTGCTTAATAGGAACTGGAGGATGGCGGGGAGCCCAGTACAGACAATAGGCTGTTTCCTTTCTTTTCCTTTTTGGTGCTGGTCCTACAGCTGGAACCCAGGGCCTGGGCGCTGTCCCTGAACTTTGTGCTCAAGGCTGATGCTCTACCACTTGAGCCACAGTGCCACTTGTGGCTTTTGGTGGCTGACTGGGGAATCCAAGCCAGGCCACTCGCAGCCTCTCTCCTGGGGCTGCTTTATATAGGGTCCCTCGGCTCCTCCCTCTAATGGCATGCTCCTGGTCTGATTGGTCAAGAGGATGGACGCGGGATGTAGGGAGTCTTCTGGTTGGTTCCCCAGGGCCTACTCTACATTGGGTCCCTTGGCTCCTCCCTCTGAGGGCCCGCGCTTGATCTGATTGGTCAAGGGGTGGACAGGCTTTTGATTGGTTCCTCCATCTCTACGTGAGGCTCCTGATTGGATGAAGGCGGGGGTGGCGGGGCCAGGCTGGTCTTGCTGAGTCCCAGGACTGCGGTGTCTGGGCGGAGCGCAGCCTCGCGCTGGCCCCATCCCAGTCGGGGCCCGGGGCCGCGGTTCCTGTCACGGGGGAGGACACGACGACGCCGGGCCCACGGGGGTCTGGAAGAAGCCCGAGACCTTCCTTCTGGAACAGTCTCGGGTCTGGATGGCCCGTGATTGTTGTGTGTGGCGGGTGTGTGGTGGGTGTGGCGGGTGTGGCGGGTGTGTGGTGGGTGTGGTGGGTGTGTGGTGTGTGTGTGGCGGGTGTGTGGTGGGTGTGGTGTGTGTGTGGTGGGTGTGGCGGGTGTGTGGTGGGTGTGGTGTGTGTGGTGGATGTGTGGTGTGTGTGGTGGGTGTGTGGTGTGTGTGGTGGATGTGTGGTGTGTGTGGTGTGTGTGGTGGGTGTGTGGTGTGTGTGGTGGCGTGGTGTGTGGTGTGTGTGGTGGGTGTGTGATGTGTTTGGTGGGTGTGTGATGTGTGGCGGGTGTGCTGTGTGTGTGGCGGGTATGCTGTGTGTGTGACGGGTGTGTGGTGTGTGTGTGACGAGTGTGTGGTGTGTGTGTGATGGGTGTGTGGTGGGTGTGTGGTGGGTGTGGTGGGTGTGGTGGGTGTGGTGGGGGTGTAGTGGGTGTGGTGGGTGTGTGGTGTGTGTGTGACGGGTGTGTGGTGGGTGTGTGGTGTGTGTGTGGTGGGTGTGGTGGGGGTGGTGGGGGTGTGGTGTGTGTGGTGTGTGTGTGGTGGGTGTGGTGTGTGTGTGGTGGGTGTGGTGGGTGTGGTGGGGGTGTAGTGGGTGTGGTGGATGTGTGGTGTGTGTGTGACGGGTGTGTGGTGGGTGTGTGGTGGGTGTGGTGGGTGTGTGGTGGGTGTGGTGTGTGTGTGGTGGGGGTGGTGGGGGTGTGGTGTGTGTGGTGGATGTGTGGTGTGTGTGTGACTGGTGTGTGGTGGGTGTGTGGTGGGTGTGGTGTGTGTGTGGTGGGGGTGGTGGGGGTGTGGTGGGTGTGGTGTGTGGCGGGTGTGTGGTGGGTGTGTGGTGTGTGTGGTGGGTGTGTGATGTGTTTGGTGGGTGTGTGATGTGTGGCGGGTGTGCTGTGTGTGTGGCGGGTATGCTGTGTGTGTGACAGGTGTGGTGTGTGTGTGACGAGTGTGTGGTGTGTGTGTGATGGGTGTGTGGTAGGTGTGTGGTGGGTGTGTGATGTGTGGCGGGTGTGCTGTGTGTGTGACGGGTGTGTGGTGTGTGTGTGACAGGTGTGTGGGGTGTGTGTGACGGGTGTGTGGTGGGTGTGGCGGGTGTGTGGTGTGGTGGGTATGGCATGTAGGGTGTGTGTGGCAGGTGTGAGTTGTGTAGCAGGTGTGTGGTGTGTGTGTATCAGGTTGGTGTGCGGCAGGTGTGTGATGTGTGGTGGGTGTGGTGTGGTGTTTGTGGTGAGTGTGTGGTGTGGTGCATGTGGTATGTGGCGGGTGTGTGTGGTGTGTGCAGTGGGTGTGATGTGTGGCGGGTGTGTGGTGGGTATGGCGGGTGTGTGTGCAGTGTGCAGCAGGTGTGTGGTGTGCGGCAGGTTGTGGTGTGGCAGGCGTGTGGTGGGTATGTGGCGGGTGTGTGGTGTGCAGCAGGTGTGGGTGTGCTGTGGGTGTGGTGTGCAGCAGATGTGTGTGGCAGGTGTGTGATGTGCTCAGGTGTGTGGCAGGTGTGTGTGTGGCGGATGTGTGGTGTGTGCGGCAGGTGTGTAGCGGGTGTGCAGCGGGTATGTGGCCAGTGGGGGGACGAGGCCAGCCCCCCACAGCACCCAGCACTTGGTGACACAGCTATGGCCGCCCTCTCTCCTTGCAGAATACAAGAAGAAGTACGGGGAAGAGCATGGCTCCTGCCAGGCGGGGATCGCAGGCTTCTTCACCGAGGTAGGTCCCCGCTGTCCACCTTCCTACTTTAGATATTTATTTCTTTGCTTTTTGGGGCAGTGGGAGGGAAGGTTGACTTTGGAGGCCCTTGGAGTGAGGCTTCGGGTCTCCCAGATTCTGGATCTCTCATGAAGGGAGTTTGTTTGAACCTGTGAGTGTGTGTGTATGTGTGTGTGCACGTGTGCATGCATGTGCGTGTGTTGAGTAGATGGGGGGCATCAACTGCAGAGACCACTGGGCAGACAGTTAGGGACTGGTGGCTCATTGGGAAATTCCCACAGAAGTCTCTTGCAGACACAGAAGCCAGTCAAGTTGGGCCTCATCGTGACTGAAGTTTTGTCCAGTGAGGCCAAGCACGGTGGCTCATGCCTGTCAGCCCAGAGACTCAAGAGGCTGAGATCTAGAGGATCGTGGTTCGAGGCAGGAAAGTCTCCATGAAACTCTCACTCCAGTGAACCACCAGAAAACCAAAAGTGGCGCTGTGGCTCAAGTGGTAGAGCACCAACCTTGAGCACAAGAAGCTCAGAGACAGAGGCCCAGGCCCAGAGTTCAAGCCCCATGACTGACAAAAAGAAAAAAAAAAAAGATTTGGCCATTGCTCGTACTGCAAATAGGGCTGACAAGAGAGGCCCCCTCTTGACACAGGGTTCTTTTGGGAGTGTGTTGGGGGGTGGAGGGCTGGGCTGGGATGTGAATGGCTGGACGGGGACGTGAGAAGGACCCTTCCTTGGAGGGGCAGATACGTGCCAGCTCCAGGGTAGTGGAGAAAATGCCAGGCTCTGCTGAATACAGTCCTGTGGGGCTGGGTAGAGGCAAGACAGCCCCTCTGGGAACTCAGCCTCCACTCTGGTTCCCAGGCTTCCTCAGCCTCAGATGTGAGGTCTTTGAACCTGCTGCCTCCCTCATTTCTGGAACACCAGCCATCTGCCACTGGCTGAGCAGGGTCAGGGAGCCCTGGCCGCGGCTGCCCGCCCGCTGACCCCTCTGCAGACTGACCCTCCAGAGGGGAAGTCTCCCCCATCCTCCCCAACTCCGCTGGGCAGGCAAGTCCCATGCCTGGGCCTGCAGGCCGCCCATCCTCCCTTCTCCTCCAGCTCTTGAGTCCGGCTGGGGTGAACATAAAGGAGGCTTTCCTGGTAACATATTTGTTTTTCTGTCGACTGGAATAACAAAGATGACAGATAGATTCTCATTTACGATACTCATCTGCACTAGAGAGTGCAAATCTGGGTAGGAGTTCACTCAGTGGAGAGTTTTCTTTTTCTTTTCTCTTTTTTTTTTTGGTCAGTCGTGGGGCTTGAACTCCTGGCCTGGGCGCTGTCCTTACACTCTTCAGCTCAAGTCGAGCACTTTACCACATGAGCCACAGCACCAGTTTTCTAGTGGTTTATTGGAGATAAGAGTCTCACAGACTTGCGTGCCTGGGCTGGCTTTGAACCATGATCCTCAGATCGCAGCCTCCTGAGTAGCTAGGATGACAGGCGTGAGCCACCGGTGCCCCCCCCCAACCAGCCCCAGCCCCAGTCACCCCGGGCTCAGGCCAGGTGGGGACGGACGACCATTCCTTTTAGGTGCACACAGGGCTCTGAGTCCTCCTCAGGTTTGGCATCTGCTCATCAGTGCCTTAGGGAGCTCAGTATGGTGGCTCACGCCTGTAATCCCAGCTGTCCTGGAGGCTGAGATCTGAGGATTAAGGGTTGAAGCCAACTGGGGCAGAAAAATCCATAAGAAACCTACCTCTACCTAACTGCTGAAAATCCAGAGGTGAGTTGTGGTTCAAGCAGTAGAGTGCCAACCTCAAACAAGGAAGCCTAGGGACCGTGCCCAGGCCCTGAGTTCAAGCCCCACTAGCAACGAGAAAGAAGTTTCTTGGTCTTGTGTATGTTGCAATGTTTGAGAAGGGATGAAAGGAGGCTGGACATTCGTGTTTCATCTTTGCCCTGGGTTAATCTAATTTTTGGTGGTGGTATATGTTATAGTAACGTTTAAAAGTTCTTTTAAAAAATTTAAAAATTAGCCGGGCGCTGGTGGCTCACACCTGTAATCCTAGCTACTCAGGAGGCTGAGATCTGAGGATCACGGTTCAAAGCCAGCCCGGGCAGGAGAGACCGTGAGACTCCTATCTCCAATAAACCACCAGAAAACCGGAAGTGGCGCCGTAGCTCAAGTGGTAGAGTGCTAGCCTTGAGCTGAAGAGCTGAGGGACAGTGCCCAGGCCCAGAGTTCAAGCCCCACGACCGACAAAAAAAAAAAAATTTAAAAATTGTTATAAGCCAATGTACAAAGGGGTGACAGTCCCAGAAATCAGGAAATGAACACATTTCCTTTTGGACCATGTCCCCCTTCCCTTGCTGGCTCCCCTTTTTCCCTCCCATCCCCACCCACAAGGTGTAAAGTTCATTCTCCACATCATGTCCAGTGAGGACTATGGTTGCCTCTGTTCACCCTCCGTCCCACCCCCCCATTTCTGTGCCCCCCTACCTTCCCAAAGACAGACAAATGGACGAACAAGACAAAAAGAAGAGAAAACAAAAAGCAAAAGAGAAAAAAGCCTCTCGCTTTCATGTCCTGGAGTTCATGTGGGTGAATATTATTTTGTAGGATCGGAGGCGCAATGGCCTTGGGCCTTTGTGTTCCCCTAGGAGCCTCCTCCTGGGTCTCCCTGTGTGTGAAGGCCTCGAACCCTGGGTCATTCATCCTGTCCCGATGTAGTATAGATCTAGCTTCCACTTAGGAGAGAGAACATGGCACCCTGTGTCTCTCTGAGCCTGGCTGACCTCACTTCACAGGACTTGTTCTAGGTCCATCCATTTCTCTGCAAATGAGGTAATGTTATTTTGGGTGTGTGTCGGTCGTGGGGCTTGAACTCTGAGCCTGAATGCCATCCCTCAGCTCTTCAGCTCAAGGCTAGTGCTCTACCACTTGAGCTACAGCACCACTTCCGGTTTTCTGGTGGTTTATTGGAGATTAGAGTTTCACGGACTTTCCTGCCCGGGCTGGCTTTGAACCACGATCCTCAGATCTCAGCCTCCTGAGTAGCTAGGATTACAGGCGTGAGCCACCAGTGCCTGGCCGTAATGTTCTTTCTTGTGGCTGTGTGAGACTGGGTGTGTGTGGTGTTGAGGGACCGCATTTTTGGTATCTGCTCATCGATTGTGGGGCATCTGGGCTGTTTCCGTAGCTTGGGAGGGGGCAGACCTCTTGGTAGCTGTGTAGAGGTCTCTAAGCACTGTGTCGGCTGGAGAGCACCCTGCTCGGAGTCCCCTGCCCATCGCCCCACCCCTCCCAGCCTGGATGGATCTGTGTCGTTGTCAGGACTTGCACCCCACTGCCTGCTTCCAGGTTGCTGTCCAGGCGTCAGGCTCTCTGGAGCTGCAGGTGGAGAAAGTGCTGTGTGCTGCTTGCAGTTAGTGCCCAGGACCTCACCGGTGTCCTCTTGTGCCCTTCACATTCGGGCCCTAACTGTGTATTCTTTTCCAAGCCCAAGGCCAGGAAAAAGCCTCACTCCTAGATAGGTGGCTCATGCCTCTCACCCCTGCTACTCAGGAGGCAGACATCTGAGGATCACAGTTCAAAGCCAGCCCCGGGCAGAAAAGTCCATGAGACTCTTATCTCCAATGAACCATCAGAAAAGCCAGAAGTAGCACTGTGGCTCAAATGGTAGAGCTCCACCCTTGAACAAAAGGAGCCCAGGGACAGTGCCAGGCCCTGAGTTCAAGTCCCAGGACTGGTATGCGTCCGTGTGTGTGTGTGCACATACACACAAGTGTTATTCCTCTGATGCACTCAAAGTTTGCCCTTGAGAACTAGTGAAGTCCCTCACACTAAAAGCTGAAGTATGGAGAATGAATGAATGAATGAATGAATGCCATATTTTCCCAGTGACAGATCCTGAGTGTGGAAAGGGGAGAAGCGGAGGAGGAAGGAAATAGGGAAGGAAGGAGAGAAGGGAGGTAGGAGGGATGGAGTGAAGGAAGGAAGGAAGGAGGGAAGCAAGGAAAGGGAGGGAGGAAAGGGAAGGAAGGAAGGAGGGACGGAAGGATGGAAGGGAGGGAAGGAGACTGGTTGGCACATAATCCTGTCACTCACCTTCCTGTCTTAGTGTACTATAAATTTCTCTTGCTCCTGATTCTTTGAACAGTGTAATTAATATGACTACTGTCAGGTATGTCCTGTGTAGCCCAGAAACACTTTGTGTCTATCTCAGAACACCTTAGATAACCTACAAGGCTTTTGTTGTGCATGTGTACGCCAGTCCTGGGGCTTGAACTTGGGGTCTGGGTGCTGTCTCTGAGTTCTTTTGCTCAAGGCTGGCGCTCTACCACTTGAACCATATATGGTGCCACTTCTGGTTTCCTGGTGGTTCATTGGAGATAAAGAGTTTCATGGACTTTCCTGCCTGGGCTGGCTTTGAACCACCACCTTTAGATCTCAGCCTCCTCAGTAGCTGGGATGACAGGTGTGAGCCACCAGCACCCAGCTTGGTAAGATATTTTTTAACTTAATTCTGATTCTTCTTTGGCTGAGACTGTTTCTATTGGGCCTCCCAACACCCTGGTCTTCCTCTGTATGTCTGTTCACCTTAGTGTCTCTTTCTCTAGGAGCTGGTGGTCATGGGTGCTCCTGGGTCGTTTTATTGGGCCGGGACAGTCAAAGTTCTGAATGTCACGGACAACACCTATTTTAAACTCAACGATGAGACAATCATGAATAGGCGGTACACATACCTGGGTGAGTAGCTTTATGAGACTCACAGGCTCACACCAGAACTGTGATTTCTTACCACCATGCTCATGAATATGGCTTAATTGATGGAAAGAAGTGTTGTTGCCTTTTACATCTGTTATTCTAATTAACTATGTTTTCTTCTTTTTCTGCCCCTGAACTCTTTTGCTCAACTCTAGTGCTCTACCACTTTGAGCTACAGCTCCACCTCTGGTTTTCTAGTGGTTCATTCATTGGAGATGAGAGTCTCATGGACTTTCCTGCGGGCTGACTCTAAACTGTGATCCTCAGATCTCAGCCTCCTGAGTAGCTGGGATTGACTGGCATGAGCCACCAGCGCCTAGCTAAATTAGTTACTCTTTTAACTTAATATCTGTCACATTTTGTGTAAGGCAGAGAGAGGAACAAAAGAAGAAGCAGTGAAAATTGTGATTTAGTAGTGGAAGGGGTGACACTGATCACGATGCATTGTGCTCATAAGCTGCCATGTTGGATGGAAACCCCTCTGGAGACTACACACAGATAATAAAGTAGAATAGAAAAACTGCAATTTAACAGAATGCTGATAAGCCCCTGGGAAGCAGACATTGATCATGACACAAGCAATACGATGCTGAGATTTAATTAGAGGCTGGAAAATGTTCTCAATTTGTCAAGACTTCTAATCTTTTAGAAAAGAGATAGGCATTTAATTTAGCAGATATCAGACAAGAGTAATAGAAGGTTGGGCACAGTGGTACGTGCCTTTTGTACATGGGATAGATGGATAGATACATGGATGAATGTATGACTGGGTAGATGGATGGATAAATGTGAATGGATGGATGGATGAATGGGTGGATGGATGGATGCATGAATGAATGCATGGATGGATGGATGGGTGTGTGGTAGGTAGATGGATGGGTGCATGCATGCATGAATGGATGGATGGGTGTGGGTGGCTTATGGGTAGATGGATGGATGGATGGTTGTGTTGGATGGATGGATGGGTGGATGTATATATGTATGAATGGATTGTGGCTCTAGCCACTACAGAGGCTGAGATAGGAAGCTTTTTAGGTCTGGAAGGTTTGAAGCTAGTCTAAGCACTGTAGCAAGACCCAAACTCAAAAACTTAAAGGAAGTCAGACACCAGTGGCTCATGTCTATAATTCTAACTGCTCAAGAGGCTGACATCTGAAGATCTCAGTTTGAAGTCAGTCTGGGCAGATAAATCCTAGATACTTATATCTCTAATTAACTGGCAAAAAGCTGGAAGTGAGGATGTGGCTTAAGTAGAGTGCCAACCTAGAGTGAAAAAGCTAAGTGAAAGTAAGAGACCCTGAGTTCAAGCCTCAGCGTGCATGCACACGCACACACACACACAACTGATCACTGTATGACAGTCATAGACAATATGTGTCATCACAAACTCAGGCATCTTAAAACCACAGCATTACGTTTTAGGACATTGACAAGTTTGGGGGAATTTATGACAACCTGTACAGAACACCTGGCCAAAAGAGTATGTTCAAAGTGCCAACAAAATGTGAAAAAGCAAGAGACATTTAGACTGAACTTAGGATGGGTCCTCCCCCAATCATTTTCTAATTCCTGTATATCCAGATTCTGTGGCTAACTGACCAACCACGCATCCATCTGTCCATGCATTCATCTGTCCACCCATCCACCCACTCACCCATTCATCCATGCATGCTTCCACTCTCATCTATCTACCTATCATCCATCCATAGATCCAAGCATCCATTCATACATACATAAATCCACCAGTCTGTCATCTGTTTGTCCATCCATCCCTCCATACATACATACATCCAAACATACATACATACATACACCCACTCATCCGTCCGTCTGTCCATCCATCCATCCATCCACCCACCTGTCTGTCCATCCATCTATCCACCCACCCATCCACTCATCCACTTATCTACCCATCCATGAACCCACTCATCTATCCATCCACTCATCCATCCATCCACCCATCCATCCATCCATCCACCCACCCATCCATCCACCTATCCATCTACCCATCCGTGCATCTGTCTACCCATCTACCCATCCATCCATCCATCCACCCACTCATCCACTTAGCCACCCATTCCATCAACCCACTCATCCATCCTTCCATCCATCCATCCATCCACCCATCCATCCATCCCCTCACCCATCCATCCATCCATCCATCCATCCACCTACCCATCCATCTACCCATCTGTCCATCCATCCATCCATCCATCCACCCACACATCCATCCACCCACACATCCATTCATCCATCCACCCACACATCCATCCATTTACCCACCCATCTATCCATCCATCCATCCATCCACCCACCCACCCATTCTCTTTGGAAGAGTTTGACATAATGATTAGCTGTGAGGGCTCTGAAGTCACTCCACTTGGCTTTGAGTTTCGCTCTGTAATTTGGGGCATGTTATATAGCCATATTTTGTTTATAGGCCCATCTGTAAGGCAGAGACATTTCTAGAGTTGTTAGATGAAAAGAAGTAATGACACCCAAAGACAGGTGTGAAATGCTGATAGCAGCTGTTGTTACTGTATATCCCAAACTGGAAACAGCACCAGCATTCAGCAGCAGGGACATAAAAACATGCATGTCCTGGAGATAGAACTTTACTCAACAGGAAAAAGGAGCCAAAGACAATGGTATGTGACGGTGTGGGTAGATGTCACAGGGGTTATGTTGACTAAAATTCTAGAAAGACAGTGGTCAAATATGGCAGTAGGAATAGAGTGATGGCTACCTATTGGAAGACACTGGAAAGAATGCATGAAGGAACTTGAGGGTTGTGATTCTGCGCCGATATATGTCCTTCCTTCCTGGTGCTCTACCACTTGAGCCGCCCCTCCCTCCCGCCTTCCCTCCTTGCCTTCCTCTCTTCCTTCATTCCCTCCCTCTCTCCCTTGCTTCCTTGCTTCCTTCCTCCCTTCCTTCTTGCTTTTGTCTGCTTCCTTTCACTTTCTACCCTCCCTTCTTCCTTCCTGGCTTCTTTGCTTGCTTGCTTGTTTCCTTCCTCCCTTCCCTCCTTTTTTGTCTGCCTCCCTTCCCTTCCTTCCCTCCCTCCTCATCCTTCCTTCCTTCCTTCTTCCCTCCTTCCTTCCTTCTTTCCTATCTACCTCCCTTCACCTCCCTTCTTCCCTCCCTCCCTTCTTCCTTCCTTCCTGTCTGCTTTCTTTCCCTTTTCTTCTATTCCCTTCTCCCTTATCATTATTATTATTATTTTTATTTGGCTGTTCTGTATATACTACACAAGTTCTCTGACACTGACCTATGCTCCTAGCCCCCACATCCACATATTCCTGATCTGGGTTGTCTGTGTGTGTGTGTGTGTGTGTGTGTGTGTGTGTGTGTGCATGTGCATGCTTCCATTACACTTTACACTTCCATTGTGCATGTTTTACTGTGCATATGCTCCAGAGAGAAAAACAAACACAAGCGCCATGCTTGTTCTGCAGAGCAGTCTTTCTCGTGCCCATGTCTTGGTTGAACGTGATCATTTGGGTTTATTTTTGCTTTGTTTTTATGCTGGTACTGGGGCTTGAGCTCCAGACCTCAAGCTCTTGCTCTCCCAATTGAGCCATATTCTACTTCTAGCTTTTTGCTGTTTATTAGAGTCAGTAGAAAGCTGGCCTGTTGGAGTTGTACATCTGGGCTTCAAAAACATCATTGTCACATCTCAGCCTCCTGAACAGCTGGGATTGAGGATGTGAGCTGCAACTCTCCCTGAACATGTGTTGTTTCGAGATGAGCCATTTAGCCAGATAAGAGGCAGGCTGGAGAAGCTTTTTTCTCTGGCACGTATTTTTCCTCCCTAACCTTCCTTCTCAGCTTTGATCTTTCCACCTATGTTATTTCAGGCTACGCAGTGGCTGCCGGACACTTTTCTCACCCATCCATCACCGATGTGGTGGGAGGAGCCCCACAGGATGAAGGCATCGGGAAGGTGAGGAGAGGCCCATCGCCAGACATGGGGCCGGGCAGAGGGCAGCACACTGCCTGGGGGAGGTTTGCCAGTTACTGTGACAAGCATTCTCCTGGTCGGCCCATGGTCAAGGAGGAAGTAACGAAGAACCTGGTGACATTCTCCTTCCCCATAACTTAGCATTCTTTTTGCCCTCAGTGGTTAATTTTTTAATTGTTTTGTGTTTGTGCTGGTCCCAGAGCATGAACTCAGAGCCTGGGCCCCATCCCTTAGCTTGTGAGCTCAGTCGAAGTGGGTACTCTACTGCGTGAGCCACGCCTGGCTTCTGACATTGGAGCTTCATTGGAGATAAAGAATCTCATGGACTGGGCTGGGAAGGTAGCTCAGTGGTAGAGCGTTTGCCTTGCTTGCATGAGGCCCTGGGTTCGATTCCTCAGCATCATATAAGCAGAAGAAAAAAAAAAGAATCTCACGGACATTCTTGTCCAAGGCTAGCTTTGAACTGCGATCCTCCGATCTCAGCCTCTTGAGTAACGAGGATGACAGGTATGGGCCGTGCCAAACGTTCTAGAATGCTCAGATGGCACCCAAGGACATCCTGGGAACATGTGGGTTCAGCTTCCAGTAAAGCATTGTGCCATATGGAGAGCGGAGAAAATCAGAATTGGAGCTGTGGCTCAAGTGATAGAACACCAGCCTTGAGTGAAAAAACTAAAGAACAAACAGCAACAGGACCTGAGTTCAAGCTTAAGTGCTGGCACACACAAAAAAAGAAAAAACCCAAACTGAAAGGCATCTTTCACAGGGTGATAATAGCTGCGATTTTTTTGTTATCGCCAGTCGGCAGACCCGTCCTGCCATGTGACTCAGGGGAAAATGATAAAGAATGTCTGGGCTCCTTAGCTCTGTTGTAAATGGCCGGTTTCCCTGCTCCGTTTCCTAGGTGTATATTTTTAGAGCTGACCGAAGATCAGGCACCTTGGTCAAGATTTTCCAGGCATCTGGTAAAAAGGTGAGGAGCTCCTCCTTTTCAGTGACTAGTTTCTGTCAGAGTAGTGAAATCACACGGGACTCATGCATTAGGAAACTTGGTTCAGCCCTGCACCGGTGGCCCAGGCCTGTCATCCCAGCTGCTCAGGAGGCTGAGATCTGAGGATTGTGGTTAAAAGCCAGGCTGGAAGGTCTGTGTGGCTCTTATCTCCAATTAAACACCAGAAAACTGGAAGTGGAGCTGTGGCTAAAGTGGTAGAACATCTGCCTTGAGTGAAAATGCTTAGGGACAGCGCCTAAGCCCTGAGTTCAAGCCCCAGGATTGGTATTTTTAAAAAGAAAGGTTTGCCAGGTGCCGGTGGCTCAGGCCTGTTACCCTAGCTGCTCAGGAGGCTGAGATCTGAGGATCCCAGTGCAGAGCCAGCCCAGGCAGGAAAGTCTGTGAGATTCTTACCTCTAATAAACCACCAACAAACTGGAAGTGGTACTGTGGCTCAAGTGGTAGAGTGCTACCTTTGAGCTGCAGAGCTGAGGGATAGCGCCCAGGCTCAGAGTTCAAGACCCATGACCGACAGTAAAAAAAAAAAAGTGATTTAAAGGCCATAGGTGTCCCCTCAGAAGGTTCTGTCAGTTTGTTCCTGCCTTTACTTTCTCAGTAAGGTGTACAGTCCGCACATTTCCTGGGATATCAGGTAGCAGTGTGAGCCTTATTATATTTTTATTTATTTTCTTGTGCCGGTATACTGGAGTTTGAACTCAGGGCCTGGGCGCTGTCACATAGCCTTTTCTACTCAAGCTGTCACCTGAGCCACACCTCCACTTCTGGCTTTTTGGTGATTCATTGGAGATCAGTGTCTCATGAACTGTCCTGTCCAAACTGGCTTTGAATCAGGATCCTCAGGCCTCCACCTTCTGAGCATCTAAGATCAGACTACAGGTGTCAGCCACCAGTACCAGACTTGTTATGCTTTGACTACTGTCTTTGTTTTTGTGGTTGTGGGGCTTGAACTCTGGGCCTGGGCACTGTCCCTTAGCTCTTCAGCTCAAGGTGATCACTACCGCTTGAATCACAGCGCCACTTCCGGTTTTCTGATGGTTCATGGGAGATAATAGTCTCATGGACTTTCCTGCCTGGGCTGGCTTTGAACCTTGCTCCTCAGATCTCAGCCTCCTGAATAGCTAGGATTATAGGTGTGAGCCCCTGGCGCCCTGCTTCTACTGTTTTATCACCTGTCAAAATCACATGGATTTTGGGGTTTGAGGCCCAGGATTTAAGATGATGGATAGTAGATTTAGCTATGGTTAAAGAATAGCCAATATATTGGGCTGGGAAGGTAGCTCAGTGGTAGAACACTTGCCTTGCATGCCTGAGGCCCTGGGTTCGATTCCTCAGCACCACATAAGCAAAAAGAAAAAAGCCGGAAGTGGCGCTGTGGCTCAAGTGGTAGAGCGCTAGCCTTGAGCTGAAAAGCTGAGGGACAGCGCCCAGGCCCAGAGTTCAGGCCCCACGACCGGACCCAAAAAAAAAAAAAAAAAAAAAAAAGAATAGCCAATATAAGCCTCCTCTGTTCCTCTATGAGATCATCTTATGAGATCTATCTATCTACACACACACACACACACACACACACACACACACACACACACACACACACACACACAAAATTTGAACCAGTACTGGGGTTTGAACTCCGAACATCACACTCTTACTTGTTTTTCTTGTCTTTTCTTTTTCCCTTCAGAGTGAGCACTTGATCTTCAAGATTGGGTGGGATGGGGATGGTATTTCCAAGGCAAACGTGCCCCTGGAGATCCAAGCCTGTGCAGGGGCCAGCGCTGACTGCCTTGTGTCGTCTGGTTTCAGATGGGGTCGTACTTTGGGTCCTCACTGTGCGCAGTGGACCTGAACGGTGATGGCCTCTCCGACCTGCTGGTGGGCGCCCCCATGTTCTCTGAGATCCGGGACGAGGGGCAGGTCACCGTGTACATCAACCGAGGGAATGTGAGTGTGTAGTGTGGGCAGAAGGGGAGGGGTTCCTCCCAGCATGCACTGCGCCCATCCCCTTCCCCGTCTCCTCCTGGGAAGGACTCAGGCCCTGTTTTATTTCGTAAATAAGTAGATACATATGTACATAGATGATAGATCGATGGATAGATAGCTAGATATTTGGTAGATGATAGCTATGCTGTGAGGAATCAATTTGACACGTCTGTGAGGTGTGGCTGATGGACATGCATGGACATGCACATACGTAGACCATTTTTATTCTGTGTGATTTTTGTCACCTGGAGTTGTGTGAAGGGTTTCACTTGGCATGTCGGCTTGTGGTCCAGTGCCAGTGTCGTCCCTTCCACCGACCTTTGGGTCCCTCCCCATCAACCCCTCCCTTCCTGACCCACCCCTCTCCTCAGGTGGCCTGGCCGACTTCTCCTGGGCCTGTACAGTCCCCCCACCCCGCCCTCCCGCACCCCAGCACCGCCTCAGGGCTCCTCCTCACATTTGCATTCACTGTAAATGAGTTGGGTGGAGCTGTAGGTCGCTGCTCAGAGGGGCCATGCCTGGGAATCCTCCCACATGTGTGTGCGCATGTGCACGTGTGTGTGTGCGCGTGTGTGCACACGTACTCATGCGTGTGTGTGCGCGAGCGTGTATGTGCTTGTGTGTGTGCACCTGTCCTCACCTCTCCCCTGTCTTCTCTCCCAGGCAGGCCTGGAGGAGCAGCTGGCCCTGGCCGGCGACCATGCCTACAATGCACACTTCGGGGAGAGCATTGCCAGCCTGGGCGACCTGGATGACGATGGCTTCCCCGGTGAGCCTCCGAGGACCAGGGCCTCTTGGGGGCAGGGCCTCCCACGCTGGACCAGGGCCTTCTCCATGTGCCAGCCTCCTCCCCTCTCGCTTCCTCCTCCCTCTCCTCTTCCTCTCTCTCGTTTCCCCCTCCTCCTCATCTCTCCCTCTTCCCCATCCTCCTCATCCTCTCCCCCACCTCCCCCTCCTCCTCCTCATTCTTCTTGTTTGCTGCCAGTCCTGGGGCTTGAACTTAACGTGTGGGCACTATCTCTTAGCTTTTTCACTCAAAGTGGGTGCTCTACCATTTGAGCCACAACTCCACTTTTTGGTTTCTTGACCATGCTGGCTTTGAGCCCTGATCCTCAGCTCTCAGCTTCCTGAGAAGCTAGGATGTCAGATGTGAGCCACCAGCTCCCGGTGACTTACATCTACAGTTTTCCTCCTTTGTTGGCTTTTGTGCTGGTAAAAAAAATTAACAGTTGAGAGTTTCCAGTTAAGAGACGGGTGGCTGGAATTGGGGCCGTGGTTTCTCTCGTTCCTGTGGGGTGAGGTGAACAAGCATCTGCTTCTCTCCCTGCAGATGTGGCCATCGGCGCCCCCAAGGAGGACGACTTTGCCGGGGCCGTCTACATCTACCACGGTGATGCCAGAGGGCTGGTCCCCCAGTACTCCATGGTGAGTGCTGAGCGAGCGCCATGACCACCATTCATCCATTCATTCCTCATTCCACACACAGGTGCAGCCGGACACCAGGGCTCACACCCGTCATCCCAGCCACTCAGGAGGCCGAGATCAAAGCCAGCCAGGGCAGGAAAGTCCGAGAGACTCTTATCTCCAATAAACCACCAGAAAACCAAAGTGGAGCTGTGGCTCAAGTGGTAAAGGGCCAGCCTTGAGTGAAAAACTAAAGGACAGCATCCAGGCCCTGAGTTAAAGCCCCAATACCAGTGTACACACACACACACACACACACACACACACACACACGCACGCACGCATGCACGCACACACAAAGATATATGCTATGCCTAGGTTACAAATGAAAACAAAATTATCTTGCTTTCAAAATTCCCTCCTCCTAGTAAGAGACAAAATAAGGATTGGAAGCATGGCTTAGTTGTTGGAGTACCAGTCAGTGAGCCAAAGGGGCTGCAGGTACTGAGTTCAAGTGTCAGTCTTGGGGCAAGAAAACGAAGAGAAAAAAAGATGCTGTTTATGAAATACAGAAAAGTGTTTACACAAGGTTTTTCTTTTATCACATTGAGGAATTCACTCTGCACTGACAAAAAAAATACTCAACATCTTATCCAAAATTAGAACGATTTATTTAAGGAGCTATTTATTAAGAAGAGAAAGCTTGGACTGGGAATGTGGCTTAGTAGTAGAGTGCTCGCCTAGCATGCAGGAAGCCCTGGGTTCCATTCCTCAGTACCCCCCACACAGAAAAAGCTGGAAGTGGTAGCACGCCAGTCTTGAGCAAAAACGAAGCTCAGGGATAGTGCCCAAACCCTGAATTCAAGCCCCAGGACAGGTAAAAATAAAATAAAATTGAAACCTCATCTCAGTCATGAAAAGCTGAATGTGGTTTCACACCTGTAACCCAGTCTCTGCAGGAGACCCGAGGATAGAGTATTGCGGTCTGTGGCTGATCTCAGCAAAACATGAGACCCTATCGGAAATAACAAACAATGAAAGGCCAAAGAGGTGTGCCTTAAGTGAACAAATATTTGCCTACTAAGTGTGAAGATCCTAGGTCAAAGAACTCGTACCAGAGAGAAGGAGGAAGCAGGCTTTCCTCTGTATCGCTGTCTGTGGACTATCTCTGTGCTGAGCTAAGGGAATGTAGATCTGGAGAGATGGTGGCAGGTATCAAAGTTGGCCAAGGGGCCCGGCTCAGGACTGATACAAGCTCTGGCTTTTGTGCCCCAGCCTGAGAACATGGGCGTGGTCCGCTGTGGCTTTGGCCCAGTCAGTCTGTTGTATGGTCCATCTAGCTGATGATCAGCACGGCTCCTGGGAAAAAGGAAGTCAGGCTCTCAACGGAAGCATGGTCAGGATATTTTACAAACGGATATGGCATGGTGCTAACTGTGCGTGTGCATGTGTATGTGTGTGTGCGCGTGTGTGTTTCCCAAAATGTCCGGGACAGAAAAGACCAGAAGTATCCAATCAGCACATTTTATTACGGAACTCTTAGAGAGTCATGCGCCTCCTCTTCATGCTTGCCTGTGTCCGCATATGTTATAAGAGGCAGCGTGTAAGTAAGTGCGAGTGAGATCTGTGTGTGCAAGGGGCGGAGGGCCTGGTGTTCCTCCCGCTGGCCGATTGCTCAGCTCAGTTGACTCCCTTGGAGGAGACATGCTCACCACGTGCTCATAGCGTGAGGCTGTGCCTCACGCCTGTCATCCCAGATACCGGGTAAAAGACTGATCAGAGGATCACAGTTCAAAGCTAGCCGGGCAGGTAGATCTGGGAAAGACCTAGGACCAGCTGATCAACCCAAAGCTGGAAGGAGAGGTTTGGCTCAAGAAGTAGTGTGCCAGCCTTGAGTAAATAGCTGAGGGAAGCCAAGCCACAGCTCTACTTCCGGTTTTCTGGTTGTTCATTGGAGATGAGAGTCTCACAGACTTTCCTGTGCGGGCTGGCTCTGAACGGCAGACCTCAGATCTCAGCCTCCTGATAGTAAGGATGATGGGTGTGAGCCCCCAGCCCCTGGCTCTCCATATTCTTTTCATTAGCTACAAGTAAGATCGGCAGCAGTGCCTACACTTATGTGAACAGTCGAGGTGGACGCTCCCAGCGGGGCATGAGGGCTGCAGCCCTGTCCCAGAGCCCAGCCCAAGGGAGAGGCTGACACCTCTCAGGAAACTACTGGGCAGAGGGCAGGGCACGTCCCACCCTTCCTCCTGGACCTCAGGCTCCTGCTTCCTGCTCCCTGGGGTTCTGTATGGTTGCTGGGTCAAATCTGCACTGAGAGCTGCCAGAAGCCCCAGCCAGCAGGCACCCACCCCAGCTCCTCCCCTCCTGCCCAGGGAAAAGGATTTGAGGAGCTTTGAAAAGAGTGGAGAGGGAGGGAGAGACAGAATAGGAGAGAAGACAGAGAAAAGAGACAGAAGGAAAGAAGAGCAGAGAAGCATGAAGGGAATAAAGGACAGGGTAGAGACAGGAGTGACAGAAAAGGAGTAGGAAACGAGAGAGGAGAAGGAAGAGGAAAGAAATGAGAGGAAAAAGAGAAAGATGAAGAGAGGAGAGAGGGAGGGAGGAAGAAAGGAGTTTTAGAGAGGAGGCAGAAGAGAGAGAGGAGAGGAGAGAGAAAAGAGAAAAATAGCAGGCGGACACTGGTGGCTCATCCCAGCCACTCAGGAGGCTGAGAGCTAGAAGATGGAGGTTCAAAGCCAGCCCAGGCAGCCCATAAGACTCTTATCTCCAATGAACCACCAGAAAACCAGAAGTGGCACTCTGGCTCAAGTGGTTGAGCTGAAGAGCTGAGGGACAGCGCCCAGGCCCTGAGTTCAAGCCCTGGACTGGCACAAAAAGAGAGAGAAGGAAAAAGAGGAGAGAAGGAAGGACAGGACGGGGAGGAGGAGAAAGAGGCGGCAATAGCATTCATTTCCAAGGGCTACCATGCCTATGATTTTAAGATTGGTGAACATCCTTTAGTGACAGTTTTCCCCTCCAGGTTGTGGGCAGGGTGGGCACGGTGTGCAGGAAGAAATCCAGAAACACTCGATTTCCTTTGCCTCCCCCCCCCCTTCCCATTCTTCCCGCCTTAGCGATTGTGATGTTGAACCTCAGTTCCTTCCATCCTCTTTCCTCGCTTCCCTCTCTCCAGCTTACCCTGAGAGATGTTGACATTCAGAGCCTCCCACGCCTTTTGACCTGGGAACCCCCTGGCTGAGCACTGGCAGTGCCTGTGATCTTTCTAGAAGGCACATAAACCACAGTCGAGCGCCACAATTTCTGGTTTTCATTTAGGGTTATTAGCACAGCACGGCTTATCTTCCTGGTGTTCTAGTGTAACGGCCTGCAGATGGCCCTGGACAACTGAAATCTGCACCCCTCCCCCAATGGACCCCCGTTCCCTCTCCCTTCAATCCAAGCTACAGGCCTGTCTTAAACCCACAAGCCCCTGAGCCGGGTGTCGGTCACCCCAGCTACTCAGGAGGCTGAGATCTGAGGATCCTAGTTCAAAGCCAGCCTGGGCAGGAACGTCCGTGAAACTCTTTTATCTCCTGTGAACCACAAAAAGCTGGAAGTGGCACCGTGGCCCAGGTGGTGGAACACCAGTGTTGAGCAAAAAAGAAAAGAAAAGGAAGAGGGCTCAGGGATGGCACTCGTATTAAGATCAAGACCCAGGACTGGCAAAGAAGGGAGGGAGGGACAGACAGAGGGAAGGAAGGGAGGGAGAGAAAAAGAGAGAGAGAGCCAGACAAACCCACAATTGATTCTGCTATGTTAGCATTCTTGGCTGTCAAAGTTCTATTTTTTTTTCTTTTTTGGTTGGTTGTAGGTCTTGAACTCAGAGCCTGGGTGCTGTCCCTGATCTTTTGCTCAGGGCTGGCACTCTATCTCTTGAAACACGGCTCCACATCTGGTTTTCTGGTGCTTCATTGGAGATGAGAGTCTCCCAGACTTTCCTGCCTGGGCTGGCTTTGAACCATGGTCCTCAGCTCTCAGCCTTCTGAGTAGCTGGGATACAGGTGTGAGCCACGAGCGCCCAGCAAGAAAATACGATGATGAAACACCTTCATCTGTACTTTTTTTTGGGGGGGGAGGTCCGGTCGTGGGGCCTGAACTCTGGGCCTGGGCGCTGTCCCTCAGCTCTTCAGCTCAAGGCTAGCGCTCTACCACTTGAGCCACAGCGCCACTTCGGCTTTTTTCTTTTTGCTTATGTGGTGTTGAGGAATCGAACCCAGGGCCTCAGGCATACAAGGCAAGCACTCTACCACTGAGCCACCTTCCCAGCCCCTGTACTATTTCTTACACAGTAAAAAATGTGCTTCCAAAATACAATTCATGAAAAGAAATAAATATCTGGGTGAAATTTAAAAAAAACATAAAAATTTCCATGTATGAGTGCCATTGCTGAGACTTGAGCTCAGGGCCTGGGTGCTTGCCCTTCACTTCTCTGCTCGACCATTTGAGGTGCACACCTCCTCTGGCTAGTTCACTGGAGGTCAGAGTTTCATGGACTTTACTGCCTGGGCTGCCTTGAACACAATCCTCAGATACCTGTCTACCGAGTAGCTGGGATGGAAGGCGTGAGCCCCTCACGTGGGGCTCCAGCACAGAGTCTTACCTGAGCCTCTTACCCCTTCCTGGTGATCCAATTTCCCTCCTGTGTGTTTCAGAAACTGTCTGGGCGGAAGATAGACCCCATTCTGCGGATGTTTGGGCAGTCCATATCAGGGGGCATTGATATGGACGGAAATGGATATCCTGGTAAGCAGATTTTCTTTCCTTCTTGATAAAAGCATGAAGTACATCAAGAGAGGTTTCTGAATGGATCTATTTGCAGTCTGCCCCACAATTCTCACATGCATTTTTAGATTAGGCACACAGTAGAACTGGGGTGGAGAGGGAGCTTTGCCTACCTGGTGGTCAATTTGACAAGCAGATTGTTCTTAAAGTTTTTACTTTATTTATCTATTTATTTTTGGTCCTGGGTCTTGAACTCAGGGCCTGGGCACTGTCCTTGAGCCTCTTTGTGCTCAAAGCTGGTGCTTTACCACTTTGAGCCATGATGGTGAGATGTCCAGTTTTTGGTGGTTCATTGGAGAGATGAGTTTCATGGACTTTCCTGTCCTGGCTGGCTTCGAACCTTAATCCTCCAGATCTCGGCCTCCTGAGACTGGGATGACAGGTGTGAGCCACCAGAACCCCAACTTTTATTTTTGAGTGCTTACATGGTCTCCTTTGATGGGGTTAAATACCACAAGGGTGGATTTGGGGAGATTTCTATAACAGAACTACTACTGAAGAATTTTTTAAAAATCTTATTCACATTGCAAATGATTGATAGTGAAACCTCAAGGTTAACTTTCTAAGTATTTTAACCTTATTCTGAAGCTTTGTACTTTATTTCTCCTTCCTGCTTTCCTGCCTTCCTTCCTTCTTCCTTCCTTCCTTCCTTTTTTTTTCTTTCTCCTTCCTTCTTTCTCTTTTTCTTTCTTTCCCCCTTTTTTCTACTTGTACTAGGTAGTCTCTTTAATTCACTGATATCCAAAGAATTATAAGAGGAGAAATACTAGCAATAATTAACAATAATAATAATGAGTTACCTATGTAACTCACATGTAAATTGTGAATTTACATATATGCAAATTATGATATTTACCTATAAATGTGAGTTGTGATATGTGTGTATAAACGTGTAAATTGTGTATACTAGAGACTCTATAGAAATGCAGATGGAATGGCTGAGGCCAATTTACCTAAGGTATAGCCTAATAAAGCCAATGTTTTATTATTCTAATGTACAAGCCCTATGAAATTCATTGACGAATTATAAAATGTTGGTGTGAATGAACTAATTCTGAAATTGGGTCTTTGAAACATGTTTCTTCAGTTCCCAGCAGCCACTTTTCAAAGCCTGAGTGGCCACGTGGCTTGGCTGCCATTTTGAACAAAGTGGTTCCGGTTCTGCAAAGTCATGACGTGGCCAGACTTGGCCGTCAAGGCCAGGCCTTTGTGGCCATGAGGGTGGGGGAATAGTGTCTGGCCATCAGGGCCAGGCCTTTGTGGCCATAACGGGGTGGGGGTGAGGGGCGGCTCCCACTAGATTCTGATTGTCGTGACTTCTCCTTGATTTCAGATGTCACTGTGGGAGCCTTCATGTCGGACAGTGTGGTTCTCTTGAGGTGAGATGCCGTCCCTGGGCCTTGGTTTCCTTGTCCATGGGGTAATGGATAGGGGGGTGAAGCACCACCAGTGAGTGCTTTCCCAGTGTCTTATCTTCATGGGACAGAGGAGTGCGTGCTTCATTTTCTCATTCTTCTTCTCTATTCCAAAGTCATAACCAATGGGCTTTGAATGAGTTGTAGATAGGAGATAATGGCTCTCTGGAGTTCCTGGGTAGCTTTGGATGGATTCAGCCCATAAACCCAAGAGCTATAAGGGCTATTGGTTTTGGTTTTTGTTCTGTTTTTTGTTTTTTGTTTTTTGTTTTTTTTCAATCCAGGGGCTTGAATACAGGGCCTGAGCGCTGTCCCTGAGCTCTTTGTGCTCAGGGCTGGAGCTCCACCACTTTGAGCCATATATATGGTGCCACTTCCAGTTTTCTGGTGGTTCATTGGCGATGACAAGCTCATGGACTTTCCTGAACAAGCTGGCTTTGAACCGCAGTCCTCTGTATCTCAGCCTCCTGAATAGCTAGGATGACATGCATGAGCCACTGGTGCCCTGCTGAGACTCTTGTACTTGTGTGCTATATAAGCATCATCATGATGCTCAGAGATCCAGGAAGCCTTGGCCATGCTTTGTTTGTTTTCACTTCTATACTCAACACCACCAGCTTTCACCCCTGCAGACCAGGATCCAGGGATCTCACCACAGCCACCTGTGGACTGTCTTCCCCCTTCTCTCCCCCCCCCCCCCCCCCCCCCCGCCCCGGCTGTATTTCTGTCTGGGTGAGTCAGAGAGGCAGCCGTGCATTTCAGAGCAAGAGCCAACACTTCACTTTGTACAGAACCTTGTGTGGCAGAATGTTCTAAAATAGACCAGTAGGAATCTCACAGCTGGACAAGATCCCAGAGGCCATGTCGGATCCAAGCCCCAGATTCTTCTCCTTTCTTGCTAACCCTCTCCGCCTCAGAGTCTCTCCCCAAGGGGTACAAGTCTCTTCTTGAATGAGAACTTACTAATTTCTTTTCTTTTTTTTGTCGGTCATGGGGCTTGAACTCTGGGCCTGGGCGCTGTCCCTCAGCTCTTCAGCTCAAGGCTAGCGCTTTACCACTTGAGCCACAGCGCCACTTCTGGCTTTTTTCTTTTTGTTTATGTGGTGCTGAGGAATCGAACCCAGGGCCTCATGCATGCAAGGCAAGCGCTCTACCACTGAGCCACCTTCCCAGCCCTTTCTGGTGGTTTTATTGGAGATAAGAGTCTCATGGCCGGGGTAGGGAATGTGGCTCAGTGGTAAAGTGCTTGCCTAGCATGCATGAGGCCCTAGGTTCGATTCCTTGGTACCACATAAGATTAATATAAGAAAAAGAAAAAGAATCTTTAAAAAAAAAAAAAAAAGAGTCTCATGGCCTTTCCTGCCTGGGCTGGTTTTGAACTGCGATTTTCAGATCTCAGCCTCCTGAGTAAGTAGGATGACAGGCGTGAGCTACCGGTGCCCGGCTAGAACTTACTAATTTCAAAAGAAGCAACCGGCCCCAAGTTAACTCTGAACACTGCATTTTTAAGACATAGCTCTGAGGTTCAGTATGACTTGGAGATCATGTGGCCTGGGTTCAAATCCTGCCTTGGTTCTTTCTTGGCAAGGCCTCTGACCCTTCTTCTGTCCCAGAGTTCTCAGTGACGCTGAGTAATGATAGTTCTGGGGTTCATACATCTGAAATGTTTAGGGACATTGCCCGGTGTGAGAGCCTAATAAATTCTACAATGTCTTATGTAAATCTGGTCAAATTTGTCTCCAAAAAACGAAACAGAGGGACAAAGACCAGGTGAAAAAGACAGGCAGATAAAGAGAGACAGAGAGAGGGAGTCAGCTGCTTCCAGGGGTGGGAAGGGTGAAGTAGCTGAGAGGCAGGATCAGGCCCCAGCTCCAGGCTGAGGGAGGGAGCCTGTACTGAACCAGCTCCTGAGACAGATTTGGGGCCCCAGGAGACCTCACTGGAGCTGTGGCTGAGAGTGAGGGGAAGGGGGTGCCCTCAGAAGGGAGCAGGGCTCAGGGACAAGGGGGAACCAGCCGTGCAGGCTGGGGGAGGTGGCTCATGACTGTCATCCCAGCTACTCAGGAGGCTGAGATGGGGGATCACAGTTTAAGGCCAGCCTGGGCAGGAAAGTCTGTGAGACTCTTATCTGTAATGAACCACCAGAAAGCTAGCAATGACACTGTGACTCAAGTGATAGAGCTCCAGCCTTGAGCAAAAAAAAACTCAGGCGCTGAGTTCAAGCCCCAGGAGTGACACACACACACACACACACACACACACACACACACACACACACACACACACACACACAGGAAATAGTGACTGCCCTGCTGAGTTAGAGATGGAGGCAAGTCTATATAGTGGAGAGCCAGGACATCAGGGAAACTTCTAAAGAGCAAACTGGCTGAGGAAGGGTTATCTGCAGCCATCCGTACATTCAGTGATGGGGGGGGAGCGGGGGTCAACTACACACTGGTTTTTTTTGGTCGGTCGCACTCTCCCACACACCCCATTTTCTTTCCTGCCTTCTCTTCTTGAAGTTGGGTGGATGTTAGTTCTGGCCTTGCCACCTTGGGCACACTCAGAGCATTGTATAGGGAGCATTGTATGCGTATGAGGTAATTATCCCTAAGCGCTAATGTCCCTTAATCTTGTTATGTCACCCGAGGCAGGAAGGCCAGGGCTCCTAGACATAAAAGGATTTCTATACAAGACCCTTCCCCCTTCCCCCCCCAAGAGGCAAGAGGGTGGGGAGGAGGACGTGAGCAGATGTGTGCCAAATCCCTCTCAGCTTTTTGCCCCTTGACCCCAGCAGCGTCCAACCTTTGAAACCTAGGGGTGCCCCATGTCGTGGTCTGGGGAAGGAGGGGGTTTCCCATGGTTCCAAGCCGAGCTATGCATGGGCCATTTCTTCTGCTCTTAAAGTGCCCTGCTGTTACCAGCCGAGACCTCATCAATCGGGTTCTTTGAGCACACGCTTTAGTGAGTGCTCGAGGTGGAAAAACAAAGGAGAGGCCTTGGCTAGCCAGGACAGGATCACAGCAGTTTGTGCTCACAGTGGCACAATGGGGAAATCTCTCGCTCTTTTGTAAAAATATTTTTTATTTTCTCTCCTGTCCCCACCCACAAGGTATAGAGTTCATTGTCCACACAGTGTCCAGTGAGGACCATGGCTGTGTGTGTCCACCCCTTACCCCTCGGTTGCTGTGCCCTTCGGGGGAATCTCCAGTGTGCCAGTAAAGTGGAGGTGTGGCTCACGCAGAGCACCAGCTGTGAGCAAAAGCACCAGACCCAGAGCTAACGCTCTATGCCTGGCACACGTGCACACACAAGTAATTCTTGAATCATGACTTCCATGGGAGGAACTTCTCAAAAGTACACTCCATCTCCTCCAAATAATTATCCTGAAGTAGCTATGCCTCACCCTGTTCAGTTCCACGGCCGGTGAGTGGGCATGTGCAGCTTGACCACATCGCCCTTTCTCCACGCTCCCCCGTCTCTCCCTGTACTTAATGAACTTTTAAATACCACCAGCAGTGGGTTGTTCATTTCTGGGGCTTCAACCAGATGTGTTTTACATTAATCATGAACTTGTTTTTATTAATGGGATCCTAACTGGTAGTAAGCTAATGATTAGTGATGTTCCAATTTGTTTTTCTTTTGTCCGTCATGGGACTTGAACTCAGGGCTTGGACGCTGTCACTGAGCCCTTTTGCTCTACCATTTGAGCCACAGCACCACTTCAGGTTTTCTGGTGGCTCACTGGAGATGAGAGTCTCAGGGACTTTCCTGCCTGGACTGGCTTTGAATTGTGGTCCTCCAGATCTCAGCCTCCTGAGGAACTAGGATGATAGGCGTGAGCCAGCAGCGTCTGGCTCACATTTCTTTTTATTGTTTTAAGGTATCATTGCCAGTTTTATTGAGCAGATTTGTACTTAACAGAACACTCTGGCCCTTCATAGCTGCATCATTCATATTTGAATTGAAGACTAATATTTTTAATGTTCCTTATCTATGTTTGTGTAGTTCATTCATTTCCTTCATTCCTTCCTCCTTCCCTCTCTCCCTCCTTCCCTTCCTTCCTTCCTTTCTTTTGGTGTTAGTACTGGGACTTGAACTCAGGGACCCCGGCACCATTCCTTTGGGTTTTTTTGCTCAAGGCTGGGGTCCTCCCACTTGAACCACTGCTCCAGTTCAGGCTGTTTGCTGCCTGATTGGAGATAAGCTTCAGGGATTTTTCTCTCCTGGCCAACTTTGAAATACAACCCCTCTGTCTCCTGCTGAGTAGCTGGGTTGACTGGCACTGCAACCATCCGCCTCCTCTGGTCTGATGCTGAGAGGTGAGTAACCCGCTTGACTTTTGTCCGGCAGAGCCAGGCCTGTCATTACGGTGGATGCCTCCATCTTCCTCCCTGAGTCCATCAACATCACAGCCCCGCGGTGCCACGACGGCCAGCAGCCTGTCACCTGCCTGACTGTCACCACCTGCTTCCGCTTCCACGGCAGACGCGTTCCAGGGGAAATCGGTCTGTACAGCCCTACTATGTTACGTTACTATGTTACGTTTGAAATCGCTTTGTCCGATTATTTACAGATAGTAGTCATTAAAAAGGAAAAAAAGCAAAGAAGCCTGGGGACGGAGCGGGGAAAACGTATGTGTTGGGAGTAGGGCCTTGAGGAAATCTTCATCTCTGCCCTCATTCCTTGAGAAGACAGGAGAAAGTTCAGGAAAACCAGAGAGTAGGGTTGCTCCTCTCCCACCCCGCCCTCCACCACTGAAGGAGATTTACTAGGAGAATGTCACAGCCGAGGCCTGGCTCTGACAGAGCAAGCCAGGAAGGGCCGGAGCTGCGCTGACAGGAGGCAGCTGCTCCTCCTGGCTGGGCCTGGGGGGCCGGGGAGCCTCGTGAAGACCGGCTGAAATGCATTACCATGTCATGGGGAGTTGGGGGGCGGGGGGGGGTAAGTCCGTGTCAGCCTTTCCATCAACATGACATCACTTGACACGGCGCAGAACAGCTGCCAGAGGAGAGGTCTGAAGGCGGGAAACATGTGGTTGGGGCTGGCTGAATCCCAGCCTGGGCCTGGCTGGGCTGGGTTGGATTAAGGGACCCCCCACCAGCACCCCAGGGGGGCCATGAGGCCAGCCTGAGCGCAGCCCTGAACCAGGCAGGCTGATGGCATGCTCTCCCACATGGGGCTCACGGCTGGCAGGAGCTCACCCATGGAGAAGGGCACCTGTGGCTCACTCCTGGAATCCCGGCTGCATAGAATGCTGAGATCCAAAGAGCGAGCTTGGATAGGAAAGTTTGTGAGACCCGTATGCCCAGTGAACTAGCAAAAAGCTGGCGTGGAGGTGTACCTCAAGTGGTAGAGGGCGAGCCTTGAATGAAAAAAATCTAAGGGACAAGAGCCCAGGCCCTGAGTTCAAGTCCCAGGACCAGCACACATGAGTGCATGCACAGACACGTGCATGCACACACACACACCAGAGTCAATGGAGGCCAGGAGGAAGTGCATGGGCGTTCGCTGTCATCCCATCTTCCTGTACTCATTTCCACCCAGCCTTGCTCTGTACTGAGCTAGCACATTGTCAGGAAGCTCACTTCTCTGCTGTTCTCTTCATATTCCAATCTCGGGGCGCAGGGCGTGGGGGGGCATATATTTCCTTTTCCCTGGGAGGATTGCTAAGTAGGGGTCAAGAGAAGTGGGACTCTGCTGCAAGCACCCCTCGGTGTCTGGCTGAAGTTCTTCCAGCTCTCTCACCCTGCTTCTGAGCAGGGCGTCTCCAGCCACAAGCATCACTGAAAGGAGCCTTGAAGCCTACGTCATTCCGAGGCACTTCCCCTTTGTGGGCTGATGCTTTCAGACTCTGGGACTCGTAGACAACAAATTAGGCAGGGTTTCGTCCTGGGAGTCTGGGTATGCTTGATTCGGCAGAGAGAGACAGACAGACAGACAGACAGACAGAGACAGGAAGACAGGAAAAGAGACAGAGCATGAGAGAGAGAGAGAGACAAAGAGACAGGCAGGAAAACAGCATGCAAATCAGAGGGGGGGGAGAGGGAGGGGAGAGAGAATTTGTAGTCAGGTGATGTTAAAAAAAAATTCTAACCAGTCACTGTGGCTCAGGCCTGTCACCCTAGCTAATCAGGAGGCTGAGATCTGAGGATCACTGGTTTGAAACCAGCCTGGGCAGGGAAGTCCGTGAGAGTCTTATCTCCAATGAACCAGCAAAAAGCCAGAACTGGAGCTGTAACTTAAGTGGTAGAGCACCAGCCTTGAGCAAAAAAGCTCAGAGACAGTGCCCATGCCTTGAGTTCAAGCCCCAGGACTACTCGTGTGTGTGTGTGTGTATGTGTGTGTGTGTGTGTGTGTGTGTGTGGTATTCTGAACTCTGCATTCTGAACTCTGCTCAGCAGTAGATGAAGTAAGTCCTTTCTCTGGAGGACCCAGGCCCCATGTCTTTCTAGGGTTTTTGTTTGTTTTGTGCCAGTCCTGGGCTTGAAGTCAGGGTCTGGGTGCTGTCTCTGAGCTCTTCAGCTCAAGGCGAGTGCTCTACCACTTGAACTACAGCTTCACTTCTGGTTTTCTGGTGGTTCACTGGAGGTCAGAGTCTCAGACTTTCCTGCCTGGGCTGGCTTTGAACCCTGATCCCCAGATCTCAGCTTCCTAAGTAGCTGGGATGACAGGCGTGAGCCACCAGCACCTAACTCATCCTTTTCTTTTGAGTGGTATGCTTTCTCCTGGGATGATTTCTCCTGGGATGATCGTGTCCATCCCGGGTCCCTCCCACTAGTCCAGCCTTGCCTTGGAAATCACCTGTTTCTGAAACAAGTCGAGGCAGACTCCCTGGCCAGGAATCTGCTAGCGCTGCATGGCAGCACCCCAAGGAAGCCATTAGAAGCAGCAAAAATAGGCCCTGGGTTCACTCCCAGAGGCCTGCCCAGGCCACCTTCCCTCCCTGGCTTTCCCTGGTGAGCTGGCCCTTTGATGGTACAAAGGATCAGCGCTATTGTTATCATCATTGTCATTATTCTAATAATGGAGCTTGAACGCACAGGCTGGGCGCAGTCCCTGAGCTTTTGTGCTCAAGGCTGGCATTCTACCACTTGAGCCATGGTGCCCCTTCTGGCTCTTTTGGTTGGTCTACTGGAGATGAGAGTCTCACGGGCTTTCTTGCCCAGGCTGGCTTTGAACTGCGATCATCAGATCTAGGCCTCCTGGGTAGCTGGGATGACAGGCGTGAGCCAGTGGTGCCAGACTTCTCTGTGGACACGGGGCTTCGCCGTCTGGAGTCTTACCTTTGCTGATCTTCTGGTCTGTGGTTCATTTGGCAGAACTCAATTACGTCCTGACCGCCGACGTGGTCCAAAAGGAAAAAGGCCAGCCACCCAGAGTCTACCTGGTTGTGTCCGGAGAGTCTGCTGGCCAGGTGGCAGAGACATTGCATCTGACCCATGGGGAGGAGGACTGCCGGGACTACACAGCCCACGTCAAGGTCAGGTTCTTCTTCATTTTCACATTCAGATTCAGATCTCTTAGTTGCTCTTCTGGAAGGGAGGGGAACCACACTCTCTTCTGTGTTGGTTTAGTTTGTTTTACTGATCTTGGTTGGGACTTGAACTCAGGGCCGGTCAGGCTCTGTCACACCTTAGTTTTTGCACTCAAGGCTGGCGCTTTACCATTTGAGCCACGCCTCCACTTCTGGCTTTTTGGGGGGTATTTCATTGGGAAGAGAAGAGTCTCTTGGTCTGTTGGAGTTGGTTTTGAACCATGATTGTCTGGATCTCAGACTCTGGCTTGCTAGGATGACAGGTGTGAGCCGCTGTTGGCCAGCGCTCCTTTGTCCCAACTTGGAACGTTTTATTTCATGGGAAGGAAATGTCTTACTTCTTTTCTTTGGACATTGCTCCCTTGGACTGTACTTTTCTTTATCTTATGGTGTTGAACTCTGGGAGGGATTACAGGAGTTCAGTGATGGCCCTGGCCTTGGCTTATTCCTCAAGGAGATTTCCCCTTGAGACCAGTTGTCTTTCAGAGGGCTTGATGCTGGATCACACTGTACCTGAAGCCTGTGTTTCTATTATTATGTAGCAGCTCCTAGTTAAGAGTTTCTGCATTTGAAATCTGGTTAGATTTTTTTTTTTTTTTTTTTTGGTCCTTGTTCTATGGTTTTCTATTTATTTTAGGAGGACATGCTTTTAGGCCTCTTCTCTCTCTAAATAAAACTTGCAAATGTTTTTCTCCGCCGCTGAATATTTGTTAAATATTCTTTGCTTGGTAATTGGGGAGGCCAGGCTTTGTTTAGTTACAGATCGTTTACTTATGGAGTGGCCTCTGTGGGGGGGGGGACTCCTGGCAGGGTGGGTGGCAGAATCCGTCAGCTTTGTCCCCCCCCACGTAGGGCCAGAGGGCACAAGGGGGAGAAGCTGGGTCGTGAGTAGGAGGCGTGTGAAGTCTCATCCACAGGCCCTGTGTGGTGGACACAGCTGGGTGAGCGCCATGACACTCACTGTCTCCTGATCTCCAAAATGGTCATGCTAACGCTTAACTAACCCCGAATGGGGTCATAAAATCTAAGGTTGCCAGGGCTGCTGGTTAACCCCAGCTGCTCAGGAGGCCGAGACCTGAGGATCATGGTTCAGAGCCAGTCCAGGCAGGAAAATCCGTTAAGCCTCTTACCTCCACTTAACCAGGAAAACAAAAAAAAAATAAGCTAGGGGGAGAGGCATGGCTCAAGTGGTAAAACGCCCGCCTTGAGCGAAAAAGCCAAGCAAGAGTGCCAGGCCCTCAGTTCAAGCCCTGGTACCTGAGCACTCATACATGCACACGGGCGTGCACACACACACACACACACACACACACACAAAGCACACACACAAATTAACAGTTGTAGAATGTCATAGCTCATGCCTATAATCTCAGACCCATCACAAGTTCAGGAGCAGCCCAGGCTATATGGTGAGTTCAAGGCCAACCTAGGCTGCCATTGTACAACCTGCCCAACAATAACAGCTGCAAACATAAGCAAACAAAAAGAATTTCATTTTGCAGGGTAGATACACTTGAGACACCTAGCATGGAATCTAATATAGCAGACTGCCCATGTGATTATTGCTTGGTTGGATTATACATTATTGCCAACATTTGATTGTTGTTGTTGTTATTATTATTATTATTTTGGTCTTGGGGCTTGAACTCTGGGCCTGGGCACCATCTCTGAGCTCTTTTCACTCCAGGCTGGTGCTCTACCACTTTGAGCCACAGTTCCACTTCTGTTTTCTGGTGGTTCACTGAAGATAAGTCTCATGGACATTCCTGCCCAGGCTGGCTTTGAATCTCGATCCTCATATCTCAGCCTCCTGTTTAGCTGGGAGGACAGGCATGAGCTCCCACCCTGTCATTCTTTCCCCTGGGCAAGGCTGTTTCTGTAGCCAGGACTCAAGTCAGGAACCTACCAGCTGTCCTGGGATGGAGGCTGCTGGCCACAAGTTTATAAACAGTGCGCTCTCCTGTTCAACCACCAGTGTAAGTGCTGTGCCGGGAAGGGCATTTAGCTATTCAGGACAAGTGTGCGCGCGTGGGCTTTGAGTGTCTGCAGTTGGTGGTTTATAGTTACTGGGGAGGAGACATTTTTCTCTTACACTTCCTCTTCTAGAAGGGCTGTTCCACAAATACTGACCCTCAAAATTTTACAACCTTTTTTTTTTTGGTGCCAGTCCGGGGCACTGTCCCTGAGCCTCTTTTGCTCAAGTCTGATGCTCTACCTCTTGAGCCACAGTACAACTTCTGGTTTTCTGTGGTTCTTTGGAGATGAGTCTCATGGACTTCCCTGCCTCAGCTGGCTTTGAACGGCGATCCTCAGATCCTCCTGAGTAGCTGGGATGACAGGCATGAGCCATCAGTACCTGGCTGCAAATGGTTATCCTCCCCCTCCTCCTCCTCCTCTTCCTCTTCCCCCTCCTCCTCCCCCTCTTCCTCCTCTCCCTCCCCTCTCCTCCTCCTTCCTCTTCTTCCTCCTCCTCCTTATTGTCCTCCTCCTCTCCCTCCCCCTCCCCTTCCTCCCCCTCCCTCTCCTCCCCCTCTTCCTCCTCTTCTTCTTCCTCCACTTCTTCCTCCCCCTCCTCCCCCCTTCCGTTCCCTCCCCCTCCTCCTGGCCTGAGCACCCTGGCCCCTGAGCTCTGTCCTCCTCCTCCTCCTGGCCCAGCACTCTGCAGTGCCTTCTTCCACTCGAGACCTGATCTGCAGTGCTGGTTGTTTTGTGCCTGCACTGGGCCTTGGCACTCCTGCTCGGCTCTGTGGCTCCAGCCTGGCCCTCTGTCGCTTGAGCCTCAGCTCTGCTTCTGGCCTTTTGCTGGTTCCTTGCAGATCAGAGACTCTGGACTTTTCTCCCAAGGCTGGTTTCGAACCATGATACTCAATCCCAGCCTCTTTTTTTTTGTTTGTTTGGGTCCGGTCGTGGGGCCTGAACTCTGGGCCTCAGCTCTTCAGCTCAAGGCTAGCGCTCTACCACTTGAGCCACAGCGCCACTTCTGGCTTTTTTTCTTTTTGCTTATGTGGTGTTGGGGAATCGAACCCAGGGCCTCAGGCATGCAAGGCAAGCGCTCTACCACTGAGCCACCTTCCCAGCCCCAATCCCAGCCTCTTGAGTAGCTAGGGTAACAGGCATGAACCATCAGTGCCCGGCTTGAAATTTGTTTTTAATCTTGAGAGTCAAGATTCAAAGTAGATTAGGTGTGTGTTTGTTTTCCTAAATAGATTGGCATTGTGTCTTTGTAAGCCTTTTCTCTCCGTAGACCTAAATGCTTTTCTGTTAAGCTCGCTTTCTGGTAGTGGAAGAAATGAGTGAGCGATGGTTCACACCCACTGTGATTTCATACACCTAGGTTCTTGTCAGTAGGACCCAATTGAGGGTAGTCTTCAGGGTTCCCTTTATTTATAGGCTCCCCTCAGACCCGTGAGACCTAACGGTTTTGTTGTATTTTTAGTGGTCTTGGACACAGTGAGAGGTTTTCTGGAAGCTCAGACCCTATGCTAACTTTAGCTAGACTTTCGGCAGGTTTGATTGAGTGCAGGTCCTAATGAGAGGAAACGTGATCCTTTTATTTTTCTCCACCCCTGTCATTTCGTTCTTACTGAGTATGACAAGCAGTGGCAGCCACTGGGTAAGTGGGTGTCTTTAAAAGAAATTTCATGACACACCATCAGGATAAATATACTCTCCCCCAATGCAGCTGGCCACTTGTGGGTGCATGTGCCAGCAGGTACCCTGCTGGGCTGGGGCTTTCCCTCACACCCTGCTTCCCCCTCTCCTTCCACCCTCCCTCTCCCTACTGGGGCTTGAACTCCGGGCCTGAGCACTGTCCCTTAATCCTTTTGCTCAGGGCAAGTGCTCTACTTCTTGAACCACAGCACCACTTCTAGTTTGTTTGGAGGTCATTAGAGAGGTGAGTCTCAGGGACATTCCTGCCCTGGCTGGCTTTGAACCACCACCCTCCAGCTCTCGGCCTCCTCCTGAATAGCTCGGATGACAGGCATGAGCCACTGGCACCAGCAGTTTTTTTTAATTCTGTAAAATGTCCATTGAGTTTGATGACCACGCTCTCCACCTCCCCCTCTCATCCTCGTCCACCTCATGTGTACCCCATACCGGAGGAGAACATCGTCCATCTTGTGTGCACCTCATTCTGAGGAGAAAGCTGTCCACCTCATGTTACCCTGCTGCTCAGTATCACCCCGTGTCACCCCGCTGCTCCATGTTACCCCACTGCCTGCCCCGTGTCACCCCGGCTCCTCAGGAGGCTGCAACGGGCAGGAAAAGGAGGAGCCTCTGACCTCTAGTTAATGACCAAAAAAGTTGGAAGTGGCACCGTGACCCAAGCAGTAAAGCACCACCAGCCTTGCATGCCCAGGCCCTGGATGCAAACCCCAGGACTGGCACCAAAAAATAAAAGCACGATGTAGTTTGCGCCCACACGGTGTTTCATGTGTGGAACCCCAGGTACTCGGGAGGCTGGGATCAGGAGAATGGGGGTTCAAGGCCAGCCAGGCAAGACCCCAGGACCAGCCTCACCCAATGGCCAGTCTAATGAGCATCTGTGGATGAGACAGAGGACGCGATGGGGTGGATCCAGTGTTCTTGTGTTGTCTGAGTGTTATAAACCAACAGTGGAGGAAGACGAGAGATGTCTGTTAAGTCAGGCACCAGTACCTCCTGCCTACAATCCAAGACACTTGGGGGCTGTGACCTGACGATCACTGCTTCAAAGCCAGCCCAAGGGCAGACAAAGTCGTGAGACCCTAAAATGGTTCACCAGCAGAATCCAGAGATGGGGGTATGGCTCAAATGGTAGTGCACCACAGCCTTAAGAGTCCAAGCTAAAGGATAGCACCAAGCCCTGAGTTCAAGTCCAAACAAACAGGTGGAGGAGGAGGAAAGAAGGAAGAAGAGGAAGAGGAAGAAAAAGAGGAGGAAGAAGGAAAAGAAGAAGCAGCTGC